ATCTTATATGAAATGAGAGCGTAGGTTTAGTGTCCTGATCAGACTCACTACGAAAACCTAAACTTTAAGAAATTTCTATCATTTGACGTTATAAATTACTTAGTTATAAATAAATTTGTTTTAAAGTGAATATCTTTTCGGGTTTTGTCGCGTTTTTATTTTGTATTTTTGTACACGACGTTCCGAATGCTTTACAGCACACATGGTCATGGGAAAGACATGGTATATTTCTTTTCTCTTTATGTCGGATATTAGTTTAGAGTCTCTTATAGTACAATCATAGCGAAACTCTTTAAAGCCCTAAAATCAAATGTAAGTCACAATCAAGAGGTTATACTATCAAATAGACACCCTTCATATTATCGTGCCATCATAAGCTTGCTTTTAATACTTATATGAAAATAAATAACTATTGCATACAAATAGTACAAGTACCTGGGCGGTGTTTTACGGGACATATATAAAAAATGCATTTTTAATTAGAAATGCCACCTATGTATAGTTGGAATTAAAAAACAAAACCTTATCTAAATACAAAGTTTGATCCAACTCGTTAGAGCATTTTCCGAGAAACACAAAAATCTATACATATATACAAGAATCGCTGATTAATATTATAAGATACATATAATCAATAAAATCTTATTGTTTATTTACTTTTTAACCGCCTTCATTAATACAACGATGTTGGCAAGTGTTGCTATAGTAATGACCTGTTATGCCCGCGGTCACTATGTAATTAATTAAGTGATAATACAAAAATAGCAAGTTCCTATTTTATATTTACTCTATAATCTATACTAATATTACCTATAAAAAGGTAAAGTTTGTGAGTTTGTTTGTGACGTTGTAAGGGGTAATCTATGGATCTACAGAACAGATTTAGATGAAATTTGGTAAGAAGATAGTTTGAGACCTGAGGAAGGACATAAGATACTTTTTATCCCGGAAATCATCCCTTAAGTGGGTGAAAATGGACGAAAGTTTTGTATTGGGAAGCAAGCTAGGGACGAACCCGAGTGAAGCTAGGGTGAGTCGCTTGTGTTATATAATTAGGCAAAGACAAAACAGTTCAGTACCTTTTTCTTCTGTTTGTCAACTGATTTTCTTTTTTTGTTTACTTTGTAGTTATTGACGAGCTTTGGTGTTATCAATAAAAAATGATTACGGTGGAATTTCGACCACTTTATCAATGGTACTTTAATGATTAAACTTCTTTTTTTTGCCTTTGTAAGAATTGCCTGTTAGTTACTCTTTTATATTGTTCGCTATCTAATTCCCAGCGCTGGTCCCATAGCTGGGCACAGGCCTCCCATCAATGCGAGTGGGATCAGGCCATAACCCACCATGCTTCCCAAGGGCGGGTTGGCGGACTTGGACATGGCTCTCAAAAACTAGTTAGGTTAGGTAACATGCAGGTTTCCTCACAATGAATACCTTCATCGTATAAATAGATACCTTCATATTAAAACATGCACATGAAAATCGCAGAAGTGCTAGCTTGAAATCGCTTCATCATTGATTTTTAACCTACTCCATTGTTTAACGGGCTACTACTGGCTTTAGGTCATAACTGCTTGGTTCGAGTCTCGAGTCAGTTCCAAAAAAATAATCAAGATTTTAAGTACAAAAGGCTCAATAACAGCCCTGAGTTAGGACTTAAGAGTCATGGCCGTTCTTGCTCTCCTGTCGGGTCACGTGTCGATTTGGCATCCGAATTACATATTTATGGAAGATAGGGATTTCATGCATCACGAGCTATAATATCTCCTGAGCATTTTGTTTCAGTTTTTGTTTTACTGAATTATAACAAGATTGTTTTTAAGTAACAAAAGTCCCGATTTTTGTTTGAATCCGACAAATAAAATATCAGTACATAGTAACGGGGGGTCGTTTGTTTTATTATATTTAGGAATTTATGTCAATTAGATTCACTGTGTAGTCCGCAAGGGGAATAGCATGATCAAAGGTAAGTATAATATAGAATAAATTTGGTTAGATAACACATGTGTATGTAATAAAACCCTGAAATGAAGTATATCCCAACCCCCAATATGTAGTTCAAGGTATCGTTAATTCGAAACCTCAATCGACAGCTGCGCCTAGTTTTGCTGGTTGCTTACAATATGCTACTATTTCTTTTTTAACAGTAACACGCTTTAATTAATTTATTAAACTATGTCTAATCTAGGAAGTCGGTTTTAATTGATTTTTAATTGTCGATATGAAACTTTATATTTTGGAAATTCATTTGATAATATAATCGCATTTGATATTAGTACTTTGATACTTTAATAATCTTACTTTAATAATAAGATATTAAGCATTACATGCTGTCCGAGATACAAGGGTGTAACACCGCCAACTTTCCAACTCCGGGCTGTTAATGGAACTTTTCTATCAGATAGATTTGAGAACTAAACTTGGCTCAACACGGGATTCGAACCCAGGACTGAATCAGCAGCCGTACATGATAGCCAATAAACCACCAAGCCAGTTATTTCATACTATAATCATTATTGTGATTACAAAAATAAATATTAAGTTACTTTACCAACACATTCAAAATGCAATTTTTATTTACTAAGGTCCTTTATAACCGGTCTACTATTATAATTGCTAGAGTTTGTAAGTGTGTATGTTCGTTCCTTCGTCACGCCGAAACGGCTGTACAGATTTGGGTGACATTCAGTACACGGATAGACTATGACCTGGAGTAACACATAAGCTAGTACCTAGAGACATACCTGAGGGAAATGAGGGTGCGCTAGTGTTATATAAACCGGTATCATAAATTGAAAAATGAAGCTATTTGCTTCCGCTTAATAGTATTCAATTAGCTGGCTGGCTGCCAGCACTGCACTATCCGCATTTAAAAAAGTTATTAAATAACTATTATATAATTAAATATATTTCAATAGTAGGTAATTCTATCGAAATATGTACACATGTTATACAGTCAAATTATCTTAATGCTTTAAAATTAAAACTATCAATATGCTAGCAGAATCCGCGGCTTCGATCGCGCTAAAACTACAGAAAAATATTTAAAAAAGTAGCTCCATACAAACTTTCACTCCGTGTTCTACCCCCTCATAGGATGACTTTTAAAAAATGCTAGAACAGGTATTTAATAAATTTTATTAAAGAGCATTGATACCAAGTTTCAAGTAATTCTGATCAAAAATATTTTTTTGCATTGTGTCATAACGTGTTTTCCCGTGGGATTGGGAATCTCACTGTCTCTTCAGCTATCCAACTATCTCCACACAAATAATCACGCCAATCCGTCACTCCATTTCGACGTGCAAGAAGGACAAACAAACACACTTTCACATTTATAAATTTAAAGTATGTATTTAATATTTCACTAATTGAAGATTACCTTGTATATTACAGGGTTTTACATAAGCACAACACAAAAAAGCTCTTGACATTACGGCAAAGGCAGTTAACATCGGCCTGCTTTGCAAAGCTTGACTTTTTAATTAAGGGAACATGAGGATACTTCTTTGCTGGTTATTTAAAAACCATATTTTAATTCATTTTTAATTAAAGGTTTCTATAGAGAACCAAAAATCAAAATAAATCCGCAGAATAATCCGAAAAGATAGTTTTATTTAAAGGTTTCTCTAAAAGTCATTCCATCACAACAAACGTTGACTGGTATTGCCTAATTCACCTAATATCGCGGGTTTGATCCTCGAACAATGTATATAAATATAAATTAACTCATCGGTTCAGTAGATTCAGAGATTACCCCCTACAACGTCACAAACTTACAAACTCACAATTCACAAACTCACAAACTTTACCTCTTTATAATATTAGTGTAGACTAACGACTTACCCCCGCTTCGCCCGGGTGTGTCGTTCGGGTTTGTAAGGACGACTCGACAAAACCAGTTATTGTGTTTTCCCCTAGGAATGTAAGATATTCCTCTAGTAAAAGGCATCTTTAATGTTGAGCAGAGTAATAGGCTATCACAATTTATTTTTTTAAATCCGTAAAGTAACTTGTTGTGTGAAACGCACACAGATACGAGTATACAGACAAACAAACAAAAATTTCAATAACTATTCTTTTGAAGTTTATAAGGTGTATAGATTACACAATACGTAACAGTCATTGTTTTTAAAAAATATTCCATGTACAGGTATCGGTTTGTTCTAGTTTATTATACGTATATACTTCGATAACATTAACATATTCAATAATGTATGTATTCAATATACTAAGTATTTGTTGAGCATTTCTATTACGTGAAGAAGACATTAAGATTAAAAAATAGTTTTTCTATTAACAAATGTTATAATATTAAAGTAACATTTCGAATCAGTGAAAATTTTTCTTTAGTTTTTGTACGAGTATATACTCGTACTGTGGTAAATGTACATATTTGAATAAGACACCTTCAGGATCTTTTTTTCTATAAATTTGTGTTTTGGTACATTTAAAATTTTAGTAAAACAAGAAAATTTATTATGTAATCGAAATTATATTATTTCTTTTTGTTTCAGATCTCTCCTCACTTTTGACGAATCTTCATTTAAAATGTGTGTTATAACGAACTAGTCACACTAGCGACACTGTTCAGTGGGAAACCATGTTCGTTTAGTTATTTAAGTAATCAAACATAACTCATATGCACAGAGAGGCATCGTACGTATTTCGGGATTCACTAAAACTGCGACAAAAACTTTTGCAAAGAACTACAACGTATTTTAAAGTCGTTGAATTCGTGAAGAAAGACGCAATACGGTACTTCACTTATGACTACGAGATACATCAAACTTAATATTAAATATTATGAACATATTTATAGGTAATAACTATCATTCGAAAAATCTTGTCAAATTGAAAACAGCGATTTGATTTTTAAGCGCCATTCGAATACTGACAATAATTTGCTTAATTTGTTAAGTTAAGATTTCACTACATATACGAATAGCTTTAGCTGTATTTGGTAGACTGAAAAAAAAGTCACAGTGACAACTAAAATGGCGGCAAAAGCAGAACCGATCGGGCCACGAAATGGGCATGAGTTAGCGCCATTGAATACGAGGGCAGATGGCACTGAAAGGCCTCATGGAGTGACAATAGTGCTTCAAGGATCTAGAAATTCTTTGCAGAGGGATGCTCCTGATGAAGACAGAGCGGCTTGGTCAGGAAAACTCCAGTTCTTCTTATCTATCATCGGTTATTCCGTCGGCCTCGGAAATATTTGGCGGTTTCCGTATCTATGTCAACAAAATGGCGGAGGTGAGTTAATCAATTGTTATAGACAAAGTTTTTTTTTATTATTATAGAAATAAACTTTGATATACGAGAACGTAGGTATATAATTCCAAACAAATGAATACTAAGAAATTAAAATATTTTTGGTTTATTGTTAATAATAATTATAAACTCAATTTAAGTTTTACTAAACAAATATAGGAAAGATGTATAATCTATTCAGTTTGTTCTCGGTATCGATTTAAACCTTCCAATGACGTCACGTATAAAGTTTTATTATTGTGATCGGTCTAATAGATAAGAAAGTTGTTCGTTCTAAGCCGAAGGTCGTAATTTCAATTCCTGCTCGTGGCATTTACATAAATTTACATTTTTTCATGCAACAAAAACTAATTCTTTTCCAAGAATTTCTTAAACATACATTATTAAAAATCCATGACGTAGATTTATGAATAACTTCTATCCTATTTTTAGCAAAAAATCTTTTATCCAAATACAAAGTCCCTAGAGAAAACTTTTTGCTGTTGGGTCATAATTTGACAGACATGTTCATTTTAGCGTTCTGCTAGTGATAGATACATATAATAAAACTCTAACTGAATAGAATGTGTACATTAAATATTTTTTGGAAAATCTTATTGAAATATTCATTATTATCCATACAGAGACCGAATCTATAGTTTTTAGAATTTCTGTCTGTCCGTCTGTCTGTCTATCTTTGACCGCATCACGAGAAAACCATTGGATAGATTTTGATAAAATTTGGTATGGTTATCCGGTATAGCTGGTTATCCGGGTCAACATATAGTGTACTTTGTACTGCAGGAAAATATCTCATCTCTGAGAAATTTATAATAAACATTAATATAAATATGAAAAACGTGAAGGTGTTTTATAGGCTTGACCTTTTACGAAAAAACAAAGTAAATAACTCACGCTATTTGCATTACATAATTCCATATCTATTTATAACTCTATATAATTTTTAGAATCGAAAGTGATTTCTGTGAGATAATGATTTTTGAATTTGTGTTAGATAATGATATAAAGGATAAGTACTCGAAGCGTCCGCCTCGGGTCAATAATTTAAGATTTTATTTTACTAGTGGCTCCACTTGCGTATTTTATTTATTTATTATTGCTCTGCTTCTGAAGATTCTTCCTTAATAAATACGCTATAAAATCCAAAAAGTTTTATTCAAATCGGTCGGGTAATTCCAGAAATTAGAGCGTTCAAAGAAACTAAAAATATACAGTATATATTAAGTAAAAGTTTATGTTTTAATTATCTACGCAAATTCTTATTTTATAATGCTAAATAAATTTTTCACTCACTATTTAAGAATGCCTAGAATGTATCTATGAATATTTACAGAGCTCTCTAAAGCACTTATGTGTTCTTGGCACTAGATATTCCTCTAGTTTTCCGAGTTTACGATCTACGTATGATTTTTTTTTTCAACATTTTCCCAACACACGTTTTATGATATGGTTTGAGTGTTGCTATAATTGAAAAATGTAATATTTTTCAATTTAACATGTTAGTAACATTTTAGAATTTAATTTTTTAAAACGTTTTAAAATCTCTCCATTTTACGAAATATTAGCGAAGTAAATGGTGCCTAAACATCTCTCTTAGAAGCCACTAAAGTAAAGAATTAAATCAAATTGATCGTTTCACAGTTTAAGTTCTTTGTAACATTTTATAATTTAAGGTGTAGGTAGATAGTAATTTTTCTGTAGGAACTTTAGGTCGGGGAACTTAGATTTAAAGCTGATGTCATTTTACCTACAATTGTTTGAGAATAATTTGACAAATTTATTTTATTTACAATAAAGAAAATTACAAATATACCTACTTAATTATATATACAAAATAAATGTACACTTAGTTATTACTGTACAAGTCATGTCCGCGTGGAATAGTAGGTACTTTTAATTGCTATGACATACAATTATAATATATCAATCATACGAATGAAAAAATATGAATATTTTTTTAGATTTTGTAAAGTAATCTACATACTATATTCCTATAAGGTCACGTAAAGTCACGTACTGTAATCTCAGTATGTGATAAAACTAGCGACTTGTGTCTTTAGTTGCCTAACGGCAACCTGTATTGCTCATATTCATATTGTTTTTGTCTGTCGGTCTGTTTGTTCCGGCTAATCTCCGAAAGGCTGGACTGATATTGACGGGACTTTCACTGGCAAATAGCTGATATTATAAGGAGTGACTTAGGTTACTTTTAGTTTGGAAAAAAAGTTCCAGTCAATAAAATTAAAACGTAGCTAGGGACGCAACCGAGCGAAGTGAGGGTAACTCGCAAGAATAATATTTTGTATTCTTTATAACATTTATTAACATAAAGTAAGTTAATATAGCCTTAGATTTACGTGAATATTTGACATCCATACTAATATTAAAAATGTGAAAGTGTGTTTGTTTGTTTCTTTGTTTGTCTTTCTTTCACGTCGAAACGGAGTGCGGATTGGCATGATTTTTTGTTTGGAGGTAGTTGGAGGGCTACTTTTTACCGCGGGAGATTATCTAATTCCCAATACATGGTCAATACAATACAATGGTCCAATTTCGTCACAGGGCGAACACTAGTCTATTAAAAATACACACGATACACGACATTGTATACGGAACACTGCACGTTACGCAACGCAGTGCGTCATTCATACTTTATCAATTGACCGAGATATTGCGTAATTGTTCCTTTCAATGTCAAGAGGATATTTTTAAACTGCCGCATGTAAAAACGTTGGGACCCTCAATCCTATTCAAGGACAAGGTGGCATTTTGTAAATACTAGCGAATTACCCTTACTTCGCTTGGGCGCATCCCTAGATTATTAATACAGTAGCCAATGTGTTATCCCAGTTCAAACCTATCTGTGTACCAAATTTCAACCAATTTGGACCAGCCGTTTCGACGTGAAGTAGTAACAAACATACAAAAACACACACCTACACACGATTGGACATATTTTGATAAGTACACAGGTAGACTGTGACTTAGAGTAACATAGTGCTAACAATAAAATTCACAAAAAGGTGGCGCTGCCTGCATATAATCTATACATTTTAATACAGATAAAACTTAAAAAAACGAGTTCAAGGCACTAAAATGTAAAAAATAACTAAACGGGGGTTTTCATTTAGAATTAGATACCTAATCAGATATTTTCGAAGTCGGTGCCAGCCGATGCAAAGTAAATCTAATATATTTCGATACGTAAAACACATATTTACCTATTAGATATTCATATCTTTAAGTATTGTAGGCTGGCACCGACTTCGAAAATATCTGATTAGGTATCTATTCTAAATTAAAAGCCCCGTTTAGTTATTTTTTACATTTTAGTGCCTGGAAGTCGGTTTTTTTTAAGTTTTTATTTGTCCATTTTTAGTGTTGACGTAATAAGCAGTTAATTTCTTAGAAGAAATTTTTTTAATAACATGTTCGATTAAGCAATTTATTTAAAAAAATAATTTATTTCTTGATTTAAAAAAAACCGCTTGACCGATTTCGATAAAATTTATATGGGGCCACTTGGGAAGTATACCCTTTGGAACAAAAAAAAATCCAAATCGGTTCAGGTGTCTTCGAGTTATCGGTGAACATACATAAATAAAAGATTCCGACGAATTGAGAACCTCCTCCTTTTTGGAAGTCGGTTAATAAATAAAATTAAAGTGTCTGATTGTAAGTCAAAATAACAGCATTTTACTAAATGCGTATGAAATTATATACTTATAAGAAAAACACAATTTTTAAAAAAAAATTCTGACAGTCTGTCTGTCTGTTTGTTCCGGATAATCTCTGAAACGGCTGGACTAATTTTGACGGTACTTTCACTGAAAGATAGCTGATGTTATAGGGAGTAATATAGGCTACTTTTATTTTAAAAAAAGAGTTATAGTTCCGCTCAAAACATTAAAACGTACCTAGGGACGAACCCGAGCGAAGCGAGAGTGAGTCGCTAGTATTACAATTAAAAACGAATCTAGAAATGAGGATAAATAGCTAGAATAGCAAACTTATTTACATATACATAAATCTAATTTTAGGAAGTACCGGCGCGGAGTGGCTCCGTATTGATTTTGATGCTACGAGTCTACGCCGTAGCGTGGATGCTACGATATTTGCTTTGCAATAGAACAGATTGAAAAGCAAACCGTAGAGTAATTACTACCGTCTAATTAGACAGGAGGATTCTATAATCGATATGGCTAATAGAAAGATCGCTAAAGAAATGATATCTAATCCATATGCCATGAGTATTACATATTTAGGATTATTTCAACGATTATAGAAAGTCTTGAAAGATGTATTCAGTATCAATGAATTAGATACGTATATGTTTAAAAATAGGTTTCGATTGAAGCTATGGTTGCTAATAATTCTTAGAGCTTAGAAAAGATGTTAATCTACGATCGTTTGAGAATAGAAAACTAAAGTATGTATGAAACACTGGCACGCTTTAAAACCATTTAACAATAGAATTTTGTAGAATGTATGAGAATAAGGTATTATAATTCTATAACGTAAATAATTTGCCATTTAAAAAAATATATATTAAAATATCTATTTTTCAATCTTTGTAGATTGAGGTTTCTATTTTCGTCTAAGCCCCCTTATCTATAAGAAGCGATGGTTAGTTGCAGTCGTTATCGATGAAATTCTTGTTCAACTTTATTATACTAATATTGTAACCCACGCTTCGTTTGCTTATTGTCTTTATGAATGCGTCGATGTAAGGCTTCACATTCCAATGACACCAGTCTTGGAGTGTTTAAGAATGAATGTAATTTATTTAAAGCAAGTACTCTGTTATTTTTTACTCGTGGAACTTGTAGCAGGGAGTCTGAGTATTTTACATTGTATTCGATATTTTTGTATCAAAATACAAAATTTGATTGGGCTTGATACTAAATAATTCTATCTATAAAATTACACCGTGAGATTGTGTTTATCGATCGAAATAATTTCTAGAACAATCACTCAGATTTGGAAGACTTGTAACATTAATAATCGAGACTTAGCCTTATAATACATCCCTTTCATTTTCAACCTAAATGGATATTGTAATCGATCAACAACAATGTATATTGTAAAGAGGTAAAGTTTGCGAGTTTGTGACGTTGTAGGGGGTAATCTCTGGATCTACTGAACCGATTTAGAAGAAATTTGGTAAGAAGATAGTTTGAGACCCTGGGAGGGACATAGGATACTTTTTCATCCCGGAAATCATCCCTTAAGGGGGTAAAAATGGAATGAAAGTTTGTGTGGGAAATCAAGCCAGGGACAAACCCGAGCGAAGCGAGGGTGAGTCGCTAGTATTTAATATACCTGAATGAACTTAATATAATATATCTTAACATAACGTTAGCTATTTTTAGAACTCTATTTTTGGAACCAATTTAATGTACAGTATTTATTGGTGGAACGTGTTCGGGCGCAGTAAAACGTCGAGACGTGCTTAATGTAAAATGAAATGAAAAACCAATACAGCCCTTGTAAAGGAAAATTTACCAAAACAAGCGAACGACCTTCTACTTTCATGCGATAAACTTTGACCAATTTTGTAATTTACAAGTATTATTCATAAAGACAATGTTATTTTTGTGGATCTATAGTAGATTTCTATTTTTTATGGTAAACTAGCTCGATCACTAGTATGAATAAATAAATAAATATATTGGGGCATTAACACACAACACCATCTAGTTCCATGGTAAGCTACGAGGCTTCTGTTATGGATACCAGATAGTTCATACACTACACATATATAACTTTAAATACATAAATATTATAAATATAAACCCATGATTGGAGTACAAACATCCGTGCTCATCACACAAATGAATTCCAGCGGGACTCAAATCAGCGACCGTTGGCACAGCTGGCACTACAAACTGAGCCAAACGTGTCGTCAAAAAACCTATGATAGCTAAAACTAGGGATTTTTATTATAAGTGCAAAAGTTTGTGTATTTGTGTGTATATTTGTTTGTTGCTCCTTCTCGCTGAAACGGCTGTACGAATTAGATGAAATGTAGTATACAGATAGGCTTCGATCTGGAGTAGCCCATAGGCTAGTTACTAGTTAGGCATATAGACGAGGTGAGGCGAGGTTAAGTCGTTAAAATTAAATAAAACATCAAAACGAATAGCATGGCACAAAATCGATAAAAAATTTAATAGTCGCATTATTCGATCGCATACGTAGTTACATATGTATATTAAAAAGTGAAAGTCGATATGAGTGGATTTAACGTTTTATAATTTATTAATATTATTTGCACGTACTATCGTTATTTAGGAGATACATTAACGATGAGTTTTCGTTTCTCAAATGAGACAATTTTTTTTACATAAATACATATTTATATTTATTGAAACGGCGTTTCTTACTCGTATACATCACTACTTCTAGCACAAAGTCCATAACTTTATACTAGAAGTAGTCTGAGTGTCTACAAATGATCCCTAAGATATTGCCTACCACAATATTCTAATACTATATTTTTTGCAGGTGCTTTTCTCATCCCATTCCTCATCATGTTGGTGCTGGAGGGTATTCCCCTATTTCTGATCGAAATGGCCATAGGTCAGAAGATGCGCCTCGGTTCCCTTGGGGTCTGGAACACCATCCATCCCTGGCTCGGCGGAATCGGGATTGCTAGCTGCGTGGTCACTTTATTCGTCGCTTTGTACTATAACGTTATTATTACATGGGTTTTCTTCTATTTGTTCAATAGTATTCGGGTAAGTTCTATTATCGATATCTTTAATAGAAAACTAAGAATATATGAGAATGGCTAGTGGCTCACCCTTTTTTTTTTTTTTAACGTTGGGAAATGCATTTACGCACGACGTGTGGGACTCACCGGCGTAATACAGCCAGTACTACCCACTAAAATCCAACAAAACCTTCCCCCGTCTTAATGGGGCGTCGCAGGATCGCTTACGCATTCAACTACGACGCCCCGACGGCAGGTCTGCCAAAGCAGACCACCACAACCTTGGGGTTGCTCCAAGGTCCACTCTGCTATCAGAGAAGTACCAGGAGCAACCCGCAAGGTACACCGCCCCCCGAAGAGGGCTACCTCCCACCGCCCACCGAAGTGGGCAACCTCCCTGTGCGTTTCTTAGCTTCGTACTACTACTGAGCCCCCCCACCACGACAAGGTGAACGCACGTTGGGGGGGAGTGGCTCACCCTCCCTTGACTCGGGTTCGCCTCTAGAAAAACAAAAACATATCTATCCCACGAGAACCGTACATTTTTCCGGGGTAAAAAGTAGCTTATGTGCTATTCCAGACTATAATCTACATCTGTGCCAAATTTCATCCAGATCTACTCAGCCGTTATCGCATGATTAACAAACATCCATCCAAACATCTAAACTTTCATATTTATAATATTAGTAAGGTATGTTTGACGATATGACTTAACGCTTAGAAACAGTTTCCTTTTAGCGATAAAGTTTATAAAATCTCAATTTGCTGAAGCTCTTTTCTTTACTATAGGTTTAAAATTAATATTCTTATACAAATGTCATTTAATTAAAATCATTTTGCTATACAGATTAAAAAAAATATTAGTTTTAGCTAAAGTTATGGTTTATTTATATTTAATGCTAGCATTGCCCGCGGCTCTGCCCGCGTTCAGATGACCAAAAACCAAATAACCAGCTACCATCATACCAAATTTCATCAAAATCCCTCTAGTGGTTTTTCCCTGATGCAGTAACAGACAGACAGACAGATACAATAGATTCGGCTTCTGTATCGATAAAAATGTCTATTTCAATAACATTTTCCAAAAAATATTTAATGTACAGATTCGGGTTAGATACAATTTTATTATATGTATAGATAGCAGATGTTAAATATAATTTTATAAAAGATAAGATAGAATCATTTTTCTCCGAACCAAACTGGGCTCTTTTATGCGACATCATTACTGAGTAAACATTTTGTAGGTAATTGGGTACACTCTTACGTAATTTGATATAAGAGGTCCTTTCGTCCTTTTTAATTAATTGCGGACTCGGTATTTTAGTAAATAAATACTTTTAAATGAAAATGTTTTTTTTTGGCTTTTGTCGCGATTGTATTTTTAATTTTTGTTCCCAACGTTTCGAATGCTTTACAGCAATCATAGTGACGGGATAGACGAATCTCTGCCTCTCAATTAAAATATCATATTTTCAAGTAGATCTGAAAAAATACTATTTACTATTCAAGAATCGAATTAATTTAAGTTACACGATATAGACGATTTTCTCTTTTTTCCCTCACATTTTCCTCAATCTGTCGAAAATAATTTTAGTCAAAATTTACCCACCTGACCATTCCAGTAGTTATTCTAAAATGCAAGGATGATTTATTTCCGATTCCATTTAATTTGACCTATTACTTTTCGAATATATAATTCATATTTACATAGAAATGTTTATATCAAATATTTGCATAGAAATTACTAGCATAGATAAATTTATATTACCATATTCATCAGACTTACGTATTTCATTATCAGCTGAGTGCAGACCAGCTGCCTTGGGCTCATTGTCCTCAAGATAATGGTACTGCTGAAATTGAATGCAACAAAGCATCAGCCACCGTGTATTATTGGTACCGAGAAGCTTTGGACGCGTCTCCAAGCATTGAGGAGCCTGGTGCTCCAAGATGGTGGATAGTCTGTTATCTGTTCCTCGCATGGGTCATTGTTTTCTTCATTGTGATGAAGGGTATTCAGAGCAGTGGAAAGGTGAGTGGTATAACTATTAGCAAAGTAAAACATAGTTTAAGTTTGGACTTTTCTTTAAATGGTTTTTTTTTCGATTTTTCTGATCTACGAGTTCGGTATATTTTTATGCTTTACCATCTTCGATTGGGTACGACTTGAAACAAATACATCAACTTTTCTTTATATAATATAATATGTACGTCATCTTCTACTAAACGACTTGCGCCAGCTTTTGGCTAGTTCTACTACAGTAACAGTAGCTTATGTTTTATTCCACCTCGTAGACTATCAGTGTATTTTTTATTCAAATGTGTCGAGGAATTTTATCGTGAAGGAATATCAAACGTACACACACTCATACAAACTTTCGCATTTATATTAGTAATGCGATTAATAAAAAAATATTAACTTGGTCTAACTATAATATGTTATATTGATTTGTAAGTTTAATCTAGTCTAGTTTTTTTATCATATATTATTGTTTTAGGTTGTGTATTTTACGTCTCTGTTTCCATACGTGGTGCTCACCATATTTTTTGTGCGCGGCATTACTTTGCCGGGGTCGGCTGATGGAATTATACATATGTATAAACCGAAAGTAAGTATGTTAATATTAGTGATTTTTTCTCCTTACTCAATGTTCCTAGGTGCCTTTTGTATTTATAATACTATATGTAATTGTACAGGTAGCGCCATCTTTTGCCAGAATTTACAACAAGTAGCCTATGTGCTATTTCAAGTCATATTCTATCTATGTTCTCATCCAAATCTGTTTAGCCATTTCATTGAAGGATTAAAAAATATATACATTCATATTATGATGATTTAAAACGGGATGTTTATCATTTTTAGCACTTACTTTTAAGTTCCCGATATTTCGGCACTGTTACAAGTGCCATGGTCGCCATGGCGAAAGCGAAAATGCTGAAACATCGGGAACTCTCAAAAGTAAGTGCTAAACATGATAAACAGTGACCATGAAAGCTTAAATACTTACATACATAAACACATATTAAATTTTTACATTTATAACGATAGTCTGATTGATATAACATTTTTCTTACAGTTAGCAAAACTTCTGGATCCAACAGTATGGTTGGATGCTGCCACTCAAGTTTTCTACTCATTCGGTCTTGCTTTCGGATCCCTCATCGCCTTCGGTTCCTACAACACCCCTAATAACAACTGCGTGAGGGATGTGTTGTTGGTGTCGGTCTGTAACGCTCTGACTGCGATATACGCATCGGTGGTCATCTTCAGTATTCTTGGCTTCAAAGCTTTTACTATGGTGGAGAAGTGCATTACTAAGTAAGTGATGTTAACTGCTTTTTCTACTTTTTCAGGTTGGTCATATTTTAATGATCTTTAAGACTTATTTGATTTAGATTTCTAATTTTAGGTTGAATTAATTGTAATGGCGTATTAGTAAATTATAGTTTTTAGAATATTATCTGTTTTAAGTTTTAGAGGTGCCCTTATTCTCATTATCAGGTCATTGTATCTACATAGGAGTCAGAACGGTTATTATTTTAGGTATTATCTTATGATTATTTATTGTAAGTCCGATTTAGTTGCTTTTAACACTAATTTAAAAAAAACGGTCAAAAAGACCAGAAAATTAGCTGTTACAAGCTTGTCTATATTTATTTTATATATTTCTGGTGTCTACAATATGTACTAGAACTGTGCCTTGCTCATAGTTCATATTTGATTAAAAGTCTTTTCTGTTAGTATCTATAGGCTAAACAAAATTAAAAGCAAAAAATTCTTTAATTTAGCTCACTTATATAAAACAATACTGGTGTTGAGGTTGTTCTTTCCTCTGTATCTTCAGTAAAACGTTCATTAAATGGATATATAGGCAAACAAATATATGTATATGAAACGAATTCATATTTACTACATTATTATTTACTAACTAGCGACTCACCCTCGCTTCGCTCGAGTTCGTCCCTAGGTTGATTTTCCATGCAAATTTTCATCCTCATTTTCACAACCCTTAAGGGATGTTTCCAGGATAAAAAGTATCCTATGTCCCTTCCAGGGTCTCAAACTATCTTCTTACCAAATTTCATCTAAATCGGTTCAGTAGATCCAGAGATTACTCCCTACAGCGTCACAAACTCACAAACATTACCTCTTTATAATATTACTATAGATAGAACTAATATAAAACTCTACATCGTCTGTGGATTTTGTAAAAATGAATAAAATTTGAATAACATCTCAAATAATGAAAATTCTTTTAATAAACTGTATAAAACTATTTAAAGAAAAGTAATTACAATTCTTATTATGTCATAGAATCACGGAAACCAATTATTAGAGCATAATGATTTTATGGAGCTGTATTGCGAAATTCTTAGAATCTTTACGGTTAAATGTCAAGTAAGTAGCAAAAACGGACCTGATTGCGCCATTAAGTTTCAGATTTATTGTCACTTTACTTGTAGAAATTATAGGGAGAGGGTTAATTAATAAATTTCTTATACGTTTCACATACGATAAAACAAGAAGCTCTTTTGGTCATCATCAGCTCATTTTTTTCGACGTAAAAAGTTTTTTTGGATAAATTAGATGACTTAACCAAAGTGGCTTAAAATGGATTCTAATTTTAGGGGCTATTTTTGGGTGCAAATAGGTAATAATAAATAGCTTTGTTAAACCCTCTTGTTAATCAGGAGTAATAAAACATCGATAGTGCAAAAGACGTGCTTTAATTTCCGATCCCCGAACTCATAGAACGTAACAATATATATATAATTTTCTAAAACTGCCACGATCTCTAAGGAACATCATAAAGCTTACATCTCACGTAAAATGATTGGTACAAATTACGGTAGTAGACGATAAACAGATTAATGGTGAAAGCTGTTTCATTGTTATTACGTACTGTGATATAAAATAAAGTAATTGCTAAGACAAGATGACACACACACACATATATATATATATATATATATATATATATATATATATATATATATATAGTATACAGATAATATATTCGTTGAAAAATAGAATGCTTTAACACCTATTTATTTAATTTTATTGAAAAGCATAATACCAAGTTTCAAGTAATTCTGATCATAAATATTTTTTGGATATTATTATCGTGTTTCCCCGTGGGAATTAGATAACCTCCCGGGGTAAATAATAAGCCTATGTCACTCTCCAGCCGTCCAACTACCTCCACACAAAAAATCACGCCAATCCGTCTCTCCGTTTCGACGTGAAAGAAGGACAAACAAACAAACACACTTTCACATTTATAATATTTGTATGGATTTCAGTCGATTGTCCGAAATACCAACCCATAAATTACATACAATTAGACGTATGTACGATAGCGTAACTAGTTATAACTCCATGAATTTTTCAGTAGGCTGTATAGGTTTGACCTACTTTCCAGTCGGAAATGTCAGGTCTTTGGTTAACTAATGAGAACTTTGAAATTTGTGCTACAACTGTCGATGTTAACATCAATGGATAGAGAGAGAATACTCAGAATGGCACAGTATTGTTGGGGTTTATTAAAAGCCAGTCACTTGCAATGGATGTTTCATTGCCACTGCTAAATAGTTATCTGCACTAGATTTTCACAAAACTGTCAGTTTTGATTGGATAATTTAATATGTTATTTATTTTGTCATATTTGTCCACTTTTTCTCGTGTGGTGTGTATATTCGTGATCAGTATACAGTACTTTTATCGTTTAACTGCATAGGTGGCCACGGTCGTGTCGAATTGTCGTCCCCCCGGAATATGAGAGTGACAAGAATAGAGAGTGCATTTGTGTTATAATTTCAGTTCTATTTGATATTTCGAAAGATATATTTAACTTACAGAAAGATTCGTAAGGACATTTCAATAATTAGTATGAAGTATGATCACGGATTCAGCTGTCGAGTTACGTAAAAGTTCTTACAGAATAGCACTACTGTTATTAATACTCAAAACTCAGTGTAGCTATTTACGCACTATTTTGGGGTTGACACAGTTTAAGCTCTCTTATCATTTATTCTTCTTCTACGCTCTTCTTAGTTTTTACTTTGTTCTAAACTCATATTAGATGTCTAATCCAAACTTCGCCTTATTGTTTATTCAAGAAATACTTTAAAGAACTTAAATTTTTCTTGAAGCTTCGATAACTTTCTGGAAAGCTTTCCTGTCTCCATTTAATTTTTGTAGTTTGTGTGTATTAAAAATTATTACAACGATGATTATTGATATTTTGGTTATTTAGAATACACACAAGTTATTTTTTAAGATTATGCAACAAAGTAGATTATTGTTTCCTCTGTTACATAATAAACTTTAAAAATAGTGTAGATTGTAAGTGATGATTGTATTGTCTTATATATGTATAGTGTATGAACTATCTAGTATCCATTACACAAGCCTCATAGCTTACCATGGGACTAGATGGTGCTCTGTGTTAATGTCCCTACATATCTATCTATTTATATATCTTTTGAAAGTTAGTTATTTTACCCAAAACATGCAGATTTCCTCACAAAATTTACTTACACTTTGATACTCAAAATCAAACCTTGAAGCTTTCGCATTTGATATGAAACAATTTCCTTTATATAATGAACGAAATCGCGAATCCATCTAGGTACTATATAAGAAAATTTGTTATAAGCTGTGATAGTGATAGGGTATTATTAAAATGCAATCAAAACAAACATTTGTAATCGAGCGCTTCAATCACAATCATACGACCAATTAACCGGTCAGTTGACCGACTAATGTACAGGGCATCGCATTTATGTTATTTTTAGTATTATATCTTGGATCAGGTTTCTATATATAATAAGGTGACTGATTGCTTTCAATGTATTATGAAACTAGCGACTTATCCCCGTTTCACTCGAGTTATTTTGGTGCCTTTTGAATATTTATTATAGTATGACTAAATATTCGACTGAAGAATAAAATCTGTTATGGTAGATACTGTCTATAACATCTATGTAACATTTGAGACGCGCATGTGCTACATGTGCGCTGTAAAGCATTCGAAACGTCGGGAACAAAGAATCAAAATAAATCCGCCAAAAAACTGCATCAAAATCGGACTAGTAGTTTTGGAGAAAAATGGCAACATGGATTTGCACAAACAAACATCCTCTCACCCCAAACGCATATACCGTTTCCGTTCCTTCGTGAGTAAAAAAAGTCGAAAAGATAGTTTTATTTAAAATGTCAAACATATATAATGTAAATTTAAGAAAAAATTATCTGCATTTTGTAAGAAAATATCAAAGAAACATCATATTTCATATTTTAGTAAGTAGTAAATCTTTGATAACGTGTTATAATACCCGTTATCGTTCTAAGATGTAAAAAGTTTTAACTAACTTGCTAACTTAGCAAGTTTCTTAGCAATTCTAAGAAACTTTGAAAACTTTCGTCATAATCGTTTCAAACATTAAATTCTAAGTAACCATAATGGAAACACATGAAGGTGTTATTTAAGAATTTAGAAGGTATTATTTAAGATTTATTAGATGATATTTATGGTCAGTCTTCTTCTTCTGCCTGGCATTTATTAATCATCAGCTAAAACAGCTGCTCATCATGACTTGTCCTCAAATTCCGAGTTGGACCATAAAAGTCATTATTCATTTGTCTAAACTATCCTTCGAAGAGCACTTAAAAACGTCAATCTTGCTTTAAAACTCTTTTTTGTCCCATCAAACTAGAATAAGGGAGTAAAGACAGTACCTGTATTTTGCACACCATTTGCACCATAACATCTACCTTGTTAACATCAAACTAATTAAAAGTCAATCTGATGGTTCACGATGTGTTAAATTTTGCTAAAGAAAACCACTAGTATGACATTTAATATATGACATTTAAAGAGAAAAGTTTCAGTAATGTACGTAAGAAGCTCATGCTTGGTTTAGAGAGAAGCTTTTATCAAACTTTTGCAATAGTCTTTAGTACTTTTGCAATTTAGTATACAGGGGGTGTCGGGGGCGATAAATCGATCTAGATTAGTTTTATGTCTGGGAAAACGCGTGTTTTCGAGTTTTCATGCGGTTTTGTTTCGCATTATTCCACGCAAAATATGGTCGCTAATTCGCACGCTAAGACATAAGCATCGTGGGCAAGCGGCCAAGGCGCAAGTTTTACAGCCTCAGGTGTCTGGTTTCGTATCCCGGTCGGATACAAAGTTTTACTTTTGTTTTTTTTTTATATTTATTCAAATTTTTAGTTGGTTTTTGTAAATGTTTTTATGACCAAAAACTCCGAATGAAGCTCGGTGGCCCAGGTTCTGTAAGTTATATAAGTATTCTAACATCGTAGGTCGATGAATCCTTTTTAAATAATGCAGTATAGAAGATAAAACGGTCTTAGAACATCTGATTATATTTTGGTACTATACGGGTAATGATAAGAATGATGGAATACATTTTTATGTGGTACTTAAATACGTTTTTTGTACGTACAACATTATTTATAAGCAGCGCCACTTTTAACAAATTTTATTATTAAAAGTAGCTTATGTGTTACCCAGGTCATTTCATACTATGCTTCATCCAAATACATCCAGCCATTTCAGCGTAAAGGAGTAACAAACATACGTACACACACAAAATTTCGCATTTACAAGTATAAATGCCATAATAGTGATCAGATTCTGAAGCACTTTTTCTAAGCTAAATTTTTTTTACAGGGAAATCAAAGTGCTAGCATTGCATCAGATCGGAGGTTTTACTCTTAATTCAACCCAAGAGTATTACGAAGAAAACTTCCCGTCCTTGAACAGTACGACCGTTTCATCGCTCAATTTAACTGGGTGTGCTATGAGCAAGCAATTAGAAGAAGTAAGTAAATATAAATAAATAAATATGTTGGTACACACAGTTAACACACAGCACCACCTAGTTCCATGGAAAGCTACGAGGTCTGCGTTATGGATACCAGATACATTACATATATAACTTTAAAAACATACATGTTATAAATATAAACACCCATGATAGAATAAAAACACTCGTGCTCATCATACAAATGAATGCCCCCAGAGGGACTCGAACCCGAGACTGCTAGCGCAGCATGTAGGTCACTACAAACTGAGCCAAACGTGTCGTCGTAGTTATTATAATACCTGCGTTGTCCAAGTTTAAAGAAAAAAATTGTTTGTTCTTCATAGGAATTTATCTTTATTTATGACTAGCGACTCCCCCTCGCTCCGCTCGGGTTCGTCCCTACTTACGTTTTCACGTTTAGTATAAATTTTTCAGAGGTGAGGTATTTTTCCGCAGTAAAAAGTATCCTATATGTTGACCTGGATAACCAGCTATCGTTACACCAAATTTCATGAAAAGTTCTAGTCGTTTTTCCGTGATGCGGTAACAGGCAGACAGGCAGAAAAAAAATCAAAATACTATAGACTCGGCCTCTGTATCGATAACAATGTCTATTTCAATAAGATTTTCCAAAAAATATTTAATGTACAGATTCGGTTTAGTTACAATTTTATTATATGTATATATGTGACTACGTTAATAGATTTATATTATGTGACATTAATATTATAACTTTTTTTATGGATTTTTATGAATTTAGACTTCTTTGGTTTGCAATGGCAATGGAAAATTCTTCTTCTTTTCAGGCAGCAGAAGGAACAGGTCTGGCCTTCATCGTCTTTACGCAAGCCATCTTGAAGCTCACACCGGCACCGTTCTGGTCCATAATATTCTTCTTGATGCTTCTGTCTTTGGGTCTGGGAAGTCAGATTGGTATTATGGAGGGCATGCTCTGTACTATATTTGATATAGACTTCTTTAAGAGGTTCAGCAAGCCTGTTATTACTGGTATGTATACATGAGATATATCTCATTTTTTAAACGGATAAAGTATTTTTGTTTAATGAAAAAATAATCGGATTATAACTTTAATCACTATCTTTACCTTTAATAGGTTTTTATTTACCAAATCTATACTTGTTTTTAGTATATAAGGTTGAAGAGTTTTCTTTCTTGTGTTGGATTCATTGAGAAAGGTTATAGGCTAACTAAAAAAAAACTACGCTCAATTTTCTGGAAAATATTAGATACGTAATAAATCATCACCAATCACAACATTATTTATTTATTACTTTTGTTCCTATGTTTGCGCTAGTTGTAGATATGTATATATGTATGTATGTAAAAGCGTTATTCCAATATTTATCTTAGATTATTATGGATTGAGCTTATAAGCTTCACTCTAGATTTAACTGTAATCTTTCTTATACTTATGCGAATATTTGAAATTTTTAATAAAACTATCTATTTCGAGCATAATTGCCGCAAAGCATTCGAAACGTCGGAAACCAAAAATCATATTTAATCCGCGAAATAATCCAAAAAATAGGTTTTATTTAACTGTAATCTATTGAAATATACAGTGAGAAAAAACAAAAATACATACATCTTTGAATTTGTAATATTAACTAGCGACTTAGGTACCCTCAATTCGCTCGGGTCCGTCCCTAGGTGCCTAACGACGGATATCAATAACCTCACGATTTGTAATTTTCCATACCAGTGATAGGAATTTTGTATGGAGCTTATGTAACATGTTATATTTAGTAGGTATTATGTTATATAATAGTAGTCCCATGTATTTAATCATTCCGTTAAAGGTTTCGTCTGCACCATCTGTTTCTTCGTGGGTCTGATCTTCACGACGGGCGCGGGCGAGTACTGGCTTAAGATGTTCGACTCGTTCGCGGGAACCATCGGCCTCGTCGTTGTCGCGTTGCTCGAGATGGTCGCTGTTGTATACATATATGGGCATGAGAAGTATGTCATGTTATCTATTTTTTTTTTCAGTAAAATTTGTACTGTTGTATGTATTCAGCCTTTTATAACTTCCTACTGCTGGGGGTGGGTCTCCCTTAAATATGAGAGGGTGGCCATAACCTAGCATGCTGGCCAAATGTAAGTTAGCGGCCTTTATGTCTTTCGAAAGCTTGCTAGGTTCTTGCTATAAATGGTAATCATGTAGAAAATGATTCGCACATGAAAATGTCAGAGGTGCGAGTCCCGGAATTTGAACCTGCTTCACGCGATTTCCCAAGCGAGCGAGTTGCCACCGCCTTCGTTAAGTATATAATCTTAAGAAGATTCATTCAGATACTTGGTTATATTACGTACTAATCGTCACCGCCTATCCGCTTTGCTGGGCGTATGTAAAAATTCCTTTGGGTTTTCAGCGACATACATTGAGTATATTTAGGGTTTTCGTTTATAAATTAAATATTTAGGATATAAAATTACAAATGAAATAAAAATTGTGACGTCTGTACTCTGTACGTCTTTTGTTTATATTGGCGCAAAAAATATATTTATGAAAGTAAATTTAAAAAATCGGTGAAGAGTGTACAAATCAACAGCCTAAACCATCTACAGACGATCTCGCGTCGTTTGGTTAAAGTCCCATACCGATACGTTCCGTAGTTTTTACGCGATGGCGCTATCAATTTTATATGAAATTAACTTCAATCGTGAAGATCATTATTATAGGCTAATTCCATGAGGCACATGCCCAGCAGTGGGCCGTTAAAACGTCTAACTTTGTTAAATAAATTTATTTCCTCTATTATATTATATGTGATATCGATTAAAAAACTTTATTTCGTTAAAAGATTCACAAATGATATCTACGAGATGACCGGCTACCGGCCCGGCTGGTACTGGCAGATCACGTGGCGCTATGTAGGACCTTGCATCGTGTCTTGCATTCTCCTCTCGTCGTTGGTCTTCATGATTCTAAATCCACCTACGTACGGCGCTTGGAATGCAGAGGAGGTTTGAATTTTTTTATATAAAAAGGTTTTAAAGTTCAATTTTTCTTGAAATATTTGAATATTTGATTTTTAATTAGAACTAACTAATACAAATGAAAATTAATTGTTGATATTTGGTAAGCAAATCACTGGTGAAGGGCTGGGCTGGGCTTTGCTTTTTCTAAAATCTTCTCTATCTCTCTTAAAGTTTTCAATTGCACGCAGCAAAAAGAACCGTTTCATAATATCAATATTTTGCGAATAAATTAAAATATTTACACAGTAAATATTTAATAGGGTCGCGTGGAAAAAACACCATATCCTAATTGGGTACTCGGTATCGCCGTGGCCATGATACTCGCCGGTATACTCCCCATACCGGTCGTACTCCTGCTGAGGAGATTCCAATGCTTGGCCCTCGACGTGGACATACATCAAGGATCCATCAGGAGGATTGAAACCACCGTATCTACCAAGGAGATGATGAGCGATCAGGATGTAAGTGATTTATTAAGAAAAATTATGCTTCCTTGAATGTATTTTGTTGAATTGACTAACATATTAAAGTTAATGATCAATATATTGAATTATAATAGTTTTTTATAAAATTTCATAAATTATTGATCGACAAACTCTGATTTTCTTGAGGAAATCAAAATACTTATATTTCTACATAACATTTTCATATATTACATTCTACATCACCTATAGCTCGTATATTTCTAGCGCTGTAAGTACATACATAAAGTAATGTTACATAGTACATGCTTTTAACGCTAACGATTGTAGATAATTCTGCTAATTCTATTTTTCTTTTAAATGTATTCTAACTTTTATGTTCTTTTATAATTATGTGATATTTGTCTAAAAAAATCAATATATAATCAAATGGTCCTTTGAGCCGGATTACAATTTATTTATTTGAATTCTTAACAAACAATTTTAATATATATACAGTAATACCATTGTACAGTAAATAACTACTATTTTTTAGCTATTAAATTTTTTTAGCTATTAAAATACACCACCTTTATGTTAAAATTAAAGTTATAATTGATAAATAAATAAATCTTAATTTCAAAATTATCATTTTTAAAAAAGTACATTTTTTGGATACATTCAAATTATTATAATATAAATAATCCAAATGAAATAATATCACATAACTATCTATCCTGTGACTAACCGACGCTAGGTGCTATCGCCGGAGAGCGCGCCGCCCGCGCAGCTGCTGCCCGACGCCGCCGCCAAGTTCACCATCGGGGACTTTGATGTAAGGCATAGGGATAAAATGGGAGATACTGTTTGTACATACTGTTGTAATGTTTTAAAATGAAGAAGGTTCTAAATTTAGATCATTTTTTCACTTTTTTTGATAATTTTTCGAGATTTTTGATAAATTATCATAAATTTTGATATATTTAGAAAAGATTACATATGTAATTACGTGTGTGATTGTTTATTATATTAGGTCTAGGTCTTAATTATTTTGTTTTTTTGTGTGGATAATATGCAATTGTGTATTATTATAACACGCCGTATATTATTAATATCTATGTGATAAAAGTGGAAAATTCAGTAATAAATTCAATTGTTAGGTAAATTGCTTAAATGATTTATTTTCGACTATAAGACCTCAGTTATTTTTACCACAAAGTCCACTAATTCAAAGTTTGATTTTTTGGAGCCCCTTAAGCCATATATACTAAGATTTGACTGTAAAATAAATAATAGTATATATTTTTAAAACAAGTGAAGAATAAATCACATCACTATCACATTTTTTATACATATTTATTAATTAGTGATGTGTAGCATGTATAAAATGTACAGAAGAGATGTTTGTGTGTTTTTTAAGTTTGTTATCTGTTTAGTCTTAATTCTTTTTTTACTGTACAATTAATATAGAAAAAAGTATTAAAAAGAAACTAACTAATTTTACTAATAACACATTTGTAAAAAGTATTTATAAATATTTTTCTTATCATTATCATCATACGAAATTAAATGAAACTACTAATAATAAGTTAACAAATAGATTACACAGGTCTTTTTTTTATTTCTGAGATTTGTCAACTCTATCTAAGCTATCTCGTTTTCGAAATCTGTTTACGTATTTTTAAATTCAATGTTGGACAATATATAAGCAATGTTTTTAATCTAACGGCGCTTCATGGTACTCGTAGCTAACGTCAAAATCGAGAGTACTCAAAAATAGACTCTTGCAAAATATGCTTATATTTAAAGGTCTACTGACATGTAAATTTTTAAATTAGAAACTGTAGTTTCATTTACTTTTTAAGTTCATAACAACTTTATTATATACAAATAAATGTTATCTACACGTGTGTTTGTATATATCGTGTTGTATAGGGAGTGGACAGCAGCGACGAGAGACCCACGCGCCTCCCCACCAGCATCGTGCGGCGCCCGAAGAAATAAATGTTTGTGTCCCATTATTGTCTCGTCTCACACTAAAAGAATAAGATAGACAGAGCGTTAGAAACTCAGTGATTGATGCCTGAATCGTATTCTGTTTGTCTGTATGTGTTTGTATGCCTGCTTATAAGTACTGATAACACGGTTTCCTTTAGATTTGTCCTTTAGACGTCACTATTGTTACTTTATAATTATACCTACTAGCGAATCACTCTCGCTCCGCTCGGGTTCGTCCCTAGTTACTTTTAACGTTTTTTATAGATTTCTCAGAGATGAGATATTTTACCGCAGTAAAGAGTATCCTATATGTTGACCTGGATAACCAGCTGTCATCATATAAAATTTAATCAAAATCTGTCCAGTAGTTTTCTCATGACGCGTTCCTAGATAGATAGACAGACAGACAAATATTCTAAAAACTATAGATTCAGCCTCTTTATCGATAATAATAACTATTTCAATAAGATTTTCCAAAAGAAAATTTTATATACAGATTCGACTCAGTTAGAATTTTATTATATGTATAGATCTTACGTTCTGTCAATCTTATATTTTTAGTCTGAGTGTTTCGCTTATTAGATGGAATGGTTGGAAATGTTTATATTTAACTTTATGTAGTGTTTTGCTTTTTTACATATTGGCCTATTGCTAACTGTTTTTCTTATATTTAAGAATTCTTAAAATGGCAGGCGAAAGTTAATTTTTAATTCGTCTTTATTTTATTTTGTCTTCAAAATGAAACTTAAAAATATATCTTCCCTTGCTTTATCGTAGATTAATAAACTTAACTACTACTTTACTACTTAGAAATTTACTACTTAGAAATCATTATTTATTTATTTCATTTCATAGAGCATACGTTTCACTTATACACTAACACATTTTAATGAATCGAAAATTATAAAAAAAATTAATCATAATAATGTAAATATGTATGTGAGTATAAATAATTCTTTTTTTTTTAATTTTAGTCTTCAGATTCGGAACAAACTCCCGCGCAAACGTCCGACCGATATGAAGACTCTAGCAGTGACGAAGATATTCTAAATACAAAATACTCCGGCACCAGACTCGCCATGAAACCAATAAATGGCAACACATTCAAAATGGACGTTGTTGATTGATATACACTTTATTTATTTAAATTAGGGACAATTTAATGAAAAAATATATATTTATTTAGTATTACCACTAGTAAGTACTCTGTAGTGAAATTGTAACTTTTTTTTAATTTTTGTCCTCAATTTCTATTTTTAATAGATACAGACGACAATTTGTTTATGACATTCAATTATAATTCCTTAAATTATTTTAATAATAGAAGTAAATATATTATGCGAATATATTTAATATGTCAACTCTCTTAGGACAAAAGTCTTGAAGGCCGGAGACCGCACACTTTAGAAATTGAAAATGAAAAGCCTAAAAAAATTATATTGAAAATTTACAAACTTACTTAACAGACTTTTTGGAAGTAAGTTGACATTATAAAATATAGTAACTGCAATTTCATAATTTTGACTATATTATACGTTTCTAATCAAAACAGTTAAATTATGGTAAAGACTAAAAAGTGGTGGTAATTGTCAAGTAATTTCTGAATTGATTATATTATGGTAAATGCCATATCGGACTGAAATTATAAAGAAAATCATGTTTGTTAAATAATATTACATTATAAAAAAGATCAAAATATTAGTACTGGCTATTAGAATTAGTTAATTTATAAGCTTTGAGAAAATTCGTAGGTTATTTTTAAAGTTAGGTCTGGTTTAACCGACGTTTTTACTGTACAGTAGATTCAGCACTTAGATAAATTTAAAATACAATATCCTTATAAAATTGTCATTTTATTCATAATAATAGAAAAAAAACGATTTTGATTGGAAATCATTGCTTTTTTCATAACAATAATATCATATACCTATATAATACGTCTACGTCTATTAAAGTAAATGTTGCCATATAAATAAAAGTTTTATTTTAATGGCATTAATCGGAGCATTGATATTAATAAAAAAAATATTTTGTTTGCATAAAGAGATTATAGTGTTGACAAAATTTGTGGTTGAGGTCCCCTTTTAAGCAAGTAATTTTTGCCTGTATTAGGAGACCCCGCCCTTTCATAAGAAAACGTACAGATTTAATCCTTAATCCAAATTATACAAGGTATAGTTTTGATATTGATTGCCTTGTAGCAATTTTAGTGACAATTTATAACGAATTTCATAAACTATCTAGTACGAAAAGAATCCTAAGCGTTACGTTCTATACTTGATGTTATTTCGTGTTCGTTTCGAAATGTCACAAAAATATATTACGAGAGCTTTTAATTGAATAACTATTATAAAAATTAGATCAAAAGTTCTTATCAAATTCGTCGTTTTTGGAATGTGTCTATCATTGTGCTGTTGTTCCTAAAACTAAATAAATATTAAAAATAACTTCATTGAATACTCCAATGTACGCCATTAAAATAATACTATTATTCAATAAAAAAATCAAGCAAGTTTTTTCTAAGATGGCGTTAGCATTCCCTTTGCCGTTCCCTTAGAACTTGAATTAAAACTACTGAAACTATGTAATTACAAACAAATTTACAAATTTCCCATTCTACATACTCGTTTCTTAATGTTGGTAATATTATATTACAGCGTTAGACAAGAATGGAAAAATTAGCTCCATTTTGAATAAACTTATAAATAAAAAATTGGCATAATAATAAAACACTGTTAATTTCAATAAATTAATATCGTCGGTTACATCTCGAATGTTCTAGAAGTTCTCCACAAAGTGGCGGGAATGCCTGTATTATATTGCGTTTGTTGTTAGGTTAGGTTACGGGAAAACCGCGGCTAGTCATAGATTAGATGAAGTAGGGTTACTCACGTGCCGAGATATGTAATTAAATATCGATACTGATATATCGATTATTAATTTTAATTGATGGTCTTGAAATTTAATTATATTGGCTTAAAACTTAGTTCTATTATTGACTTATATGTAAGTCGCAAATAAAAAATATAAAATTTTCTTAATGTCTTAATAAGTTATGTTTCATTATTTGCTTTTAATACAAATTATTTTTTATGTTTACTTGGCTTATCTTATAATATAAATTAGAAGTCCTAAAGTACCTCTAAAAAGTTCTGTTTTGGTTATTTTATTATAAATTTTGCATAATCCCTCCACGACCGCAGACACGCCGGCGTGTCAGTTAACAATATACTTCTTAGAATTTTAATTAATTAGAAATTTACCTGGAGGAGTAAGCTAAATGTTTAGAAAAAAATTGATAGAAATAAGAATAAATCAAATCAATAATACTACCACTATCATGAAAAATAGCAGCTATTTCATTTACACTAATAATTTACAAAATGTCTAAGTTAAGCATTGATTTTTTTATAAAAAAATCAATTATTACTTGTTTTATATAAATAATTCAAATTTATTATAAATTATCTTCATTAAGTATCTCATTGCCAACAAAATCCTAACACCATCACGCGTAGAACGCATATCATCAGGGTATATCGGTCATAGATTCAAATATTCTAGATCTACGCTTAGTTAGCATTAAAGCAATTGTTGAATCTAGAAGTTAAAACTTGAATCATAAATTGAAAATAGGTTAAGGAATTCATTATAACGTAATTATCCAAAAGAAAATGTATGCCAAACGTATTCTAACATCGTGTTATAAGAGTTCTCGCAGACTACACATTTTTAATAGCGCTGTTCTTGAAAAACCATTTGGTGTAGTAATTTTTTTGATAACTAGCTAACTGTTGGCTTATCAAGGTTTTACATAAGCCCAATGTAGACAAACCAACCCGTCTAAAATATTAAGCGACAGAAAGTCTTTAGTCTGCGAGGGCTTTTACTGTATCGCTGTGAAAAACAATGACTAAGAAATATTCAGTATTAATGAATGGCAGTTTGCAGCACGAGTAGCATAAGTAGCTGGTTTAATTTTCGAGAAGTATTAGTCTTGTTTCAAAGCGACATAGTTACAACACTAGCTCTGCTATCGATGGAAATCTCAAAAATAAAGGTTGATTGTCACTAAATTAATGAAAATATGGTATTTTTTCCTTTATCAAATCATTGTTGTTGTGAGTACGTTAAATAAAATGTACATTTCCATTGTGAATGTAATACTTAATCTATTCCATAATAAATTTAGTAAAAGGTTCTTTTCGTGAAAAATGTGTTATTTATAATATATGTATAGACTATAGAATAGTATATAATAAGTGATAATTGCAGTTTTTTTAGTTATATGTTTTAGCTACATATATTATTTTTGTGTTATCATTTCTTTAAGATTGTTAAAAATGGCACTGGTTTCTTGTCTATACTAGTGCATATAGCAACAATATGACACTTAATTCGACCCAAGATGACGCCTAGTCTAACGTAATTGGCTAATAAGTTACTAACATTTTAGTCAGTTAGTAAGTCAGGTATTGAAGTTAACGTGAGTTTAAGCATTGATATTATCCATATTTAAACACTCAGAACTTCTGATAAAAACTATCTCAAAATGAATAATAATGAAAAGAATGAAGAAAATCGTACACTTACTTGTTTATAATTGTCAAAACATTTGTAGGTACCGAATAAACGCCAAAGGTCTGTGGTCTCATCTAATATATGTATAATAACGAGATAATATTATTTTAACAATTAAACAGTAACGTAGTCTTCCCGCTTCTTTAATAAAGCATTTACGGATCAAGACATTATGTCGTCAATGTGCAATGTTAGACTGCGGCAATGTACTTAGTAATTGAATGATTTGATATGTAATTGGGCTTGATGTCGCAAATTGTATGAAGATGCGAAGTCAATATAAGATATTTTAGAATAACTTCATAAATGACTAAAAAGGATGTAACTTTTGTGCTAAACATAGTGTATATTGACGACCTAATTCAAGCGTATTTAAATCAAATTGTGAGGTTTGCTTTAATATTTTCATAAAACAATAAATATAATAAATTACCTATAGTTTATTCGTAAATTATTGTTTTTATTGACCCAATATACATACATGTATTGAAAACTTGCAAATTGTAATGGCTTCTACATTGAGAACAGATAATAAATTACACAGATAAAATAGGAATATTTAACCGTTCTTACAAAAACTTTTTTTTATTCCCATAATATAAGGCAAAAGCCAATTAAATTCGCTCAAATGAGCCGATAAGATAAGTGTTAACTCCGTAGATAGCTTGGGATGACATCCCCTAGAGTAGAACTGATTTAAGTAAGTTAGATACATTTTGAAATGCAACATTAAAAATATTGCCACTAATTTGTGTTTTCAATTCCTCCTTCCTTTTAAGTGCATAGAATTAATACTTATAGAAGTGGCAAAAGCCAAACATGATTGAAGTTATGCTTCCACGTTTCACGTTTGGAAAAAATTATGAGAGTAAAATTGAATATGAGAGCAAAAACACACCGATAGCCAAAAAGCGACATGATGAAGTTAGCTGTATACCTTTTACAAACAGAGAGCTGTGACATACGGGATGAAATCTTTAGCTATTTTTGTTCTGCTACGCCAAAGAAGTAGAACTTCTTACGGGCGTACATAAGTACATCCACACGCTTTTTTCTATCGTAAAACACACTGCTCTATACAGCTATTGTAGTAGCAGGTGAAAATAATTATAGTTTTAAATAACTAATATCATGCTTAAAACTAATTATAACGTAATTGGTAAAACGAATTAAATGAACTAAAAAGCATGTTGGTTTAATTATTACAAACTATTACCGTAATATAAAAGCACATTTTTTTGTTTATCTATACTAATATTATAAAGAGGTAAAGTTTGTGAGTTTGTCTGTTGTATCGGGATCTATTAAACCGATTTAGATGAAATTTGGCAAGAAGATAATTTGAGACCCCGGGAATGACATAGGATAGTTTTTATCCCGGAAATCATCCCTTAAAGGGGTGAACACGGGGATGAAAGTTTGTATGCGGAGTCTTTATATAAATAGGCGACATTTAATAGTTCTCCTTGTTCTCCCCTGTTTGTCAACCGATTTTCCTTTTTCTTTTGGTTAGTAGTGTTGGACTCCTAATAAAACTTCGAGATATTCCTTGCTTATATTCTTATATTCAGTACTTTTATAAACGTTAGTGAGTTACATAATTTATAATCATAACCTTTCAGTATTACAAACAATTCGTGCCTAGTCACTACATGGTGGTACCGACATCTCTGTGCAAAAGCGCGGGAAAACAAATGAATATCCGCGCCCTTTTTTTATTTTTTTTTAAAACACATTCCTAACGGCCAAGGTTACATAAGTAAATGCCTTATACATAAATCATTACAAATTAATCAACTATGTTATTTTCTATTAAAACACTCAATATATAAAAATGCAACCTTACAGTAGCTATTGACTAGCTTTAGTGTTATCAACAAAAAAAAGTCGAATTTCGATTACTAGACGAACACTAGTAATATAAATCAGACAAAACAAACGAAAATTAAATCGCTAAGCTTTTAATTATAAAAAAAAACAAACAATATATATATAATACATGAATTATTTTTCTTCAGTCATATTTCATTTTCAATTATAATTTTGCACATTTTTTTTAACTATTTATTCTTATACAAAGACAAATTTTTTTTATCACGATGAAGCAAGCTTTCCTCTTTTGTAAGATTTAATTAAATCATTCATATTTGTATCAATGAAGGGCCGAGAAGCTGAGATTCGAGTGTAGACTCCTGGGATTTCCGATCCACACCCGTATCCAAATGATACTATACCCACTAGTAAGTTATTATGAACCACCGGACCACCACTGTCGCCCTAAAAAAAGGGTTTTTAAGTAGACATATTAGTCGTAAGAACAGAAAACATCTATAGACATGTTGATTATTAATAAAATGATTGCTAATAAAAAAAGCGACTGCGAAAAAAGCGAATTAAATAGATAGAAACAAGTTAATGATGGTACATAAACATAATTGCTGCGAGTTTTGCTAAGTATCTGTACTAATATTATAGAGAGGTAAAGTTTGTGAGTTTGTGACGTTGTGACGTTGTAGGAGGTAATCTCTGGATCTACTGAACCGATTTAGATGAAATTTTGTAAGAAGATAGTTTGAGACCCTGGAAAGGACATAGGATACTTTTTTTCCGGAAATCATCCCTTAAGGGGGTGAAAATGGGGATGAAAGTTTGTTCTTGGAAGCAAGCTAGTGACGAACCCGATCGAAGCGAGGGTGAGTCGCTAGTATTCTATATGTACGAGTATGTCTCAGACTGCATAATACTAGGTTCCTTCTTCAACTTATTTCAATATTCTTAGTTCACTTTAACAATATAATTACTATTTCATTTATAAGTTGTATATATTTTTGTGATCGCTTCTTAAAAACTTTCATTATGATACTCCACTCGAAAGGTTTGGAAGAATAAAATTCTTTAGAAACACACAAATGCCTCACGTATAGTATATGAAGTCGAAATTAACGACGTATCAATTATCAAAATCGGTTAAGCATTTTCAGTTATTACAAAAGAAACATAGGATCGGACATATATATATATATCGCCGCAGTCGGATAAAAATGTATGGGATAATAATATTATTCTGGCCACGTAACGATTAAATTTAGTGGTTCTAAAAAATAATGATACACTTGTTCAAAGTTACTACATACTTCACACGCATCCTCTCCTTTAACTCCTCCAGCGCACATCATGGCTTCAGTGACATTAAACAAATTTGATTTTGTCATTACTTTATTACAATTTTCGTTTTTAATATATGGTACCTTTACGCTAAGTAAATTCGACGCTTGTTTTAATTCCTAAAAAAAATGAAAATTCACCAAATCAAATATTGGTTGTGGTGGCCAATCTTGCTGAGACTAACTCTGCACAGGAGATAGTACTACGTACTATAGTGCAAATGTGCAGTGCAAATATGTACAACTGCCTTCTCTATTTCTATTCTTTCACTTCAATAGTTCTTTTTAGTTTCACAACCGAAAATATTAGATTAGAGATACGTAACAGACGATTTTATGTGTTTTCCGTAGTACGGGCGTGTTAAATTAAGCGATGATGTGGTTGCATGTTTATCAGAATATATTGACAGACGAACCCTCATAGTCATTGTTGACGATTTTCAGGGCTCGATCCTTACCATCTGCACCATATAAGCTCAAATTTATTTTACAGAACTACAATATTTCAGCATTGTATTTATAAGATACTAGCAATTACCATTGCCCGCGGCTCCGCCCGCTTTCAGATGACCAAAAACCAAATACTTAGGTTTTACATATTAGTATACTCTTACATATCAGTTTCTGTATTTTTTCTCAAAAATGAGATATTTCAGAGCGGTAAAAAGTATCCTATATGTTGACCTGGATAATCAGCTAAGTATGACCATACCAAATTTCATGAAAATCCCTTCAGTGGTGTTTCCGTGATGCGGTAGCAGACAGACGGACACACAAAAATTCTAAAACTTATAGATTCGACCTCTATCATCATATATCAATAATAATGTCTATTTCAATAAGATTTCCAAAAAATATCTAGTCGGCTTGGTTACAATTTTATTATAGGTATGTATAGATGTATAATAATTTTATAGCGATATTAAAGATATTAAAATATCTTGTCTTGCTTTTTTCTTTTCTTTTTTTTTCTTTTTGTATTAATGCAACTAATTTAGTAATGTAAATTTATAGGTATATCTGTTAAGGAAAACAGATATATAGATTCTAGGAAGAAGTGTAACCCCGCGGGATAGTTATTTAATTTTTTTTTATAATCACTAGTTCTAAACTTGCCCTGCCCAAGAACATTGAGATATAATTTTACATATTTCAGATTTAGCATACCGACCAATCTCCCTTGTATCTTCTCAATTCTCCGTGGAATTGGCGAAGTAAACTGAGCTAAACTGGTTACTACGTTTTCAATCCATTACCAAGAAAATTGAATTGCTTTGGACTTCCTATCTATTCCATAATTTTAATACACAATTAAGACAACTGCAAGGTACCTACAGTATAATAACCCTGTAATACCTACCTCAGTTTTACCAAAACCCACAACCATCAATGTTTCATTATCTTTTAACGACAAATCTTGAGGCGCCATCTTTATAGGAAACACTCGATTATTAAATCGCAATTTTCTCATCAAGAATATTACGGCCACATCATAATTATCGGTCGTCGAATTATATTCCGGATGCAGGACTGTCTTTTCTATATCATACCGTAGTCCCTTGTTTAGTTTATCAGAACCTACTTTGATATATTGTTTTACTGAAGGTCTGAAAGGAAATGAAATATGCCAAAAAAGATGTATTAACAGCAGAATGATGAAAGAATGATATGTAATCTTTTAACCCATTTTGTAGAGGATTTAGACGTGTATATTTGTTTTTTTATGTATACGTGTATATTTATTTTACGAAGATTTTCACTGTAATGAAATCTAGAATATGCTTCGTTGCATATTCACTACCGTTACCACCGATACAGTGATACTCTATTTGGTCAGACCCAGGCCTTTTATTGATGCACATAGGAGTTTGGGCTCTTATGAATTCGAAAAGCAGTTTTAATAATTTAATAGTATTAAAATTATTATTGTTATTAATGTCTTTATATTATGTTGAAGAAATAATGCAAATATATGTACATACATATAGCAATGTGCTGCAGAAATAAGAAAATTTCGATGAACAATAACGGCGCCACAGACACATCTATCCCACGCGAAGTATTGCGCCATGTATGGGGCCTGCGATATTTTGTAAAGAGAACCGCCATATATCAGCTTTTTGTTTTCTACATCTGAAAAATAAGACACTTTTGAAAGTTAGTAATAATTATTATTAACAATACTTTATATTATTATAAAAAAAATTATGCAAGGAATGACTTAAACATTTAAATTCCGATTTTTAAAGAATAGCAAGTGGAATTAGGGTCACCTCATTGATTTTAAAGGGAACTTTATTCATTCTAGGGACAAAAAGAGTTCTCAAGAAAAGGGTAGAGGATGAGTTTTAAAGTAACTGCCCTTTTTAGGGTTCTGTACCTCCTCAGGTACGGTGCCAACTGAACCCTATTACTATGTCTCCGTTGTCCGTCCGTCCGTCTGTCAGAGAGCTGTATCTCATGAACCGTAATTGGTAGAGAGTTGAAATTTTCACAGAGTATGTATTTATTTCTACCTATTGCCGTTATAACAACAAATAATAAAAATAAAAAAACTAAATACAAGAAACATTTTTTTTAACATTTGGAATCGATCATCGAAGTTAATATACTACATACATAGAATAAACGCCATATTAATAATTGTGTGCGTATTCGACTCGCACCTGACCGATTTTTAAATACCTGTATCTGCTTTGCAGTGCGCCACGTACGTAGCCACAAAAAGACAGAAGTACTTAAACCACATATTGCTACTATTCGACTGATAAAATTATTATCTGTAATAAACTATTTATATTTATTTTAGAGTCCAGTGCCACTACATTTTAACTTTATCACTAAAAAATGTATGTTATTTTTACATTTCGTTACACGCTATTATTACAAATCCGAGAATCGGTGAGGTCGAATGGTGGTTTGTTCGTTATTTCTCTAATTTGTAACGGTTTTACGGTTTTGAGTGAAATTCTGTATGGTTACCATGAGTAGGTGAGGCCATTGAGGACATTGGCCAGTTAGTTAACTGGGATGATGATACAATAATTATCGACAATGCGCAAAGGACTTATCATTGTTTTGACAGAGATACTAACAGGCACACATATAACTGAACCGTTATGACTTTACCTTCCCCAAACTTTTATTAAAGAATTAGAGTATTAGATACATTTAATTACTAGTTAAATGTTTGTGGAAATGGTCCATTATCGCATAATAACGTCAACATTGAAAATATGTACAGTAATATGCAATAAAATAAATAAATGACATTTTAGTATTTATCATGTTATTAAATAACTAGGTACGTTTTAACGGTTAGTATGGAATAGATAGACTATATATTATACAATATATAGCCTATAGCCTTCCTCAACAAACGAGTTATCTAATGCAAAAAGAATTTTTCAAATCGGATTAGTAGTTCCTGAGATTAGCGCGTTCCAACAAACAAACTATGCGTCATTATAATATTAAGTATACCCAGATGTTGAAAGTGTAAATCACTTTCACATGTAAAGTTCGAGACTAGTCTTGAAGAATCGTATTTTCATTTGCACAATCAATAGTATCGACTAAAAGGGTTGACATAAATAATGTAAAATCTTCTTGATTTCCTTTACCCACCTATCTTGAGTTCCACAAGGATTGACTCTTGTTCTCTTTTTATTCTTAATATTTATTAATGATGTTACGCGAAGAAATTATCTATATTGTAGGTACCCTTTGCTGATGATACCTCGTTAATTTTATTTTTATGAAGTAAATAGTATTAGTAAATCACTTAATATTAAATGCCAAAAAAAAAACAAAATGTCGAATTCGCATTGCTTAACGTTACACTTGTGTTTGGGCTTTTTTTTAAACGTACCACTGCTGGGCACGGGCCTCCCTTCAAAACGGGATGCGAGGGGGATCAGGCCATAGTCCACCACGCTGGCCTAGTGCAGGTTGGCGGACTAAACATGTCTTTCGAAAACTTACTAAGTTCTCTCAGACACGCAGGTTTTCTCACGATATTTTCCTTCACCGTAACGCAAGTGGTAATCATGTTGGAAATAATTCGTACATGAAAATATCAGAGGTGCGAGACGCGGGATTTGAACCCGCTTTACTCGGTTTCCCAAGTGAGCGCGTTACCAATGGGCTACCACTGCCTCTACAGTTACAGTTAGCCCAAATAATCCCGTTGCTTGGCAAAGGCCTCCCCTCTACGTTTCCAGGCTTTGCATTCTTGAGCAAAGTCAATTGGGATTTGTCCAGTTCATCCCGCCACCTAGTTCTTGGTCTACGATGATGCCTTTTCCCCTTCTCAGAACTCCCATACTTTATGGTGCTTTAGGCCCACAGTTAGACATAGACTTTGACTAACGTAAAAAAGCAAATTATTAGTGATTCTCAATTATGAAATACTGGAGAAGAGTGCGTGAGCGCGATAATGACGGTGAATAAATGTTTTGGAGCATAATTTTGTTTTTGAACCGAGGTCTTCTTTGTGAATAAATAAATCTAATATATTTAAACGAGCAATTCTTCTCCAACGATTTTCATGAAATTTAGTATACTGGGGGTTTCGGGGGCGATAAATCGATCTAGATTAGTTTTATGTCTGGGAAAACGCGTGTTTTCGAATTTTCATGCGGTTTTCTTATTCATTATTCCACACAAAAATCACAGGTGTCCATGTACGAATCTCGGTCAGATACAAAGTTTTTACTTGTTTTTTTTAATATTTATTTAAGTTTTTAGTTTAAAAAAAAAAGAAAATTGTACTTCAGGCCAAAAACTCCGAGCGAAGCTCGGTAGCCCAGGTACTATGAAATGAAATAAATTTATTACAATTACTTTTAAATCGTCAATTTAATGAAAGCGTCAGTATAGTCAGTCCGTGAGGAAGCTACTACCGGCTCGGAAAGCAGTTCTGCTGAGAAGAACGGCGAGAAACTCAACAGTTGCTCTTTTAAATATCGAGGTTACATTTATTTTACTAACATAACATTATAGATAGCCCGCATATGAGTCAATATCTCTCAATTCCATACATTTTCATCAACAAGAAACTCTTAAACAGTATAATGTGCTTTGCTCAATAAAATGTTTTTAATTTTATCATTAAATTTTTGAAAAGGTCTAGTACATTTTGTGAAATCATATTATATATGCTCATGAAGGATTTATTCTCCTTTTGGAGTCGAAATCTAGGCGTAAGAAGCTTATTTTTATTCCTAGTGTTTATTGTGTGTCTATCACAGTTTTTTACTTAATTATTTATATTCTCACGAACTAGTAATATATTACACAGCAACTATATATTGTGACACAACCGTAGGAATACCAATTTTTTTGAAAACATCTCGCAGGGAATCACGAGCTCTTAGATCATAAATGGGCTATTTACTGCTCTTTTTTGAAGAATAAATATCGAATAAATTTCCGTGGCACAGCTCCAAAGAAGTATTCCATAATATAGAATACTATGAAAATAACTAAAATATACAAGTCGAGCAGTGTTAATATCCGTTACATTTTTAACTTTGCTTACTGCATAGGCGGCGAAGCTGAGTGTACCTGCAAGTGTTGAGACATGGGAGTTGCACTGGAGTTTTGAGTCTAGTGTTATACTTAAAAATACTGCTGATTCAGTTATTTCCAGTGTTTCATTATTCATAATCAGACTAAAATTCTGCTACGTTAGGCAATGTGATACATACATATATACATATATGAGCTGATCCATTACTTTTCGACGAAAGTGTGCGAGCGTAGCCTCAGCTTCTACATAACTTAGAGTTTCCATTCAAACGGCATTCTTCTCTGTAAACTCTCTACTTTACAGAATATTCAAATATAATCAAAAAGCTTATAAAAACCTCATTTTTATTTGCGAATCTTGAAACCTTAACCGTACCAAAATAAAATGATATTAATATAGTCTATTATCACCCTGTAACCTGAAAACCTGTATACAGTTTGATTTATGATATAAAAACAAAAGTTAGATCCGAAAATGAATTTATTCATAAGCTTTGACAATAATCGAGATAATATTCATATTTATAAACAAATTTTAGTTTTCTACTCCAGTTTAATTTACAATTTTTTAATTATATTTTGTAAGAATTTCCAAGTGTTAGCTGTATTTTCACCATTGTAAAGGTAAATATATGTTTTTATAATAAGACAAGTTTATCTTTGTGAGAATTACTTAATTGATCTATAGTTGTATCAATGAAGTTCCGGATCGCTGACACCCGAGTAAACAGTACAGGGAGCTTTCCTCCACATTTCCCCTCGGCCTTGTGTAAATGCGATGCTATTCCGACTAGAAAGTCGTTATAGACCAATGGACCGCCACTGTCGCCCTGAAAAAAGGTATTATTTAAATACGGGTGTACACCTAACACCTTTTAAAGACCATAATACTAGTATTCTAGCCTTTAATTGGTTATAATTATTTAACATTTTGTAACTGTCGCCTTTTGTATTTTTATAACTTTTCATTTACTTTCTTAATTAGTTGTAATTGTAATGATTTTGAATAATAAATGTATATATGTATGTGCAAATGAATATGTAAGCGTGTATCAAAATACGTATGTACAAACAAAAATACATACACTACACGGACTCTCTCCCTCGACTCCTCCTGCGCACAACTTTGTTTCAACGACTGGGACTCCTTTACTGCAATCCTTATTTGTGACGTACGGCAACTTCACGCTCAGTAAAATTCGTGTATATAGTGACTTCTAAAAGAAATTTCGGTGTCATATATTAATGCGTAACTTAATTTTGTAGTAAATAGTTAGCAAGCTATTGCTATTAATCCCTATTATTTTTATTAGAAAGAAACTGTCAAAGCTGCGAGATTTGTATGAAGCTTAGCAAATAATTGGACCATGCCCTGTCCTAATACAAAGGGAACCTCCTTCTTTTTTTAAGTCGGTTAATAAAAGGAAAAAGAGAAAACACAACTTAACAGCAAAACAGTATGTTACCTTCATATTATTTTAATATTTTAAATTTTTAAGTATTACTGATTACTACCTCCGTCTGTCCAAAGCCCACAGACATCAATTCGTCACCGGATTTTAAATCCAAGTTTTGTGGCGCCAACTGTATAGGTTGCACTCTATCACTGAATTGCAATGGTTTGCTTAACATTAACACAACTGCATCGATCTTTAAGTCCTTTTTATTTTCTGGATGGTCGACAGTCTTTTGTATGTCATACCGTTCCCCTTCTGTCATTTTATCTGAACCTACTAATATGTATTGTTTTCCTTCTGGCCTAAAAATGAATAAAAAATACAAAGTAGGAGAGGTAGCATCTCACTTAGTTATTTTATATTGACTGAAATACATAACAACACTTTTAACTGTTTAGTTTTTCGCCAGCTTTAAGTTATTAATTCAATTTAGGTGCTAGTAATCCGAGGTTTCCGTCCGTAATCCTTTCCGAATAATTTTCAACATTATTACCTAACTAGCGACTCACCCTCGCTTCGCTCAGGTTCGTCCCTAGATACGTTTTAAAATAAAATGGATATATTAGGTTATCCTTTTGAGATAGACATATGCCATCGCAGACTTTTCTGTAGACCTATATAAGATACACAATTTCACCATACATTATTTTGTTATATCTCAAAGGGTTTAGGCAGCGTTTTCGTTGAAAGCTCCCAGACGTCTTATTTTTTCCGACACCTCCAACAAATATCGTTATATTTTAGCCAATGTATACAAAAACTTAACAAATTATATACTAAAACCTTCCTCTTGAATCACTCTATCTATTAAAAATACCGCATCAAAATCCGATGCGTAGTTTTAAAGATTTAAGCATACATAGGGATATAGGGACAGAGAAAGCGACTTTGTATTATACTATGTAGTGATTTAATGTCAAAAAGAACCTAACTAGTTTTTGACAGACATGTGAAAGTCAAAGCACCGCGTGGTGAGCCTGAACCCCCATGCAATTTTCAATGTAAGAGAGGCCGCTGCCTCACTGTTAAAAAAGTTAAATGTGATAAGATGAAATCAGGTATTTATGTTCAAATATAACATATGAATTTGAAAGTCAAAATGCTAAACGTCGAATATCGTTTAAAACTTAATTTCATATATATATAATTACTAATATAAAGACATACATATAACAGTGTGATGCACTAATAGCGAATTTTTGGTGAATAATGCTGGCGCCGCACATAAAGACTCCCGAGACATATTGCGCCATGTATGGAGCCTGCGTTATCTTGAGAGGTGACCCACCAAATATTAACTTCTGTTTACTATTCGGCACTGAAAGAAATCAAATGAAAAACCTAATTATCAGTTTAAATGAATCTTTGATGATCTAATGTGAATCTAAGTGAAATCTTTTTATCAGGTTAAATTTTTTTAAAGGTACAGTATCAGTCAAACTAAAAATTTAGAAGAGTAAAAATTTTTTTGCAAGGGATGTAGGTAACTGAATTTATACTCGTTGTGATGAGGTTTTTCTTAATTTTTGAACTTAGTATAGTGACCAGACCTGAAAGTGTTATTTTGTGATTCTTACTGGAAATCCAAAAAATATAGAGGATAGGTGGTGTGTCAAAAATGGGTTCATTTAGTAGGGTAAAAGTTTTACCCATTGACCTAGTGGATTGACGTAAAGGTGTACCTTGATGAGAGCTGCTGATAGCGGATTATTCAGACCTGAAGAACATCAAGCCTTACAAATTAATAGAAAAGGGTTTAATCGATTTGTACATGTCGACATGATTTTATTTATCATAGAAAAGGAAAAGAAAGATAAAAAGATTTGCATATGAAGCAATTTGCTATACAGTTCTAAAACAAAAACATAAAGATATACCTTGGTGCTGCTGCTAGCGGAAAGATGATTAAGCAAGAAGGAAATCAGCCGTACAAGTTAACATAAAAGAGCTTAATTAACTTTAACGGGAATTTCTTTTAATCATAGAAAAGGAAAATAAAAATGGAAGGTTATGTGCAGGATAGAAAATATAATATTTAAAGTTTTTGGTACAGAATTCAGTGAAAGCTTAAGCGAAGCGAACCAATAGTAAAATTATAATAATAAATATAAAAAACCTGTCCCTCCTTCGCAGCGCGCCGCGAAGACCGCCACAAGAAGACAAATGTTAAACCACATGTTGCTACTATCCAACTGATAATCAGCACTTCTGTAGTAAGCTATTTATACTTTTATCGGAGCCCAGTGCCACCACGTTATAACTATAACAATCATTAACTGAAGATCAAATGACACGTTTATAATCAGATATTTTCTAAGTCGGTGTGCTCTGTATATCGACTGGCATTAAGAAAGTATTTTTTTAATAAAATATTCGCTTAAGCCGTTTAAGTTAGTTTGTAGTCAAATTTTATATGAAAACTGACAAACTAAAATTCGGTTTTATTAGGGTCACGAAAAAATTATAAATCTTTCTAAAATCCAATTCTAACGTATTTGGCCTGTCAAATCAAACAAAATAAGCCTAAACTCAAAGTATCTACTATTAGCCGTAGAAGAATTTCACCTGTGGATAGGTTACCTTCTGGTCTTACCATCAGATCAGGTCGACGATACCGTATCATTGCACTTTCAACGGAAATAGAAGCACTTTTTCAGTTTCTGAGAGACAGAGAAACAGTTTCTAGTCAATATGACAATTAGAAGTAGATTAAATTTATCATTAGCTGATTTTCCACCCTTAGAGTATTTTTTTTTTCAAATTTAAATGGGACCAAATTGGAAGTATACACTTTCAAACAAATCAAAAATTGTCCAAATCGGTTAATAAAAGACGGAGTTCTGAGGTAACAAGCTAAAAAAATACAGACGAATTGAAAACCTCCTCCTTTTTGAAGAAGTCGGTTGAAAATCTGTATAGATGATCCCATAAGGACGCAAACAAGGAAATAAGGTGCAAAAAATGCTATAAAATAGAGAAATGTGACAAATATTTTAACTTTAAAATGAATCATTCATTTATCATACTTTTACAGTATTATGTAAATTTTCAGCATACTATGTTTTTTACAATAATTAAATTTTATTTCTTTTTTTAACCAACTTCGAAAAGGGAGAAGGTTTTTAAATCTTCGGAATCTTGTTTTTTTTATGTATGTTCACCGATTACTCGATAATATTCTTCTTCCTGCCCATTTCCCAAGTCACTTGGGGTCGGCGCAGTAAGTCTTCCTCTTCCATTCTCCCCTATTACTCGTCATCTCATTATTCACCCCTTTCTCTTTCATGTCTTGTCTCACACAATCTATCCATCTTTTCTTCGGTCTTCCTCTATCTTTCCATCCATCTACATTCATTTCCATCACTCTTCTCGTCACATGCGTTTCATCCCTCCGCTTCACATGCCCATACCAACTAAGACTATTATATATATATATATATCGAAGCAGCATTAATTTTCTCTATTATTTTCCATTATTTTATCATGAATTATACAGTGGGCGTTATATGGGAAGTGTTGGTTCAAATGAAAGTCGATGCAATCACAGTTGTATTTCAAATTAACAATAATCACTTTGTACATAGTTAAACAGCACTTCACTACACAACCATATACCACTTCACTATTACCACGCAAGACAGTTCCTAGTGGAGCGGTCCTAAGCTTGGCTCGGCTCGAAGGCAAGTGTCCAGCCCTCTTAGCACCCCTCCCTTAGCTAGGCTCCGTCGTAGCACGAAGCTCGCCGAGTGTTGGCGATAATACCGAAGGTGCTGCCATCACTCAGGCGTCGTGCTGCGCTTCGTTTAGCGACCGTATTGATGACCGTCTCCGACACGGCCATCCTGCGTGCACACGCCCTCGTGTGTTAGCCGTGTGTTAGCCTGCAACAAAATAATCAACGAAAATACTTGCTCGACTCGGTCAATCCTGACCAGATAAAACTTAACTTTGAATCTGAATCATCTTTATTCTAACGAAAAGCTTTAACGCTAACACCTTTGTTTTTTTTTTTTAAACTCCAAGTCACTGTAACTATCTCTAATCTAACTAATAACATTAGTCATCCAGAGCCATGTACCAACATCATTCAACACTTCAGCAATCAAACTAATTTTCAAATTTACTAGCACCTCTGTAAACCACTCTTAGGCCACGGCTTTACAAGCCAACCAGCAATCACAATTGCTCCACAATCCAGGTGCATCCACTACGGGATCACCGTGTGTATCATCATCCTCTCGATGACTACACACTATGGTCATAACAGACCCCGACCTCCGCCAGAACTAAACGCACATCACACACCCACGGTCTATATAGTTTGAGCTTCCTCAAAAGACCGACTTTTACCAGGCTATGACTACGTAATAGTTACTAGTACGGTCGACACATCCACTACGGGATCACCGTATCACCCTCTCGGTGAGTACACACTATGGTCATAACAGACCCCGACCTCCGCCAGAACTAAACGCACATCACACACCCACGGTCTATTTAGTTTGAGCTTCCTCAAAAGACCGACTTTTACCAGGCTATGACTACGTAATAGTTACTAGTACGGTCGACACTACTACGGCCGTCAGAATGCTTACACCGGTTTCCATTGATTTCATTAAAACATTTGCTTGGCATGATGATCATTATTTACATCAACCTCTATTGGTACATGACCTACTAGAATTTTTGTGTAAAGAATTTATAGCCGTCATGTTAATAGAAAACCTTTCAATATCTCATGTTCTATTATGATACCATTTTGTAACTAATAACTAGGCAAAACATAATATTTCAAAAGATTTCAAGAGAATAACCGTTAATCGTTACAAAACAAATTTTACTCTGTGCGGAATATTCCGTTTTGATCAATACTAGAAATTGCAAGGACAAAATCGTTAACCACACAATATGACTGCTAAATGTTATCTTACTAACGAATATTCAGCACCATGATTATAACAAAAGCAATACAGATTACCTCTATGCCATTGAGCATTCGAAGATGGTTGTACAACACATACATCCACGCGTCGTTCCGTTCGTGTTGCACCCATATTGCTGCCGTCCACTTGACTGGCACTACTTATGCACCGGAGCGTGATGTGACCAGGCTTGCCACATTTGAAGCACACCAGAGACTTCACTGCAGGCTGCAATGCCGTTGCTGTCATCGCAGGTCGTTCCACACTGTCATTTACCTTGCCTCTACACTCTGACCGCTTATGACTCACTTTTCTGCACTTATAACATTTTAACATTAGCTTGGCTCGTTTAGCATCAGGCACTTTTGAAAAATCATCAGATAAACTAGCTTTGTGTTTCAAATGTGAGAATGCGTGCAATCCCTGCTGTAGTCGATCTCGCGAAGCAATTTTCGTAGTAAAGGCCAATCGTTGTAATTTCGAATTAAACTGACATAAGTGAGCAAGGACAGTCGCAATTGCTATCTGATTCTTGCTAGCGTCTTTCCAACGATTAGTCAGTGACGTCATCAGGCGATTTGCGTACGTAATGAGTTTCTTTTTTCAATTGGTTTGTCACTGTTAAAATTAATTAGCGCCTTGAAAATCACTTTGAACTCTTCCTATGTTATTCTCTGGTATACAAATTGTGACAGCCACGTCGACCCTTATCCTTTTAATTCCTTACTGACTGTTAAAATAAGTTAGCCGCCGTATGGAGGGTATTCGGCAAAACACAAATCTACAGTCGCAAATCAAGATCTTGCGTCCGTATCCATATTGTCAGGGTCAAACTCGCGTAACTTGATGTTCTTCTTCATCCGAGGCATTTGCATGGCCTCGATAAGAGATCACATAATGACATTTTGTTGTTCAAACATAGCACGTCATTGTTCACTCAGAGATAGTTCTTTTTGCAATTGAACCAACACTGATCCCGCTTCTGATATCGAAGCAGCATTAATTTTCTCTATTATTTTCCATTATTTTATCATGAATTATACAGTGGGCGTTATATGGGAAGTGTTGGTTCAAATGAAAGTCGATGCAATCACAGTTGTATTTCAAATTAACAATAATCACTTTGTACATAGTTAAACAGCACTTCACTACACAACCATATACCACTTCACTATTACCACGCAAGACAGTTCCTAGTGGAGCGGTCCTAAGCTTGGCTCGGCTCGAAGGCAAGTGTCCAGCCCTCTTAGCACCCCTCCCTTAGCTAGGCTCCGTCGTAGCACGAAGCTCGCCGAGTGTTGGCGATAATACCGAAGGTGCTGCCATCACTCAGGCGTCGTGCTGCGCTTCGTTTAGCGACCGTATTGATGACCGTCTCCGACATATATATATTAATCGAATATGTTATTAAAAAAAATTCTTCTTACAAATTATCTGCTTAGTACGTCACACTAAAATAGAAAAATACAAACTTTAAAAAAAACGACTTACAGGCACTAAAAAGTAAAAATAACTAAACGGGGGTTTTCATTTAGAATAGATACCTAATCAGATATTTTCGAAGTCGGTGTGAGCCTATGCAAAGCAAATCTAATATATTTCGATACCTAAAATACACACAATTGTAGGTATACAATTGTTTAGGTGCTATTATTAGTTGTCCTAAGTATACATATCCTTCTACGAACTCTATTTTAGGCAGACTATAATTTTATTTTGCTTTTTTGTTTTAATATTTTAGCGGACTCAGTCACTGCAGTTCATACAGTTGTCTATTATCTTTGCACATCGGCAAAGTAGCCAGTAAACAAATAAAACCGCCATTTGTTGTCCATGACACTTGTTTGTAAAAATCCACAAATTTAACTTCTATGGTAATCTAATTAATAATAATCCTGGATATAGCAGTTTCTTGACTAACTCAGTCATGACTTAACGAAAAGAGGAATAAACAGTACTGGAAAAGGATTTTAATAGTGTTTTATTAAATTAATTTATTCATTTGTGATTTTCATTTATTTCAGTTGAACACAGTAAATAAATAAATAAAAAATTATTTAAAATGGAAATGGATACAAAATTAAACAAATATTTCGTAGGTAGTAACATTTTATGTGCTTCTTTATAATGGACATTTTTTAAATCCTTATTAGATAATAAATTACTTTAAACTTATACTCAATGTAGTAGCATTGGATTCTGATAAAAATATAAATAGCTGACTACAGAAGCAATGATTATTATCAGTTGGACAGTAGCAACATGTGGTTTAACATTTGTGTTTTCGTTGCGGTCTTCGCGGCGCGCTGCGATGGAGGCACAGGTTTACATCTATTATTATTAAAAACTAGCTACGAAAGGGGAGATACATTTGTAGCTCGTCCACATTTTCTTTATTAACTTCCACGTATCTTAATGCATGTAATTTTTTATTGTGGTTTCTAATGTTAAAATTACAGTGCTTTAATTTTGAACCGTTCACCATGAAAATTGGTAAATTTGATAATTCAGTTTTGGCAGTCTCCATTTTTTGTCATTGCATAACGATAATATAATCTAGCAAATCACTTGAGATTCAAGAATGTTTTTAGCTTCATTAATCTTGGAGTTGAATAGTTATTGTTACAGCTACGGACAGACGAACATACGGACAACCGGACATACGGAGAAGACGAATTATAAGGGTTCCATTTTAGCCATTTCACTACGGATCCCTAATTTGTAGATTCGTTAATGCCCTTAACCCTTGTCTAGTTGTACGTCCTTAAATAATATCTATATCGCGTAGGGGCTTGTCCTTGTCAATACCAATGCTGGAGAAAGATTTTCCCCTGCCTACTTGCTTGTTATAATAATTTCATAATAGACAATTTTGTATTTACTGTAATTTTGTCCCGATCGAAAAGTTTCCTCCGAAATTCGACAGATAATATTTTATGAAAATTGTTATTTATACGGCATAAGGCAAAGCATTGATCAAGAAGTAATAACATGCTAGCAATTAGATAATTGAGATAATTAAAGTTTGTAATGTCAAAAAAACAGCTTTTTACTAAATACATATGAAATTATATACCGTACTTTACGAAAAACTCATTTTTTTATTTTCGTCTGTCTTTCTGTTTGTTCCGGTTAATATCCGAAACGACTGGACTAATATGACGGGAGTTGCACTGGCAAATAGCTGATGTTATAAGGAGTAACTTAGGTTGCTTTTATTTTAGAAAAAAAATTAAGGTTCCACTCTAACTCGCCTAATACGTACCCGGACACGCACCCGAGCGAAGCGAGAATAAGTCGCCAGTTATATATAAATTCTGATGCAATGCGTCAATCAATCAAGCATATTTCGCTATACCTGGGACTGTAAAACATAATCACTTTACTCGAATACTATTGAATTGCTGTCAGCTGTTTGATGCTTAAGTGTCTTATGAATATAAAACCGCTAGATCATTCTGTAGTCATACAATGAAAAATAAAAGGGGTGACCTTGGTGTTAGCTCATCTTGCATGAATAAATTTTTTAGTAAAAAAATAAAAACCACTTCAAAAAAAACACCAAAAAGTAAAAAAATAACTTATTGGTAATTTTCATTTACAATAGATACCTAATCAAATATTTTCGAAGTGGGTGTGCTTTGTATAATCTATCTATCCATGGTTCTTCTTACTAGAGACAGAAATTATACTCGTATCATAATTTGAAAGCAGCTTATGGCAAATTTCTAATCTCTAGTAATGAGAACCATAGCGAAATACGTTTATTGGGATCCGCCGTAAGTTATCTAAGATTGCTTTATAAATGTTTACCTATACGTGACAAACATGAATTCAAACGAAGACACCTGCAGTCTAATGTTCTTATATTTTCTTTCAGTGTAGTCTAATGTTCTTATATTTTCTTTCAGTGCAGAATAACAAACAGAAGCTGATATATGGTGGTTCACCTTTGCCAATTACTGAGGCTCCATACATGGCGCAATATGTATTAAATGTATTAAATGATATCACTTTCTGTGGTGCCAGCATTATTCACAAAAATTTTGTTGTTTCCGCAGCACACTGTTATATGTGCGTCTGTTTTTTAATTAGTACATAATTATATAACTTATTTTTGCATGTTTTCATATAGTAAGCGAAACTATTATTCTTATGAATATCTCCTGGTATAAAATGACTGAGATGCTACGTTACCTTTCCTATCTATTTGATTTTTTAGGCCATCGAAAGAAGAATATATACTAGTAGGTTCAGATAAAATGATCGAAGGACAACGGTATGATATAAAAGAGACAATTGTCCATCCAGAACATAAAACAATTGATGTAGCATTGATAATGTTAAGCAGACCATTGCAATTCAGTGATAGTGTACAGCCTATACAGATGGCGCCAAGAAACTTGGCTTTGAATTCTGGTGACATGTTGATGTCTATGGGCTTTGGAAAAACCGAGGTATATAGATATTATAACTCGTAGTATTTATTCTTAGTTTTCTTTACATTGTGGTATCGTTATCTAGTGGGTTATTTTAAAACTAAAGTATTATTGAAATGTTGCTCGCTTGCGCTAGATGAGATTTGCACGTATTTATGAGAGAGTCTTTTTGTAAGGTTTTCAATTTTGTTATCAATTATTCTAAGTATCTTAAAAACAATAGTATGTCCATGCATAGTGGATCAAGAAGAATTTCAGGAATACATGGAGTATCTGCCCAATACATTTACGTCCATGATGTTAGCCCGACCCTAAATCTTATTCTGATGATGGCAAAGGTCCTTTTTTTTATTTTGAGAAATTCTTAATCTAGAAACTTATATGTGTGTAATCAATTCATGCCATTACAAGCCTCATTTTGTCTGTGGACATAATTGATGATGCCAATTTTTACATACTCAACTTTAGCTTATTGACAAATTAGCTATAATTATTTACAAATATATTATTGTCTAATGTCTTATTCGATTTAATTTCAAAATTTACGATGACTTGGTCTTATTTTATAAATCAAATCAAACGACAGTATAGAAAATATTATTTCTACTAAATAGTCATAATATACATGAAGATTTGTTTTTTTTTAAATTGTACTGTATTTTTTTTCAAAGGTCATTTTTTTCTGTATGCCTGTTTGTTTGTCTGTGAAATTGGTTGGGTCGGTAACAGCTACTTTAAAATTTATATTATGTCATTGTTATTTTTATAGGATTTAACACTGTATGTAGTAAGCTTTTTATCGTGTAAATTTATTTTATATTTAAATTAATGTCGCTATTTACTTATTTTAGAAATTACCTATATCACCTGTTTTACTCAGCGTTAAGTTGCAATATGTCACCGATAAAGATTGTAATGAAATATTTAAAAAAGAAAACCATCCACATATCACGGAGCAGATGATGTGTGCAAGAGGAGTTAAGGGAGAAGGTTCCTGTAAAGTATGTGATTTTATGCCAAATTATTACATATTTTGTTTCCTTTTTTTATTCATTTTGTTAAAACGAATATACACAATATTTTATAACTAATGAATAAAGTCCAAATAATAATACGAGCTTGGGTTTCGGTCACTTGAATTAAATATATTTTTTGGAATTAGATACATGGAAGCCATAATCGCGGTACATATAACATACCATGTAGGTACTGTACATAGAATTTATTGTATGTACAATTTATTTTAGTCTCTGAGTACTATATGCCACTACTAATACTAATAATGTTGCCTCTATAAATAAATACTTGTATGGGCTCTCCCTTGACCATGATTGGTCGAAGCATTCGAAAGGAAAATTAAAATAAATTCGCGAATATATCCGAAAAGACGGTTTTATTGAAAATTTCTAAATAATATATTTTTAAATAAAACTATCTCATCGGAATTTTTCGCCGATTTATTTTGATTTTTGGTTCCCGTAGGAAGTTCTTATTGTGCGGATCAAAATAACAGTATATCAAATTAATATTTTTTATTTATAAGTATATGTAGTAATAGTGTTGCTTAATATTTTGATTTTTAAATAACAACTAACTAAATTAAAATTATTATTCTCGATATATAGTCTCTTTATATAGTCTATAATAACACATGGCTACTTGTTATCCCGGAAAAATGTACGGTACCCGTGGGATAGGTTTGTTTTTTTTCCAATGTGTCAATACTAGTGTCATATATTCGTGTAAATCTAAGAAAGTATTATAATATAATTTTATTTAAAATGTGATATATTAGCGTAAATCTTTCAAGCTGAAGTCACCTATTAACGGTATTTGTCAATTATATCTTAGGTTTCTGGTTCTTTATATTTTATGACTCTTGCTGATATACGAACATATTACGAATACATTTTTTTCAGGGTGACAGTGGTGGTCCGCTAGTCCATAACAACATATTAGTCGGTATAGTCTCATTTGGATATGATTGCGGTACTCTTCCTGGAGTTTATACTCGAGTCTCAGCAGTCCGGGACTTCATTGATACAACTAAGGATAAATTGAATAATGTGTAGGGAGACGAGGAGCTTCGCTTCACCTATCGTAAAAATAATCCATGATAAAAATTTGTTAGAAATTATAAATAAATAAAATAATTTAAAAAAAGAAAAAGTTACAACAATTCAACTCTCTATTTTTTGTGAATAAAATAATTTTCTGATCATAAGTTTTGTTTTTCTTTACTAACTTCTTATTACACACTAGCGTCTCAGTCACAAAATGCAGCTTTCGGCAATCGAGCCGAATGTGAGAGCCACGAGGCATGTTGAGAGGTGGCCAAACTCGGTGGGTACTATGTAGGTTGCTACTTATTATAGATGATAAAATAACATCTAATATACAACACAAGAACATCTATATTGAAGAAGGTTATTTTTATTATTATCGGAAATGATATTTCTAACGTTGACATAAGAACCAATAATGTTCATCTTAATGAATTATGATCGAGATTTGACCGGGGGGTGATCACTAGTATTTGTTAATTTAATAAATACAAATAGCCCCGATGATTCACCTATTGACTGTATATATTTGCACATTGACTTTTAATTAATAAAATACCTACGTTAAATAATTTGTCAGGTATTTTTTTAAATACAGGTAAAATAAAATAAAACAGCATCCCCCTCGATTAAACAAATATACAAATAGCATTTTTGATTAGTTAACAAACGAATTAACCTTAACAATGATAAAATGCCCAAAAAGTTTTTTTGTAATCAGATGGCTAATTTTAAGTATTTTCCACCATTTTAAGCAATTTGTGACAAAAACTAATTAATAAATTTATTAGTTATTCGTTTTAAACACGAATTTTATTTCGGATTTGATTAACACGATATAGAATATGTAATAAGAAGTTAGTAAAGAAAAACAAAACTTATGATGAGAAAATTATTTTATTCATAAAAAATAAGGAGTATATAACATCAATTTTTTTTTTTAAATTGTTTTCTTTATTTACAACTTTTAACTATATTTTATTATTCCGAATAATTATTTAACAGGTTATTTCACTTTTTAAAAAACATTTTTTTATGATTGATTATTTTCACGATGGGCTCCTCGCATTATTCGTACACATTATTTATTTTTTCCATAGTTGTATCAATGAAGTCCCGGACTGCTGAGACCCGAGTATATACTGCAGGAAGCGGTCTACCGCAATAATATCCAGATGAGACTATACCAACTAATATGTTATTATGGACTAGTGGACCACCACTATCACGCTGAAAAAAAGTATTTTCGTAACCATTCGTAATATAGCAAGAGTCATCTATACATATAATAAAATTGTAACTAAGCCGAATCTGTACATAAAATATTTTTTGTACATAAAATATTTTTTGGATAATCTTATTAAAATATACATTATTATATCGATACAGAGGCCGAATCTATAGTTTTTAGAATGTCTGTCTGTCTGTCTGTCTGTCTACCTGTGTGTTATCGCATCACAGAAAAACCAATGGAACGATTTTGATGAAAGTTGGTATGATGATAGCTAGTTAACCGAGTCAACATATAGAATACTTTTTACCGCGGGAAAACGTCTCATTTCTGAGAAAAAATACAAAAACTGCAATGTAAGAGTAAACTAATACGTAAAACTTAAGAATTTGGTTTTTGGTCACCTGAACGCGGGCCGAGCCGCGGGCAATGCTAGTTTTTCATAAAACCCTCTTTTAAGATTTTTTCGCCAATTCATTTTGATTGTGAATCCCGGCGATTCGAATGCTTTACACCGATCAAGGTCAAGGGAGAGACCATACAAGTAAAGTTTTTTTATTTTATGTATTTCCAACGGCAACATTATTAGTATTAGTAATAGTATTCAGAGAATACAATAAATTGTACATACAATAAATTCTATGTACAGTACATGGTGTGTTATATGTACCGCGAATGTGGCTCCCATGTATGTATATATTTCAAAAGAACATATTTAATTCAAGTGACCGGAAACCAAGCTCGTATTAATATAATATTTGGACTTTATTCATTAATTATAAAATATTGTCCATTTAAGTTTTAAAAAAATGAATAAAATAAAATGTAAGAAAATAATAATTTACATAAAATCACATACATTACAAGCATCCTCTCCCTCAACTCCTCCTGCACACATCATCTGCTCCGTGATATGCGCTAGGTCATTTTTTTAAATATACACATACAATCTTTATTGGGGACATATGGCACCTTCACGCTGAGTAAAACAGGTGATATATCTAATTCCTAAAATATATAAATAGGGACATTAATTGAAATAAAAATAAATTTACATGATAAAAAGCTTACTTAGTACAGTGTTAAATAAATCCTATAAAAATAACAATGATGTAATTTAATTTTAAAAGTAGCTGACCGACCCTACCAATTTCACGGACAAAAAAACAGACATACAGGAACAATGTTTAGTAACTATCTTTATAAAAAAAAGTAAAGTACAATTTTTAAAATAGAAATCTACGCGTAAAATCATGACTATTCACTAGAAATCATATATTCTATGCTGACTTTTGATTTGATTTGTAAAATGAAGTCGGTTAATAAGACCAAATCATCGTAAATTTTAGAATTAAATCGCATAAGACAATGGATGTAAATAATAATACAATATTTGTAAATAGTGTCAATAAGCCAAAATTGAGAATGTTAAAATTGGCAACATGAATTATGGCAACAAAATGGGGCTTGTACTGGCATGAATTCGATTACACAAATAATGTTATAAGCATCTGGATTGAGAATTCCTCATGACGTAAAAATAATAATGAACCCTTGCCATCATCAGACTAAAATTTAGCGACTCTAAATTTTAGGCTAACATCATGGACGTAAAAGCAGCCTGAACAGATATTCCATCTATTCTTGGAACTTCCTCTTGATCCACTATGCATGGATCTACTATTATTTCTAAGACACTTAGAATAGTTGGTAATAAAATTGAAAACCTTACAAAAAGCCTCATCTCATAAATATGTATGTACGTGCTAATCTCATCTAGCGCAAGCGAGCAACATTTCAATAATACTTTACTTTTAAAATTACCAACTAGAGAACGCTGTCATAATGTAAAGAAAACTAAGATTAAATACTACGAGATATAATATCTATATACCTCAGTTTTTCCAAATCCTATAGTCATCAACATGTCACCAGAATTCAAAGCCAAGTTTCTTGGCGCCATCTGTATAGGTTGCACATTATCACTGAATTGCAATGGTTTGCTTAACATTATCACGAGTACGTCATTATCCTGTTTATATTTATTATATAATGGATGGACAATTCTCTTTTTTATATCATAAAGTTGTCCTTTGTTCACTTCATCTGAACCTACTAGTATATTTTGTTTTTTCGTTGGTCTAAAAACATCTAATAGATAGGAAAGGTAACGTAGCATCTCAGTCATTTTCTACCAAGATACATTCATAACAATAATAGTTTCGCATATTATATGAAAACATATAAAAATGAGTTATATAATTATGTAGTTAAAAAACATACGCACATATTACAGTGTGCTGCGGAAACAACAAAATTTTTATGAATAATGCTGGCGCCACAGATAAAACACTGATTTAATAAATATTGCGCCATGTATGGAGCCTCAGTAATTGGCAAAGGTGAACCACCGTATATCAGCTTCTGTTTGTTATTCTGCACTGAAAGAAAATAATATAAGAACATTAAACATGAATTCATACGAAGACACCTGCGTAGTCATTAGACTACGTCTTCGTATAAATGCCAAAGCCGATGCAAAGCAAATCTAATATATTTCGATACGTAAAATATATATTTACCTATAAGATAATCATATCTTAAAATATTGTCGGCTGGCACCGACTTCGAAAATATCTGATTAGGTATCTATTCTAAATGAAAACCTCAGTTTAGTTATTTTTTAAATTTTAGTGCCTGGAAGTCGGTTCTTTTTTTTATAAGTTTTTATTTATCAATTTTTAGTGTAGACGTAGTAAGCAGGTAAATTGTAAGAAGAAAGTTTTTTAATAACATACTCGATTAAGCAATTTATTTAAAAAATATATTTATTGTTCATTGTTTAAAAACCGCTTGACCGATTTCGATAAAAATTATATGGGGAAAAAAATCCAAATCGGTTAAGGCGTCTTCGAGTAATCGGTGAACATACATAAAAAAAAAGATTCTGACGAATTGAGAACCTCCTCCTTTTTTGGGAAGTCGGTTAATAAATGAAAACCTGTTCCTTCGCAGAGCGCCGCAAACAATGCAACGAGAAGACAAATGTTAAACCACATGTTGCTACTATTCAACTGGTAACCATCGCTTCCATGACAAGCTATTTATATTTTTATCTGTGGAATTCTGTACCATTGCAATAGGTACATATATCTATTTAAATAATTTATTAACTAAGGATTTGACCGATGGTAAATTGTGTTACATAAAGAAGCTCGAAAAAAATGTTAGTACGTAAACATTTCTTGGATTTTACATGAAAATATGCCATAATTATATTCATAAAACTTATTTTTTGTATACTGATGTTATGTTTTATCTTGCCTTGAGCTAAATTCTTTTAACTTGCAGCAAATTAGTTAGTTTTCCTGTGATTGGTATGAATGGCCTCTTCAGTATTTTTTTTAATGGCCAATATCGTGACCAGCTCTTGGATCTTCTTCGGTTCAGTTCTTTGGACGTTTATTGTTTTGGTGCTTTTAGTTGTCCTAAGTATACCTATTCTTATACGTACTCTGTTTTAAGGCAGATTTATTTTCGAATTAAATTAAAAACTTCTTTGTATACTAAATTGGTGGATGTTCTGTCTGGTTCTGGGTTCTCCCAAAATGTCAGAAACAATCCTCTTTTAAGTCTTATGCCCGATTTCACCAACGTCACCTAAGTTTAAGGGATCCCCTAAGCATGGTTAGGGGGCTGTTAGGGGACAGTTTCTGTTTCACCGACAGTTAGGGGTCACCTAACTATTAAAATACCCCCTAAATTTAGGTGCTTGAAATATGTTCATAAAGACGATCGTAAAACAAAATTTAATTTAGGGGCTAGTTTAGGGGACTTTTAAGCTAGGGATCCCATACGTAGGTGGTAGCTTATGGGTTGTTGGTGAAATCGGGCATAAGACTTCTATTTTTAACGCTTGGCCCTGAGAATTATTAATGGTCATTGCAAAGCAAATTTTAAGGAGGAATTACAGCATGTCTACGGTTCCTACGGCGCCTCATGCGAAATGTAAAATACATTTCGACGATATATGCCGAAATGTAAGAATAAAATTTTTCGATATCTCACTTAGTTTTCGAGATATCGATACTAAAAAATCGAAAAATGAAATATTTTTTTTACTTTTTTTGACGGTATTTGATTTATGTTGCAATCTTTATTACCGACGTAAGATACTCGTAGACAGACGAAAGTTTGGTTGTTTTTACCAACAAATACACTCTAGCGGTCAAAATTTAAACTTTTATAAATTCAAAATAAATTTATATTAATATTAGCCTACAATAGTTATCGTCTTGAGCTCATTGAAATCATGATTTCGAGAATTTTTCACAAAAAAAAATCATGATTTCGAGATTTTTTATCGCGAAAATTGCATAGCTGTTCTTTTTCTTTATCTATCAAATTTCATAATATATTTTTTTAAATAGGTTTTTCATCCTTTCACATTTTCGAGTATCGATATCTCGAAAGCTAATCAAGGTATCGAAAAATTTTATTCTAAATTTATGTTTCATTTTTCGAAAATATTTATATTCATTTTTAGAGCACAGTTAATATTATGTAAATAAAATAATAAAATGGAAATGGACACTAAATTGGACAAATATTTAAATAGTAACATTTTATGCTTCTTTATAATGCACATTTTTCAAATCTTTATTTAATAAATCACTTTAATAGTTATACTTAATATAGTAGCAGTAGATTCCTATAAAAATATAAATAGCTGACTAAAGAAGCAATGATTATCAGTTGGATAGTAGCAACATGTGGTTTAACATTTGTGTTCTCGTTGCGGTCTTCGCGGCGCGCTGCGATGGAGGCACAGGTTTACATCTATTATTAATATAAAACTAGCGTCAAAAGAGCGAGCTACATTTTCTTTATTGACTTCCAAGTAACTTATATATATATATATACTTATATATATATATATATATATATATATATATATATATATATATATATATATATTGTTCCTAATGTGAAAATTATAGTGCTTCAAATTTGAACCGTTCGCCATGAAAATTGGTAGATAACTCAGTTTAGGCAGTCTCCGTTAAAATTAAAATTATTTTTGGTTATTGCATAACGAAATAATCTAGCAATTCTCTTGAGATTCAGGAATTTATGTATGTAGCTTCATTAATCTTGGAGATGAATAGGTATTGTCATAGCTTCGGACAGACGATCATACAGACAACCGGAGATACGGAGAAGATGAATTATAAGGGTTCCATTTTAGCCATTTCACTACAGATACCTAATTTGTAGATTCATTACTGCCCATAACACTTGTCTTGTTGTACGTTGCTAAATAATCTATGTCGCTTAGGGGCTTGTCCTTGTTGATACCAATACTAGAGAAAAAAAAATCCCAGCCTACGTACTTGCATATTTTGAATTTACTGTACTTTTGTCCCGATCGAAAAGCTTCCTCAGAAATTAGACAGATAATATTTTATGTAAATGTTATTTATACGGAAGCACTGATCATAAAATAATTACATGATAGCAATTACATGTTTAAGGCAGTTAGTTTGTAATGTCAAAATAACAGCTTTTTCTAAATGCATATGAAATTATATACTTTCTATCGACTCACCCTCGCTTCGCTCGGGTTCCTCCCTAGCTTGCTTCCCAATACAAATTTTCATCCCCAGTTTCACCCCCTTAAGGGATGATTTCCGGGATAAAAAGTATCCTTTGTCCTTCCCAGGGTCTCAAGCAATCTTCTTACCAAATTCTAAATCGGTTTAGTATATCCAGAGATTACCCCCTACAACGTCACAAATTCACAATCCCACAAACTCACAAACTTTACCGCTTTATAATATTAGTATAGATAAGAAGAAAAACACAATTTTTAAAAAAATTGTCTCTTTGTTTGGCTAATCTCTGAAACGGCTGGACTGATATTGACGAGACTTTCACTGACAGATAGCTGATGTTATAAAGGGTAACTTTGGAGATTTTTATTTTAAAAAAAGAATTAGGATTCAGCTCTAACTCACCTAATACGTATCCAGCCACGCACCCCAGTGAAGCAAGGGTAAGTGGCCAGTTATACATAAATCGTGATGCAATGCGTCAATCATATATTAGCGTCATCGCTTCCTCATGATATCCCTCTATGCCTGGGAATGTAACACAGACACTTTACCGAACATTATTTTAGCTATATTGCTGTTTGGTGCTTAGGTGTCTAATGAATATAAACTGCTAGATAATTCTGTAGTCAAACTACAAAAAATAATATAATACTGTGATCCTCTGCCCTTCATGCATGAAAAAAATATATTTGAAGTTCACTCATGCATATGGGATATCTATGAATAGGTGTGTAAAATTTAGATAGATGTTTTGAAGTATTTTTTTGCTGAAGCTAATTTACATACATATAGGTGCAAAGTCAGAACCTTTTTAAATCGTAAACCCCTCTTTCTGTCTGTGTATCCCCCTCTATTTTTTGAAATATAAGTTGGAGAATTCGGAAAAAAAATGATATATGGGTAAATATTTTATTCTGCTTTTAACGTAACAACTTAGTACTTATTTTCAAACACTACCTACGAGTACTACTAACATTAACTGCCTCGGTGGTGTAGTGGCTAGCATGTATAGCTGCACACCCGTAGGTCCTGGGTTCGAGTCCCGGGTCGGGCCAAGTTTAGTTATTGAGTCTTTCTGTAAAGTAAGCCTTACTAACAGCCCGGAGTTGGGTAATTGGCGGTATTTCACCCCCGTGCCTCGGAGAGCACGTAGCCGTCGGCCCTGCGCCTTAACTCTCACTGGTCGTGTCGAGCAGTCGTGCCTCCGGAGTATGAGAGTGATAGGAACAGAGAGTGCACCTGTGTCTGGGCGTACACTTGTGCACTATAATATCTCCTGCGCTGTTGGCTAGCCTCGATGAGATTGGCCGCCGTGGCCGGAATCGTTCAGGAGAACATCATCATCATTTTCAAACAAAACAAAAATGTAATGTTACACACTACCGAACCCTCGATGTGCGAGTCAGTACTATTAGTACTTGTCTGATATGTATATTTCATCGTCACAAGTATAAACTGAATAGATACCTCCCTAATATTCTTATATTATTTTGTTTCAGTGCAGAATAACAAACAGAAGCTGATATACGGTGGTTCACCTTTGCCAATTACTGAAGCTCCATACATGGCACGATATTTATTAAATAAGTGTATTTTCTGTGGCGCCAGCATTATTCACAAAAATTTTGTTATTTCCGCAGCACACTGTTATATGTGCGTCTGTTTTTTAAGTAGTACATAATTATATAACTTATTTTTGTATGTTTATATATAGTAAGCGAAACTATTACCTATTGTTATGAATTACAGATGGTATAAAATAACGAAGTAAGATGCTACGTTATATTAATATCTATTTGATTTTTTTAGACCAATGCTAAAACAATATATACTAGTAGGTTCAGATGAAGTGAACAAAGGACAACTTTATGATATAAAAGAGACAATTGTCCATCCATTATATAATAAAATAACCAAACACAATAATGATGTACTCGTGATAATGTTAAGCAAACCATTGCAATTCAGTGATAGAGTGCAACCTATACAGATGGCGCCAAGAAACTTGGCTTTGAATTCTGGTGACATGTTGATGACTATGGGCTTTGGAAGAACCGAGGTATATAGATATTATAACTCGTAGTATTTAATCTTAATTTTCTTTACATTATGACAGCGTTCTCTAGTGGGTAATTTTAAAAGTAAAGTATTATTGAAACATTGCTCGCTTGCGCTAGATGAGATAAGAACGTATTTATGAGATGAGGCTTTTTGTAAGATTTTCAATTTTGTTAGTAATTTAAAATCAATAGTATATCCAGCTCCAAGACTATTCTTGGACAGATACTCCATCTATATAGAGTATCTGTCCAATACATTTACGTCCATGATGTTGACCCCAAAATCTTATTCTGATGATGGCAAAGGTCCCTTTATTATTTTGAGAAATTCTTAATCTAGATATTAATATTTTATATTAGTACACAATAATGTTACGATCTATGAATTCGGGGATCGGAACTTAAAGCACGTCTTTTGCACTATTGATGTTTTATTGCTCCTTGTTAACAAGAGTGACTTATGAAGATTCACTAACATTCGCAGCATATACACAGTTCTTGTTAAACTCAGTCACTGAACACTAATTTTCACCACTCTTCACTTTTCTATACTTCTTCTCAGTTTTCACTTAGCCTCGAAATTCAACTGATCTCTCCTCCGGGTCATCTCACATCCATGCAGGGGGAGTAGGAAAATGGTATCAGGGCATAGCCCTCTGACTATGGTATCAATGGCCGCCCACTACTATGGGCGCGTCCCTGGGAGTCTAAGCTAGGCCTCGTAGCGGACTCGGATAGGGGAGTGTCTTGTCCGTCGCGGGAGGTCAGCCCAGCCGGCTTTAGTCCCGCTGGTGGAAAGACCAGCTAGGCGACCAGAGACCGCGACAGCGGCTCCTCACCCCGAACTGATCTCGACACACTGCCGACCTTTTTATACGCATAAACAAAGAACATTCTAGTATTCGAAAATTCAAAACCTTTGTAGTCATTTCGAATGTTTTGTTCCTCTCTCACTCTTACACACGGTAATTTACGATTAACTGTTCTTATCTAAATTCAAAGCTTCTAGTAATTTCAACACTATTAATTACAACATAATTAATGATGCCAATTTTTACATTCTCAATTCTTGCTTACTGACTGACTATTTACATATATGTTTAATCTATTGTCTTATTCAATTAAATTCCATTACGATGACTTGGTCGTATTTTTCAAATCAAATGAAACGTCAGCATAGAAGATATTATTTCTACTGAATAGTCATAATAATTACACATGAAGATTTCTTTAAAAAAAATTGTACCGCATTTTCAACCGACTTCCTCAAAAAGGAGGAGGTTTTCATATTCGGCTGTATTTTTTTTTTATGTTTGTTACCTCAGAACTCCGTCATTTATTTCCCGATTTGGACAATTTTTGTTTTATTTGAAAGTGTATACTTCCAGATTGGTCCCATTTTAATTAAAAAAAAATACCCCCTCTAAGGGTGGAAAAATAGCTAGCTAATGATGAATTTAACCTACTTCTAATTGTCATCTTGACTTGAAATTTTGCAAGTGTGTCTATTTCCGTTGATAGTACAGTGGTTCGGTATTGTTGACCTGATCTGATGGTAAGGCCAGAAGGTGGATAGGTGGAACTCTTCAACGGCTAATAGTAGATACTTTGAGTTTGGGCTTATTTTGTTTGATTTGACAAGCCTAACACGTTAGAATTCTTACTTTGCTACTATTGTCTACAATAAAAAGGGAAAAACAAAAACTTTTTAACAAAAAAAATGAAAACCGACTTCAAACAAAAGCACTAAAAAGTAAAAAATAACTGATTGGTAGTTTTCATTTACTATACATACCTAATCAAATAATTGCGAAGTCGGTGCCAGCCGTTACAAAGCAAAGCACACCTATACACGACATGACAAATATTATTTGGCATGTCTTTAATCATAAGAAAGAGTATGTTGAATAGAGCCAAAAATGAAAATAATTTTTGGCCAGATAAATCAGACGAAGAACGCAATCTCGGAGAAATACCCTACTAAAATTTTTTTCTGTAAGCCTGTTTGTTTGTCTGGGTAATTGTTATTTTTATAGGATTTAACACTGTGTGTAAATAGTAAGCTTCTTATCATGAAAATTTATTTTATATTTAATTTAATGTCCCTATTTACTTATTTTAGGAATTAGATATATCACCTATTTTACTCAGCGTAAAGGTGCCATATGTCACCAATAAAGATTGTTATGAAATATTTACAAATGGATACCGGTCGCTTATCACGGAGAATATGATGTGTGCAGGAGTTGAGGGAAAAGATTCCTGTAAAGTATATCATTTTATGCCAAATTATTATTATTATTTCATTTTATTTTATTCATTTTGTTAAAACTAATATAGACAACATTTTATAACTAATCAATAAATTCCAAATACTTAATATTTTAATACGACCTTGCGTTCTGGTCACTTGAATTAAATATATTTTTTTAATTATGTACATACAAGTACTGTACATAGGATTTATTGTATGTACAATTTATTTTAGTTTTTGAGTACTATATATCACTAGTAATACTAATATACAGTTGCCGCTGTAAATATATAAAATAAAACTTTGCTTGTATGGTCTCTCCTCTCCCTTGACCATGATTGGTGTAAAGCATTCGAAACGAAAATCAAAGTAAATTCGCGAAAAAAAACCGAAAACAGGGTAATAAATTCAAAAATAATTTTAAATAAAACTATCTTATCGGATTTTATTGCGGATTTATTTTGATTTTTGATTCCGGACGTTTCAAATGCTTTACAGCAATCATGGCAACGGAGGAGACTAAGGTTTTATATGTCTGAAAGTTACAGACAGCCTACCCACGAAATAACAAAATGAATTCAAAAAAAAGGCATCGAAGCTCCTTACAATATTTATTAAGTAATTTTCAAATAAATATAACATTTAAATCCTCGAAAAAATCCGAAAAGACAGTTGTATTTAATATATATATATTTAATATTTTATATATATATATATATATATATATATATATATATATATATATATATATATATATATATATCACCTACTGAATGTATTTGTCAATTATAACTTAGGTTTCTGATTCTTTATATTTAATGACTGTTTCTATATTACGAATGGTAACGAAAATACATTTTTTCAGGGTGATAGTGGTGGTCCACTAGTCCATAACAACTTATTAGTTGGTATAGTCTCATTTGGATATGATCTTTGCGGTACACACCCTGGAGTTTATACTCGAGTCTCAGCAGTCCGAGACTTCATTGATACAACTATGGATAAATTGAATAATATGTACGAATAATGCAAGGAGTTTCGCTTCACTAATCGTAAAAATGATCAATAATAAAAAAAAAATTTTAGAAGTGAAAAAACCTGTTAAATAATTGGGAATAATAAAATATAGTTAAAAGTTGTAAATAAAGAAAATAATTTAAATAAGAAATATTTTAAATAATTGTACTCTTTATTTTTTTATGAATAAAATAATTTTCTCATGACGATAAATGTTTTTCTTTACTAACTTCTTATTACATATTCTATATTGTTTTAATCAAATTCGAAATAAATTTCGTGATTAAAACGATTAATCATAATAAATATATAATATATTGATTAGTTTGTCACAAAATACAGCTTGGATTTAAATTTGCACTTTGATTTTTAATTAATAATTAGTAAAATAATTTGTTATGTATTTTTTTTTAATATCATAACCTTGTTGCGCTAGGAGAGGCTCAATAGCGTCTGGTAATCCAGCCGAATGTGAGAGCCATGAAGCACGCTGATAGGTGGCCCAACTCGGTGGGTACTGGGAAGTACCATGCAGGTTGTTATTTATTATAGAAAGATAAAAAAAGATCTATTTATTGAAGAAAGTTATACAGAAATTATATTTTTTTTTTATGGGACTAAGGGGGCAAACGGGCAGGAGGCTCACCTGATGAGAAGTGATCACCGCCGCCCATGGACATCTGCAACACCGCAGGGCTTGCAGACGCGTTGCCGGCCTTTAAGAAAGGAATACGCTCTCTTCTCTTCAGAAATTATATTTATAACTTTACCAATAATGTGAATTATGGTCAAAATTTGACCACGGGGTGATTATTAGTATTTGTTAATCCACCTTTAATTAAGAAGTAATTCTAATTTAATAAACAGAAATAGCCCCGATGATTGTCATCGGCAAGATAAATTAAATGATAGCTTCAGTCTCCAAGTCTTCAATATTATTGGTACACGGGCTCTGTTCTCCGAAACCATACTAGATTTTAAAAAAATCATAGCTTTTCTTTTTCTTTTATTTAGATATTATTCTCATATTTTTTACCTTTTCATGTAAAAATACTAATGAAATTGATAGTTGTTTGACCCGGATATCTCTGTTCAATGTTCATGGAAATGTAAGTAATTAAGTTAAATTGAGTCATATGCTGCCTCCGACAACCCTCATGCCAACAAATATGTAACAAATATGAAATATTCAAATCGGACAAGCACGAGTAATGCTGACTCGCACGCCGAGAGTTCCGTAGCATGAAACATTACATTTACGTTTTGTTTTAACATAGTACTAAGTTCTTACGATAAAAGAAGAACAAAAAATATTTACCCATATTCAATTTTAATTTTACAGCAGAAATGAGTTTTTATTATGTACATACTATGAGAAAAAAGTTAATTTTGGGGCTGAAAGCGTAAAAAGGAAATATTTCACATAAAAAAACTACTTAACGAACCTTCTTTAATATAATTTTCTTAAAAAGTAATTTAGGATCCCATTTTTTTTTCAGAATTTTCCAACTTAAATTTCAAAAGATAGGGGATACAGAGGGGCTCACGAATGACTTTGCACCTACATAATAAATTAGCTTAGGGAATATGCGTGTGATTTAAATAAAGGTGATTTTTTTTGTAATCTTTATTGCTTTTCAATTAAATCTATAATAATATTTTTAATGTAATTTCTTTTTGATTAAGAAAACAATTATTGAAAAGTGCAAATATAGGTGGGAAATTCAAAGTAGTCGAAACGCACGCCATTGGTCGGACCGAATATGACGTCAGAGTATATCATAACAGAGTGATTAACAATTTTGTCGCTACAAATTGAGTCGTCATTTGTGTATATCATACTGTGACGTCATACCAAGCGCGCGAAATGGCGAGCGTTTAAAGTATCCGTATCGGTATGATATTTTTATTTATATGTACTAAATTTTAGTTCTTTGGAGCTGGATATTTTTTTACTATAATATAACGATGTAAGCTATTGAATAAAAAATAAAAAAATCACGCATATTCCCTATTTGGTATGATCGCTGAAAGATCAGGCGTAGGGAAAAATTACCAACTCCGGGTTTTACTGAATATTTCATGACTGAAAAATCTAATTAAATAGGCTTGAACTGGGACTCGAACCCAGGACCTCAGGATCTACACACGTAAATACTAGCCACTAGAAAAATGAACAGTAAAGTTAAACACTAGGTATATTGTAATCTGAATTGTCGTCTGTATCAATAATAAGGACCATTTCAATAAGATTTCTGAAAAATATTTCAATTAATTTTATAATAATTAATAATTTTGAGCAATTTTCTTTCTACTAATCCAAAAAAATCCGTTGAAAAACAGAGAAGAAAAAGGTATTGAACTATTTTGTGGTTAAAAACTTAATAAGCCACTTATAAACCATAATTCTACGACTAAAAATATTATTAAAGAAACAAAAACAAAAGTTAAACCATGAAAATATTTTATTCATAAAAAATAACTTTTCAATTATTTACATTATATGTACATAGTAAATGTTTTGGTACCACTTTTAATAAGATATTTTATTGATTGTTATAACTATATATAAATCAATTATTACTGGCTTAATTGATCTACGTCTCGGACCGCGGAGACCCGAGTGTATATTCCGGGGTATTTTAATCCACAACACTCGGTCATACCAGACTTCACTATTCCAACTAGTGATCCATTGTAAACCAGTGGGCCGCCACTGTCGCCCTATGAAAGATTTTATAAATAAAAATTTTAAAATAATGAAGTCTCGGACCGCGGAGACCCGAGTGTATATTCCGGGGTATTTTAATCCACAACACTCGGTCATACCAGACTTCACTATTCCAACTAGTGATCCATTGTAAACCAGTGGGCCGCCACTGTCGCCCTATGAAAGATTTTATAAATAAAAATTTTAAAATAACACATCACTATAATGTAAAAAATAACTAAACGGGGGTTTTCATTTAGAATAGATGCCTAATCAGATTCGATTCGATTATATAGATATATTCTCAATCTCGGAAACGGCTCCAATGATTTTCATGAAATTTAGTACACAGGTTGTTTCGGGGGCGGTAAATCGATCTAGATTAGTTTTATGTCTGAGAAAACGCGTGCTATTGAGTTTTCATGTAATTTTCTTTTGCATTATTCCACGCAAAATATGGTCGGTAATTTGCACACTCGGGTATAAGCATCGTGTTCAAGCGGCCAAGGTGCAAGACCAACAATCACAGGTGTCCAGGTTCGAATCTCGGTCGCATACAAAGTTTTTACTTTTATTTATTTTTTTATATTTATTCAAGTTTGTAAAAAAAAAGACGCAAGATTGACAATTATAGGTGTCCGGGTTCGAATCCCGGTCGGATACAAAGGTATCATTTTTTTGTATTTATTCAAGCTTTTAGTTTGTTTTTAAAAAAAAAAGAAAATTGTACTTTTTAACCAAAAACTCCGAGCGAAGCTCGGTGGCCCAGGTACTTTAGTTAAAATCGGTTCGGTACTTTTTACGTGAAACGCGCACATCAATTTCGCTAAGTTACTGTTTCATTATATGTGTAAAATATGTGTAGATTATTTGTACAGTAAATTGATAAGTTGTGATTAGTAGCTAAGATAAAAGTACAAAATTAAAAATAATATACCATAATAATTAAAAAGAAAATGTAGGTAGGACCTTTTACCTGTTACTTTTAAACATATAAAACTTATAAAAATCTTTTACCTGTTTGGAATGTAAATGTGATATCCTCCTAACAAATTTCGGCCACGGCGGCCAATCTCACCGACAATAGCCAAACACGCAGGAGATATTATAGTGCGGCGCGTGTGTCGGTGTAAGCGCAGACACAACAGTCAACATGCACTCTATTCCTGTCACTCAAATTCCGATGGGACAATAATTCAAAGATCAGGCGCAGACAATTAGCCATCTCCGGGCTATTAATGAATATTTCATGATTGAAAAACCTAATAACTATATTAGGCTCGACCTGGGAATTGAAACGAGAACTTTTAGGATCTACAAACGTAAATGCTAGCCACTAGACTAACGAACAGTAAAGTTAAACATTATTTTGTGATCGATTATTTCGTGATTTTGTGATCGATACGATTCACGTAGTCTTGTTTTAACTTAACCATGTAAATAAAACTATCATTTCAACCAAATATAAATCCACGAAAAGTTTTTTTTTTAACTAGATAGATGAACAAAAACAACTCTATACCACGGGAACCGTACATTTTTCCGGGATAAAAAGTAGCCTATTTGTTATTCTGTATGAACTATATTATTGTAAAGTTTCATTAAAAATCCAATCACAAATTTTTATATACTAAGCTGTATATAAGTTACTATAGTTTTTTAACTATCCCACGGGAACTCTTCAATTTTCTGGGATCAAAAGTATCTTAAATGTTGACTGGGGATATAAGGTACCGCCATTCAAAATTTCATTTAAATCGGTTGCACAATTTCGGAGATTAGCCACAACAACAACAAAAAAGAACAGACAGACAAAGCAACAAAAAAATTTAAAAAAAAAACTGGATTTATTCTATTTCTCTTCTTACATCCCTCGGACTCGGTTTTTAGCATTTTTTCTATGTACAGACATTGGACGTCTACAGTTTTATTATATGTATAGATCTTAAATTTTCGGATAAATCTAAGACACTATAATATGTATTATGATAACCATGTATACATACATCTGCTTACTCATTCCAAAGATTCCGTATTCAGCCGTACTGATTTCATAAAAGGTGTAGAAATAAAACTATAAGGAACTGATAATATATTTATTTCACGTCAATATTAAGATATTTCTATATTATAATCGTCAATTCTAATTTATAGAAATCTATACATTTAAAACAAATATTCAAGCCTTACACTCTCTAAAAAGATTTTTTTAAAAGAGATAGGTTTTTTGATTACCAATCTAAAAACGACATTAGCTCTTAGACTATAATACAAAATCAAGTAATTATAGCAAAATAATTACAAAATGATCACTTAAAAAACTTTATTTGAATAATAAACTCATAACCACTTTAAAAAAACGTTACTATAATTTACTATCTATATTGCACTTATTAATAAATTACTTAAATCTATTTACATTTGAATATTGATTTTAAGTACATTTTCATAAGTAACGGTTAGCACATGGTCCATGGAATAGATGGAGCTCTGTGAAAAACTAAAACAAATCTATCCCACGGGATCCGTACATTTTTCCGGGATCAAAAGTAACCTACGTGCTATTCCAGCCTATAATCTATCTCTGTGCCAAATGTCATTCAGTTCCATTCAGCCGTTCTAGTGTAATTTAGTAATAAATAACCATCCATCCAAACTTTCGCATATATAATAAGCAGAGTTCCCATTTATTATTTCAATTATTCCCCATTAATTCATAAATTTAAAAAATATAGATCCATTCTTTGAATAATACAAATAACTGGAATAGAAGTCAATTTTTAAAATATACTTTAATTAATTAGCTTAGAAAAATGCTGACTATAAGATGACAAATAAATAACATATTTTATGGTATATTATAATCTATCGTTTTGGGAATGTTTTGATTATATATAAATTAGCAAGACGCTTGAGAAACCGAATGAAGCCGGTTCAAATCCCGGGTCTCGCACCTATTATATTCTTATGTGCGAATTATTTTCAATCGTGAGGAAACCTGCATATTTGATAAAACCTAGCAAGTTTTCAAAAGACAAGTAAAATCCACCAACTCGCACTTGGCCAGTGTCGGAGGCTCGTGCCCAGTAGTGGAACGATAATAAGGTATACACTATACATACATATGTATACATACACATTCAAAATTTTACTGACATAACACAAGATCATACACACGTTATATATCTATTAAAAAGATATTTAACATCATAAGCTATTATTGAAACACATATTTTATCACATCTACTAAGAAAATAAGCAAGAGCTGGTTATAAAAACATTGACTTTTTTATTCTAAATTTTACTTTACAAGTATTTATATTCATATTTATTTTCTTAAACATATGCCCCTTACCATATCATTTAATGAGATGATTCGATGGCAGAACAAAATTATGGGGCTGTTTATAACATGTATAGCATGAATTCATTTTTTTTTAATAAAATAACATATTAAATAACTAAAATAATTAATAACAATAATAAACAGTTGTTATAAAAACCAACCATATTGCAGTAATACTGTGATAGAGATTAAATATAGTTAGAATTAAGTTAAAATACCACAATGACTGTGGTAACACTGTCAGTTGACAGTGAAAAAAAAAGACGGAGGTTCTAAAGCAGATATAAAAGATAAAAATTGATTTGTATTGCTCACAACATAATAACTATAATAACAGTGATTTAAAAGACTGGACTTATAATTTATTAACCAATAAATACAACATGGTGTGAGGTGTAAACCTAGTTATTTAATAGAATGAATAAACAGCTGTTGTGATAGCGAGAATAAGAATGGAGTTTAAACCACCTGCTGGGTTATCGTTTTCGGGTAGTATTGCAGAAAATTGGAGGAATTGGAAGCAGAAATTGAAATATAATCTTTTAGCAACTGAAAAGGCAAAAAAAAGAAGATAAAATTAAAATTCAATTTTACTCAACTTTATTGGTGATGAAGGTTTGGCTATATATAATAAGTTTGGACTATCTACTGAAACGTCGACATATGACGCTGTAATTAAAAAATTGGCCTATACAACGCCGCTGAGGAGTTTTAAAAGAGTAAATAAACATTTCCATATTTTCAGATATTTCTGAACTTATAATATATTTTGGTGACATTTTAATTGCAACGGAGACAGAAAAAGAACATGATGAAGTGCTAAATAAAGTATTAGAAAGGACTAGGTTAAGTAATTTAAAATTTAATCCTAGTAAATTTCAATATAAAACCAATAAAGTTACATTTTTGGGATTTGAGTTTGATAAAAATGGGATGAAAATTGACCCACAGAGAATAAAAGCTATTGAAAGTTTAGAGAACCCTTGTAATAAGAAGGAATTACAGAGAATTTTGGGCATGCTTAATTACGTAAGAAATTTTATTCCAAATTTTGTTGACTTAACTTCTCATTTGCGTACCCTTTTGAAATGTAATGTAGAATTTATTTGGATAGAAGATCATTCAATGCTTCTGAAAAATATAAAAGGATTAATTACAAAAATTCCAGTGTTAACACATTTTCATACATCTAAGGAAATTACTAATAAATGTGATGCATCTAAGGACGCTATTGGATGCTGTTTAATGCAGGAGGGACAACCTATATCCTATGCGTCAAGGTCGTTGTCACCAACAGAAAAGAATTTTACACAAATTGAAAAGGAGTAATTAAGCCTTCTTCTTGCAACATCTAAGTTTCATTTATATATCTATGGGCGTAAAACTTTTGTCAGAACAGACCACAAACCTTTTGATTCTCTAATTAAAAATAATGTTGGAGAAATACCATCGCCAAGATTGCAGCGGATGATTCTTAAATTAATTAAATATGACTTAGAATTGAGACATGTGCCTAGTAAGGAATTATATATTGCTGATTTATTGTCAAGAGGTTGTGAAAATGAGGAGAACATCAGTTCTGAAGAAGATTGGATTAGTGAGATAGTTCATGAAGTAGCATCTAATAATTATCAATTGCAGGTCACACCTAGAAGAAAAAACATTCTCGAAGAAGAAATCGCCAAGGATAAGACATTGCAACGTCTAGTGCAGTACTATATGAAGGGTTGCCTGCCAATAGTAAAGATGTACCTGGTGAAATTTATGTTAGTGGAAACTTAGTATTTGTTGGCCGAAAGCTGTTGGTGCCTATTTCCTTGAGAAAAGAAATGTTGGAGAAGCTTCATAGTTCGCTTTTAGGAGTCAGCAAAACAAACAAGGGCAAGACAAATATTTTACTAGCCGCAAATGAACTCAGATATTGAAGAATATGTATTAATTAAAATGTAAAATATGTGAAACTTTTAGGAATAAAAATATAAAGGAACCTTTATTGCCTTACCCAGTTCCATCAAGACCTTATCAACGGGTTGGTATGGATTTCTTCCAACTAGGAAACTATTCCTACCTAATAATTGTGGTTTATTTATTAGCTTGGTTTGATGTTGTAAAGGTGCCATATAAGACAGCATCAGAAACAATCAAGAGTATTAAACCAATATTTGCCACACATGGCATAACTAACGAAATTGTGGCAGATAATATGCCTTTCTCATCCTTTGAGTTCGAGCAATTTTGTCAAGGATTGGAAATAAAATTAACTAACACCAGCCCACACTATCCACAATCAAATGGAATGGTGGAGAAAGCAGTTGGTATTTGCAAGAGCCTTATGAGAAAATATTACAAATCTGGACAAGATTTCAATTTAGGATAATGGAGTATAGAAACTGCCCAGTTACAGGATTGTCAGAGAGCACAGCCCAAGTAATGATGAGAAGACAGCTAAGAACAGTCCTCCCAACTATTGAAGAAAATCTTCTGCCAAATGTTGTTAGGGTGAAGGAGGATAAAGAGCTTAAACAGAAAAGGTCTAAACTATACTATTATAAAACTTCACAGCAGAGATGAGAGAGAATGATGGTGAATGTGTGGTCCATAGAAGAGGATATTAGAGAATTTATTTAGTTTTTTTTTTTGTAATTGTTAATCTTGAAATAAAGTAAAAGGAGGGAGATGTGGTAACACTGTCAGTTGTCTATGAAAAAAAGAGGAGGTTCTAAAGCAGATATAAAAGATAAAAATTGTTTTGTATTGCTCACAACATAATAATTAAAATAAAAGCGATTTAAGAGACTGGACTTATGATTTATTAACCAATAAATACATCAATGACCATGTGACTGTTGAAAACAAATTGATGTCTAAGCAAAATCGAAATTGCTATTTCTATGTCATAAGTAACAGATTCTAGTCCCATTTAGAACAAATATATTACACTATTATAACACGGGCATTAGGTCGTCAATTGCTACTAATAAAAAAAAAGAAAATCGGTTGACAAGCAGAGAAGAAAAAGGTACTGAATTGTTTTGTCTTTGCCTATTTAGACATATGCAGATATTTTATGGCAAGGTAATTTTGTCGCAGTCAGCATGACAGAATGTCTTTGTTTTTTGTGTATGTAACATGGATGCCCCATATTGGGGGCAAATTATGGGGCAGTTTAGTACAAAGCAATGTTCTTTATTAATAAGTTTTACTTAGTTTTGTTAAAATTTAAATTAAATTCTGAGTATCACAAAAATTACTTGCATAAATATTCCTTAGTTATTATTTCAATGTTTCAGTCATTTTTAATTATTTGTTCATGAATACACTTTTTTCAAAATTAAGTACATAAATAAGTTAGTGAAATAAAATAAAATACAAAAACAAAATTAAAACTAATTTCATAATAAATATTACTAGCTCATGAGATTCTAAAAAGTAAAATTTACATTTAAAACTTATCTTTCAAAAGTTTCAAATTCACTTTATTATTTAAACCTTTGACTAAAGCATAGTTTCAAAAAATCGTGAAGAGCCATTGATTGAAATCTAAAATGGTATTCTTTCTTATTTAAGCTAAGAATACTGTCTGAATTGATAGAACGAAATCTTGGTTTATTTCTATTGTTCTAAACACTTTTGTCTTACTCTTTTAGTATGAGTCTATGATTCGTAATAATTTAAATATTATTATAAATAATTTATAAGGTAAATCTTTCAATTTCCTTATATTATAATAGTGTTTTTAATATTTGTGTAATTTTTTTTTATAGAGCTGTGTCTAAATTTTATATTTATGATAATTATTTAAAGCCCGCTCTTTCAGGAAATAGAATAGAAATACCAAACTTATCAAAATTCATTAGCAAATGGATGATTATTCAGGTGTAGAAAATTTTCCTAATCCATTTCATTTTCTCTACTTTCATTAAGTGAAGAGCGGATTGCATTAATATAATAACAGTCTTTAATTTTTGTCTTGTTTTGTTATAAAAAGATAAATTTAACTAAGAAAAAATACTTAGAGCCCCCAAACAATGCAGATTTTATACCAGTGGATAGTTTGGTCGTCCAATTTACTATTACTTATTCTTGAACTTATCTCACACTACGTGAGATCAACAGATACTAAACCCTCTAAAAACCATCATTTAGCACACATACCCAGGAGTCGAAAACCTGATCATTTTTTAAACCGGTTTCGCTCACTGACATTGGAGGTTTCTGTTATTTTCTTTAACCGGTTAAAAGCCAGAAAACTGTTTTTGACAAATTTAGGTTCCATGACCAAAAATTAATCAGTTAAAATGAGTTTTTGTGCATTTATATATAGCTAGTCTTTGCTAATGGTTAATTATTTATTGAAGGATACATGCACGTTTTTGGAATAAGCCGGTTTATTTCGGTATTAAAACCTAAGCTTATTGTTTCTCTAAGAATAACCGTTACCCATTATTTCGGTTTACTAAACCGATCATTTTTATTAACCGGTTAATGAACGAGCGATGAAACCATAACATTACCGAAATTAATCTTTCACTTAATTCATCCTCTTTCGCACGGTCTTAACATTCTTATCCTTTTCTGTCCCTAGTGGTACTTTTAGATTAATGATATTACCAAATATATTTCGGAAGAATGCGCGCGTCAAAAATTTAAATTAATTCTCAACCTATACTGACTGTTTGTACTTTACTGTTTTTGTTTTTGTGCAACACATCAAACTGTCACCCTATATAAAATCTGCAGTCTTTGGGTGCTCTTCCAATTAAGTTTGTAAAATATAAACACTATTGAATATCAGTACTTTGTCATATAAATATTTCTTTCTTTCAACCGCCCTGCACAAAACCTCAATAGAATTTTCCAAACTGTTCCAGAACATTCATGGCTGATAGCAAAAGGGGCATAGTTTAAAAACGTAATGTTACATGGCATCACTACGATTATTCTTCTGAGTTAACTTACTCAAAGTACTTAATTGGGGGAAGGCCGTTTTGTTTTGGACTGGATTAAGTTTTGTTGTCATGAAGATGAATGGCTCATACAATGATGGTCGGTCCATGGCTGAAACTTCAAAATGCCTGACTTTTTCTCTAGCACACCAGTTGGCGGCTTTAGAACATGTGTTTTCGAGGCTATTTAAGTCGTCTGGTCCAGTTCTGTTGCCTATTACAAGCATTACTACCTGTTAAAAAAATATCATATGTGATGTAAAACCGTTTTTGAGCCTCACCTTGGCCAATAGGCATAGATCTAACTGGCATTGCTTTAGAGATTTACGGAGAGAGCGGGTACGATTTACATGTACATGTCGCTTGTAATATTAAAAACATTACATTTTCATTAACAGCAGACACTTTTTTCTGACACTAGATATTTTATTGCAAGTGCATATATGTATAGCAGCACCCCTTATTCCCTAGCTCTTATGGTCTGCTCTAATGGAATTTTAAACACATTTCAGATATATTAGACAACTAACTGCTCAACTCCAGAGTCCAGACTGTTACTAAAAATTCTATAAAGAATTTTCGATCTGGGTTTGAAACCCAGAATCTAATAATCCAGTCACTAGATTAATATGTTAATTATATGAATTTAATAAAAATACTAATGAACTACTCTCACTTCACTTGGTATGTCCTTGTGTATACATTTTATCACTAATAGAGGCCTATATATTACTCCAGGTCATGTTCTACATCTTTACATAGTATAAAATCGCTATCTGTTTGCTTAGATCTTTTAAACTACTACTCAATGGATTTTAATGCAGTTTTCAGCAATAGATAGGGTATATTCAAGAGGAAGGTTTATATGTACTAAATGCATATTGTAGTACAGAAAACCTGAGAAATACAAAGATTTGTATTTCATACTAACCACTAAAACATACCTAATACTTACCTATTATATTATACATCCAAATCAGTCCAGCCATTTCTGAAGGAGTAACAAATATATAATTTATCATTTCACATCATTGCTGCTTCTATAACTCAATAAAATATAAGACTTACTTCTTTTTTATCTTTATTCCTATCAATATCTTTCTTCAAATACATCAAAACATCCAGGGATTCAGGCTTAGTAGTATCATAGATCATCACAAATCCATCAGCAAAGCCAAGGTAATGACGCTGAAGGACCTGGTTGGCCGTCAATTGCATAGTTGGTGACTGAGGTGGACCTATCAAAATATATTCAAAATGTATTTATTGTGTTAGAAATAAGTATTTATAATTTAGTAATGTCTTAGAATTGGGATATAAATATATAATTTGTTAAAATTTGGGAATAAAAATGTATAATAAAATTCTTCTCATGTAAGTAGTCTATTATCATTTTATCTTAATAAAATGTATTTTTTATATTTAACATTATTTAATTAATTTTTTGAATTAGGAAGTAAAATTATATTATTAAAATTTACTTTATATACATAAGTTATAACTGTTACTTTCTTATAAAAGGTGGTTTAGTTTTAAGTGCAAATTCAGCAGCTTTGGTGCAAATTCAGTGGCTTTGGTGCATTAAAAGAAAATTTGTTCCTTATAATCTCATCTTTTCAAGTAGGTACATTACATTATTTTTTTATAATTGAAAATATTGAATCATAAGGCTCTAGTGTTATTTATATTTGAAGAAGACTTACTTTTTATCTTTCAACATAAGCATCAGCTTGAAGCAATAAATAAACTAATTTGAACTAAACCTTTGAACTCGCCTGTTAGTGGTGGCTCCAACCCTGCAGTATCATAGAAACATACTCGTTCTTTTGAACCTCGGTCTGTTTCAATATTAGCAACATAGATATCCTCAATGGTAGGATAAAATGATGACTTCAAATTCACATTTCCATAAATAAGTTGCTCTAACACTGCTGTTTTGCCTACTCCTTTCATTCCACACACAACAACTTTGCTAGTTTTACCCATTATTCAAAAAGATATTTAAATTATAATACTAATTTTAATACTAATAATGTTAACTTTAACTTTCACTGTTAATACATATTTGAAATGTTTTGTTTTAGCACTGAATTAAGTACATCTTACTTTAGTCTTTGAAATATTGTCAATGAATTCATTAACTTAGATCATTTTTAGTTATTTTAATAATATTTACGTAAGCGTATAGAATTTTAATGCAATACATTTGTATGCAGTCCCGTTTTACGAAATATTTGCAAAATTGTCAAGTGTCAACTGTCAAGTGACAACCACAGATTAAAGAGACTACAGTGACAACATTGTAAATAGTTGTTGAAAACGAAACGTATTTGTTCGGATACAGTGACCTAAAAAAGATTGAATAATTTAAATTGTAGTTATACATACACGTGAATGTGCACTTTTATGTGGGATTTTCATTTGTTATATATTCATTATTTTTTTATATATGTATCAGTGAAATTATAAATTATATATTATATATTTTGCAAACTTATGCTATTACTTAAATAATCTATTTCGGCTCTTTTTGACTTTGTCATGTCATTTTTGTAAATATAACATTTGACAGCATGGCGGCCACGGTTGGAGATTCGGAAATTACTAAAAGTGATAAATATTCAATTTTACTACCTACATATAATGAAAGAGAGAATTTGCCGATTATTATTTGGTTAATTATTAAATATCTAGATAACAGGTACAACATTATTACTTAATAGTATGTTCAATCTGTCAATTTTGCTATGTAAATATTATTAATTGTTTTTTTACAATTTTCTTTAGTGGTTACGATTATGAAGTGATAGTTATCGATGATGGAAGTCCTGATGGGACGCAGGAAGTAGCTAAGCAGTTGCAAAAACTATATGGGTCACATAAAATAATACTGCGCCCTCGAGAGAAGAAGTTAGGCTTAGGTACAGCTTACATGCACGGCATACAACATGCGACTGGAAACTTTATTATTATCATGGATGCAGACTTAAGTCATCACGTAAGTTTTCTTTCCACTGAAATCGAATAAGATTATTAAGTTAAAAATTGTAATATAAAATGGTTGTATAATTAAAATACATAAATTGCAACATGGATCAAAATGGATATTTTAATAATTTACATTATAAAATGCTGCTTACTCATAGCTAGAATAGACTATTTTGAAAACAATACTATTTAACTCTCTTTATTTTCAGCCAAAATTTATTCCAAGCTTTATAGAACTCCAAAAGAAAAATGATTTAGATCTTGTATCAGGCACTCGGTATAAAGATGGTGGTGGAGTGTATGGATGGGATTTTAAGAGAAAACTAATCTCAAGAGGTGCTAATTTTATCACACAATTACTTCTGAGGCCTGGAGCATCTGATTTAACTGGCTCTTTTAGGTATAGACCAAATATTTTTTAATGAAAAACATATATTTAAAAATTTAACACTACATTTATATATTATAAGATGAAAGAATAAATTTAAAAGAATAATACTACTATGTAGCAAACTTCAATATTTTTGTAATATTATTTTTAGACTAATTATATCTTTTAATTCGTTTTTTTTGTAGGTTATACAAAAAGGATATACTACAAAAATTAATAGATAGCTGTGTGTCAAAAGGCTATGTTTTTCAGATGGAAATGATTATTAGGTATGTTTGAGAAAAAAAAATTATTTTATTAATACAATTTCAAGTAAATACTTCTATTGGTTTTTCATTAAATGTTTTCTAGATATGTTATGTCGTTTTAGAGTCCCGATTAGTCATTAAGTAATGAAATTTATTAATCATTAGCGGCACACAATCACTTCGCTCGAGTTCGCCTCTAGAAAAACGAAAACAAATCTATCCCATGGGAGCCATACATTTTTCCTGGATAAAAAGTCACCTATGTGTTATTCTGAAGTACGCTATATTATTGTAAAGTTTCATTAAAATACTTTTTGTGTGAAAGAGTAACAAACATCCATACATCCATCCATACACAGAAACTTTCACATATGTAATATGTATTAGTATAAATTATTACTGGCATTTATTTCCTTAGACATCAGACTGGAATGAATTGCATTAGACTGTTAGAAAAAAATATATTTGAAGATATACTATAACACTTACATTTTTAGTTTGTGTCTTAAAAGTAACTCTTGGGACCTTTATACTCTAAAAATATGTTGTTTTATAGATTTAGTAAACCCGTTACATCTTTATTTTAATAAAAAAGTGGTGTGTAATATATTTTGATGGAGATCACTACTAGTATATATGGCTTCATTCTTTGTAACTGTTGATTTAGAAACTTTGTGATGCAATGACAATAAAATCTTACTAATATTATAAATATGAAAGTTTAGATGTTTGGATGTTTGTTACTCAATAACAGCTGAATGGATCTGGATGAAATTCAGCACACAGATAGATTATAGTCTGGAATACCATATAGATTACTTTTTATCCCAGAAAAATGGATGGTTTCTGTGAGATAGATTTATTTTTGTTTAGAGGCGTACCCAAGTAAAGCAAGGGTGAGCCGTTAGTGTTTATATTATTCTGATTTTAATGGCTAATATAAAATAGACTATAATATTATGTATTGTATATGTACATACATAATTCATAAAAATATTGAAATCATCCCCTATTTTACCTTGATTGGTAAAAAAGCCTAAAGCATTCAACAACAACTAAATTCTTACCAAAATTATAAGTTATAACAAATTTTTATGTACTTACCTTGAGAAACTATTAGTTCCAATACAAACTTTCAACCCCTATTTCACCCCCTTCAAGTTTCAGCCATCTTTATATCAAAATCCATCAAAATTGGTCTTCTAAACCAATTTGAGCATAAAAACGTAAAAGACAGGCAGAGTTATTTCTGAATTTATTTTATAATATAAAAGTATGGATTAGGGTAATTTTATAGAATGGTAACTCCAACTTGTATTACAACACTTTGTTTCAGGGCAAGACAATTAGATTACACTATTGGTGAAGTCCCTATAACATTCGTGGACAGAGTATATGGAGAATCTAAACTCGGTGGATCAGAAATTGTGCAATTTGCTAAAGCACTTTTATACCTTTTTGCAACAACTTAAAATATTCATTTATTTCTATACTTATTATTATGTAATAATATATGTGTATAAATATTAAATATGTATTCAGCCCATTTTAACGCCGCACTGTTGGGTACAGGCCTCCCTTCAATACGAGGGGAATCATCACCACTACCTTATAGACAGTGATAGCGCAGTGATAACGCGCTCACTTTGGAAACCGAGTGAAGCGGGTTCAAATTTAGGTCTCGTACCTCTGATATTTTCGTGTGCCAATCATTTCTAACATATTACCACTTGCTTTACGGTGAAAGAAAATATCATGATGAAACCTGCATGTCTGAGAGAACCGTTTTTGAAAGACACGTGAAGTCCGCCAACTCGTATTGAAGGGAAGCCCGTGGCCAGCAGTGAGATGTTAAAAAGGGCTGAATATAAATTACTATTATTTTTTTAGATATGGGAAGTAAATTAATTCATTTAATTGTTTTGGTAAAATATTTTATTTCATGTATAAATTCTAGCACAGCGGTGGTAATATGATTGATTGCCAAATATTTTAAATTATTAATAGAGACTGGATTATATGCATGAAGAGCTCGGAAACCCGTTCAATTTTTAAACCGGTTTTAGTCATTGACCATTAACCGAAAGGGTTTTCGGTTTAAGGTTTCGGTTTCGTTCTTCAACCGGTTAAATCCCAGAGAACGGTTTTTGACGAATTTAGGTTCCATAGTCAACATTAACCAGTTAAGAGTTTTTGTGCGTGCTATTAGTTAATTGCTTAGTAGAAAGATACGTGTACGTGTCTTACTTATGAATAATTAACCGTTTTATTTCGGTATTAAAACCGAAATCCAACCTTTCTCTAAAAATAACCTTTAACCACTATTACTTCGGCTTACTAAACCGTTCATTTTCACTAACTGTTAATTGAACGAGCGATGAGTTAACCATTCATTACATTACCGAAATAAACCGGTTACGAGCCCTGTATGAAGATATATATTTTAAATCTTGTGCCAAATAGTGTCAAAATATGCAGAATTAAGACAGTAAAAAAAATAGTTCAAATTGATCTTCGTAAATAAAAGTTAATGCCAAAATTGACACTAATACAGAACGTAAAAAAGGTAATCTAAGCAACATTTATTTTCTTAGTGCAGCTAAAAATCATCAACAAAATTTTTTTAGAAACTTTAAAATGTCTATAATAAAATATTACAATGCTTTTATGCAAGATACTGCATACATTCAATACAAATAGATTCGGTTCATATTATCCAGTCTCTATAATATAAATGTTGGTAACATCGCTAGTGCAATAATCATAATGTACTAGCATCGCTTATGTTTAAACGTTTGGTATAGATTTCTCAGAGATGAGATATTTTCCCGCAGTAAAAAGTATTCTATATGTTGACCCAAATAACCAGCTATCATCGTACCAAATTTCATTAAAATCTATGCAGTGGGTTTTCCGTGATGCGGTCACAGACAGACAGACAAAAATTCTAAAAACTATAGATTCGGCCTCTGTATCGATAATAATGTCTATTTCAATAAAATTTTTCAAAAAATATTTAATGTACAGATTTGGCTTAGTTACAATTTTATTATATAGATAGATATGTATCTGTTTAAAAAAATGAAGTATGTTTTAATTTTTATTTTCTGTGCTAAAGTAAGTTACTAAAATATATTTGATAAAGTATTAGTAACTTTATAATAATTTATTAGGTACAAATTCTTCTTTCACAGTCATTCCCTTTTCAATTTTTTTAATGTAAAACAACTTTTTACCTAAAAAATGTTTTAATTGTAAGCTAATAGGTATATTTTTTGTATATTGGAAGAAATATAATTTATGAACAATTGTTGTTTTTCCTATAAGCAATCTTATTTAATAAATTAAATAACTTTAATAAAAATAATTACAAATGAGGTGGATTCTGTAAAATGTAATGGTTTTGAAAGTTTTTAGAAGGCTTATATTTAAGAGTAGTTTAATTACTTAATATAGGAATTTGTTATTTTTCGTCTTCACATTAAGTATGTAAGTATTTTATATTCTCGTATTTCTAATATAAACACAGTACCATTAAAATGATGGATATTATCTAAATATGGTATTTTTCCAGTCAACGAATGTCAAACTGTAATTTCAAATTTTTATTATAAAATGCTCGTTTCTCTACTAGCAACCGTATTCTTCTCCAGATCCACTGAGTTAAAATCCCAGGTCAGACCAATAATAGTTATTACTTATTAGTTTTTATGTGCTGTGTAGTCCTAGTAGATTTGGCTGTCAGGGTATATCGATTAGAAAAAAAAACGATATTTTTAAACGTTTTAACTTTAATCCTAAGTAATTTGTTAAAATAATAAAATTCCTTATTTATAATCACATTAACAGAAAATAAGTTCGATAATTTGAAAAGAACATTTTTTCTGAAAATATTTCTGAGTTCTGTAAATGCATGTTTTAATGGTTCCGTACCAAGGGCACCTATAATTAAGCTAATAGTTCTATTGCCGCTATACTATCAAATAATAAAAAACCAAGATGGCGAATTTCAAAAAGGCTACCATGCAAAATAAAAAAAAAACGATTATGGCCGTTTGGAACACTTCGTGTGTGAGTCCGACTCGCACTTGACGGTTTTTATAGATTTTGCCCAACGACTACTCAGCCCAACCCACTTCGAAAAACTCATTTCACTCTTTTGTCCCAATGAGATTCATACATTATTGCCTACATTTTGTTTCTGTAGAAATCTGAACATATAACATTGATTGTTACTGGAGTTTTTAAATATATGTTATTAAATAAAATATCTGATTACGTAGGTATCTATTCTAAATGAAACCCCCCGTTTAGTTATCTTTTACAGTTTTAGTATTTTTTTTTTAAGTTTTTTTATTACTTTAAAATAACACGGATTTTTAATTATAATTTCATTTAAAAGTTTGAAAACCGTATTATTTGTTCAGGTGATTTAAAACAAGACGTAAAATAGTGAGTACCTATATCCAAAGCCAATTAATTCGATACCGATGTGGCAGTAAACATGTACAAATTAGCTGTAATATTTTGTCTCATCGCTCTAAAGTCGGCTAAAATCATAAAACTTCCTACGGAAAATAAATCACAAGTTTCTCTAGAGAATGTAAATGCAGATAATCATATTTTGTGGACCCTGAGTCTCAGTCAGGACGATTTGAATTTTCAAAAATTATTTGTGGCAAATCGTGAAGACGAAAAAGGTTTCAAAAATATTATCGCCCCAGCTATTAAAAAGTAAGTAAATTATATTTATATTATACTAGCACTGCCCGCGGCTCCGCCCGCGTTAAGATGACCAAAAACTAAATACTTAGGTTTTACATATTAGTATACTCTTACAATGCAGTTTTCGTATTTTTCTCAGAAATGAGACATTTTCCCGCGGTAAAAAGTATCCTATATGTTTACCCGGATAACCAGCTACCACCATACCAAATTTCATCAAAATCCCTCCCGTGGTTTTTCGGTGATGCGGTAACAGACAGACAGATAAAAATTCTAAAAACTATAGATTCGATCTCTGTATCGATGATAAAGTCTATTTCAATAAGATTTTCCAAAAAATATTCAATGTACAGAGTCGGTTTCGTTACGATTTTATTATATGTATAGATGTAGGTATACTTAGATATTTAACGAAATACTTATAAAACTAAATTTATACGTTGCGTAGTTGATATATAGTGCGTAGACATTTTGGATTCCACGAGGTCCTGATTTCACAACGAATTGCTCCGTTTCTACATGTAATTAGAATTAGGGGGTTGTTTTTCTATTTTATACCGGCCGTTCTATATAAGAGTATAAAATGTCTTCTCCATTCTACACGACATTGGCGAAGTAAATGGTGTCCAACGGGCACTCTTAGAAGCTATTGAACATAAAAATTGAATTGATTCCAGGGGTACGGCCGCAAAATTAATTTTGTTTCAAACTTATTTTTGCCTTGAATTAAATACATTGTGGATAAATAAATATAAATTTTACGTTAAATAAAACATATTACCTACGTTTGTTCAAACACAACAATGTTTGATGTTACAGAAACCTCGTGTATTTGACTGCTCTTGCCCAATTGATACAGAATGCTATACGCAATTAGATCCTAGGTTCGATTCCCAGGTCGGGCCAAAACACTTACAGAGTTTTCTGAAAAGAATGAAGACTAAGTTTTTCTGATAAGAATGCGTGTTTATTTGCACAAATGGCTTATTCATAATGAAATTAGTCGCCGTGGCTGAAACTAGTCAATTGTTGGACATTATTATTATTCATGGAATAATTGGTCAATTAAATTTTTATTACAGTTACAACAGTCGAAATTCACGCAGAGTGAAAAAGGATGATCCGTTAAAAGTTTTGTCTGAAGAAGACCGACTGTATGAATCTGTGGCAGATATTAAAAAAAGCAATTTAAAAAATATAAAAAATAAAATTAAGGTACTCCTGAATTACTTTTTGTAAGTAACATAAAATATTGTTTTATTTCATATGTGTGGTATTATAATTAAATCCTCATTTATCCTCTTTGTTTTAGATTAACACATGTAAACGACCAAGAGTCTTATTTGACAGAAAATTGGAAAAACCATCCACAAATAAAGGTATGGTAAAGGTCGAAACCTCTAGAGAAAATTTATCTCCATCAATACCGTACCTACAATTATAAATTAAAAAAATGTGTGTGTGTACTTATATACACACGTAAGATGTTATACTACTTTGGAGTAACAGAACAAAAATAGCTAAAGATTTAATCCCGTACGTCACAACTGTCTGTTTGTATCTAAAAAGAATGCTGCTAACTTCATCATGCCGCTTTTTGGCTGTCGGTGTGCGCGCGTATCGTAAAAATTTTACTCTCATATTTTTTTCCAAACGTGCCAAAAGAAGTATAACTTTATAAAACAATATTCTTTATTCTCGATCTATTTTGAATCAATTTGGCGAAATGATTTGTGAAATAGCGGCGGCGCAGAAATTGTAGTTATATGTAAGTACCTAAGTATATCGCTATTTCTTTAACATTTTTAAATTATAGATGTTCATTTTACAGATTTTTTTTAAAGGACCGTACCTATACATCTTCGATTCTGACATCTGGAAAGACGATATATCAGTACTTCGTCAACCCTCCATCACCACTTCGCAGATGGTTTTACGAAAAGCACATTTTAAAAAAATGGAAAAGTCTATGTGGATATACCTATAAAATTGCAATTTGATATCCTAAAGAATTTATATTATTTATTGGACATGTATTTAAGTTTTCCTGTTTAATATTCTATTAAATTATATGTTTGTTTCAGTTATTTATACTTATATATAAAATTTTAAATGAAATTAAGTATGTAAAAAAACGCGTACCTATTGCATGCTAAAATACCCAAATATACATTTTAAAATTTTGTCTGCTTGCTTGTCCGGACTAATCTTGAAAATGACTAAGCAGATATCAAAGTAATTTTCATTGTTATAACGAAGATCACGAGGGGTTATATGAAAAATCGGTTATCCAAATGCTACTTTAAAAATTTTAACGTGACTTACCATTGATATTAATTTTTAATGAATTTAATACTTATAATTAGATGCACTTGTGCACACTTGTACACTATAATATCTCCGGCGCAGTTGGCTAGTCTCAATGAGATTGGCCGCCGTGGCCGAAATCGGTCAGGAGAACATCACATAATCCATACTTATTATTATAAATGTGAAGTGTGTTTGTTTGTTTGTTTATCCTTCTTTCACATCGAAACGGAGTGACGGATTGGCATGATTTTTTGTTTGGAGGTAGTTGGAGGGCTACTTTTTACCGCGGGAGATTATCTCATTCCCACGGGAAAACACGTTACAATACAAACTCAAAAAAAAAAATGATCAGAATTACTTGAAACGTGGTATTAATGCTCTACAATACAATTAAATAAATATTGTGTATTAGCATTTTATTTATTACTAACACCAACAAGATATACATTAACCAAAACACAGAATTATAACATGCCCACAAGTTAGGAGTCTAAATGTTATTTATTATAGGTGTTACTTTGCAATGCTGTTACACGCATTGCAAAGTAACACGTATACAATTAATGAAGAACAATAGATACATGCAATAAAAAATACACCAGACAATATAATCAAAAATAAATAGAATTGAGTTAAAACATAATTCATTAAAATATTAAAAGTACAATTAAAATTATAAAAAAAATACATCAGAAACAATTAACAATTAATAATACAAATTGATCAAATAACAACATAATAAATTAAAAGTAATAATATAGATAGTTCAAATAAATCGTATCAGTAAAACAATTATCTCTAAAATAAAAATTAATTATTAACTAAACAAAATTAAAGTAATCAATCATACAAATTGCAATTATTTTTCGAAATTCATCCCTTAAGGGGGTAAAATAGGGGATGAAAGTTTGTATGAAACTATCTTTTTGGAGTTTTTTTTGTAGGTACTTTTACAGCGAGTTAAAGTCGCGGGTTCTGCTACAGAATATGGGATAGAGTAAGCAACATTTTAATCGATATCATGCTAGCTGTAATATTTTTAGTTGCAAAATATTACATACATTTTACATCATAAAATAAATTCTAGTCCAGCCCTTACTTATCAAATTCATTCACTTGAACTTTAAAGAAAACGATGAATTGTAAAATAATTTGTAAATATTTTGTATAATCGACCAGTTAGTTTTCGCTTTGAACAAAAGAAAAAAACATATAATAAATAATAAAACAATAATTATTAATAATATTAAAGTCAGTGGATGTCTGGACTCGTGTGCTCTTTCAATAAATTAAAAATAAACTTTCTAAGGTGGTATTACTGATATTGTTTCATTCGTTCCAGTGTAACCAACTTAGGGGTTTTCCCCCCAATTTTAGGGGTAAAAAATTGCTGCGGGGTTTTTTTAGGGGAAAAAATGATTAGGGTTTTTTTCTTTAATAAAACTTTAAAAAAAAAAACTTGAAAAAATCATATATCTTTAAATATCATTTGCATAATTTATCCTTTTTTTTATTAAGTTATCTATGAAATTTACTATTATTAAATCGTTATATGTATTATTATAATAATAACCATAAATAAGTTTTTTTCGCTACTTTTAATCATTTAAAAAAAATAAAAATAAAAAATATATATATTAGATTCAAACCTACATTTATCAAATTTTCAGTTAGGGGGTTTTATTTAGGGGTTTTTGAAATTACTCGTATGGGGATAAAATTTCAAGTGCTGGCAGCACTGATTCGTTCTCAAATCACAAATGTAATATCTTATGTCACTTTAAGCTCGCTCATTTGATGATTCACGTTGACAGTTTTATACTGTTTTTGCAATTTAGCAATTGCATTGTTTGATTTGCTTCGGTGTGTGAAATACAGTAACTTATTTTCTTCAAACTAATGTGGAACTAACAAAATGCTCGGAAACTTTGAAAACGTGGGTGCATTTACCCCTCATTGCAATGGTACCAGATTGAGATACGACCAAGCTTGTTTGGAAATTATAACAAATGAAACTGTTTCGTTTTGGAGCCAATACCAGGAATGTGAAGATTGCATGCTTCTCGAAACTGTTAAAATCCAATCAACGAGAGGAATAGTATTGGATACTATAAGTCCTTTAAGATATGCTATAAAGAATGGCAATGGCGAAATTTGTAATGGTACGCATTTATTTCTTTGTTTTTCTTTATTGCAAGTAAGTTTAGTAATCCCCAAACCGGTTGTTTAAACATGTAGCATGTAGTTATTACATTTATGTAGCAAACAGCTTACATTAAAGCAATGTTTATGTGACTTATTTATGATAATATTAGTTCTATTAGTTTATTGTAGATTATATCTGCATATTATAGACTAGGTCAAATGAATCATCGTCCTTGCTTTTTCAATTCTCTAAGTACCTACTACATATTATATATTTTTCCAATATTTTTAATAGGCTGGTATATTTTTAAAACAATCATTATCAAATATGAAACCATCCAAAACTTATGAATTTTACCAGCTACATATATAAATTGATGTTTAATGTTATCAGTAAATAATAGACAAAACATCAAGTCACATTATTAAAATAAAAAAATAGGATAATACAATTAAATATTATGCAGGTACATATGAATTTGGAGAGTTTGGACAATACAGTATAAATGTGACTGAAATAACAAAAGATGAATGCCTACCACGGATGAAAGCAGAGCCTGATGCCGCATTCCTTCCAATCCTTACAGCAGTTGTTGTATTGTTGTCTATGGCAACACTATGGTACATAGTGAAAGGTATAGGCAAACGGGTTGTGGCAGGAAGATTATATGCTAGATATTTTGCAAGGTAAGACTTTTCATCACATATATGATAGGTTAAGTGTCATGGATTACTAAAACCATTTACTATCAAAAAACTTTTTAAATTAAAACTCTCACAATACTAGAAACATACACAAAATTGAACTGCCTAAGACTGACTAAATATGGAATAAAACATACATTACATTTGAAGGAGCACATCTTTACAATTCTTTGCCAAATAATGTAAAGGAGTTAAAAACTTTAAATATGTTCAAAAAAAACTTAAAATATTATATTTATTTCTAATGTCACGCGAGAATCCAGATCAAGTTTAAAATCAACACTGTTTTTTGTAGACTATAATATTGCACTATTTAAATTTCCTAATGTAATTGAACATCGTTTTTTTTTTGGAAATAAAACATTTTTAACCCGAACCCGAATTGCATAATGGATGATATGAGTTGTATGTGAATTTATAAATAGCCTGGCTTTACCCAGGTGTAATGACATCAATATAATATACATTACTAGCAGAACCCGAGAGAATGTTCAATCTATGAAAAAAAACTTTTTTGCTTTATGTTATATAGCAACTCACATCACTTCGCTCAGGCTTGTCCATATTTATTTATATAATATTAGATTATTTGGATATTGTGCATTCAGAAATGCTAAAGTCGCGATTAAAAAACGGTGGGTAAGGGTAGGAGGGTAAAAAATATTTTAAGACCTATTCCCATACCTATCAAATATACAAAACCATTAAAATCGTTTGAGCCATTTCAGACGAGTGAGACTACAAACACCGTGACACGAGATATTTATATATTAGATATAAACACCTTATGCTGTATTTAAACTACTAAATTTCAAATTATCTAAAACAACTGGTGTGTCAATTATTGAATATTGATTATAACTGGTTAGAAAACTTCACACTACACACTCTATACACAAAAGAATCCGATAAATCATTTACCAATAGATATATTATGTGACAGAAACATAAATACATAAGTAATAAAAAATCAGATTATAAAAATTGGGTAAAGTACAGATTACAGTTGATTTGATTGATTTTATTTTTTTATATAATAATTTTATTACAATATTAAAAAATTGTGCTATTTTCTTTGGTCCCAGGGAAGACAATGAATTGGGGTCTGAAACACGTGTTCTTACTACAGAAGCTAGCGTGCCTCGTTCTCCGACTAGATCTCGTCTACGTTCATTGGACATATTCAGAGGATTCGCTATAGCTCTTATGGTGAGTGGTTTTAAATATAGGGTTATTTGTGCCAGACTCAGCCCCAATATTTTTTTTGTTGAGTTTCATTTGATGAATGCAAACTCCTTCCGTTCTCCTTGCTCCTTTCCCCTCTCAATTCAATTCATGTGTAATGCTTACAGTAATTGAAATTAATCACCAGCCACCAATCAGATTTTGTCGAGAAACGTTGGTGTAGTAGGTGTCATGTACAGTTCTGGGCTTAAATCCCGTGTCGGACCAACAGTGTCATTGAGTTTTTCTATTAAGAAATCCTCACTAGGAACCACGAGTAGAGAAATTGATGATGTTACACACTTCGAGGTAGTGCACGTAAAGCCGTGGGTCCTACGCCTGATTTTTCTCCGCGTGTGCCAAAGTTTTGTTCAATGGGCCTTTGAAAGCTAGAGGAACAAAGAGTGCACATGTGTTCTGTGCACATTTGTTGTACACTAAAATATGTATCTCCTGTGCTGATATTACAATAAAAAGGACTGGATTTATATGTTATATATCACCCCCAGATCTTCGTCAATGCTGGTGGTGGCGGTTACACGATCTTCTCCCATGCCACATGGAATGGCCTCATGGTGGCTGATGTGGTGTTCCCATGGTTTGCCTTCGCAATGGGTGAAGCCTTGGTTCTATCTCTTAACGCGCGACTCAGGACTTCTATGCCTCGTTGGACTGCTTTTGGACAGGTAACATTTTTTAAATGATTTTATATAAGTGATATTATTATCACACGTATTCATAAAGCCATGACATTACAAAATTATGCGTTTGGGAAACTGAGTGAAGCGGGTTCAAATCCCGGCTCTCTCACCTCTGATATTTTCATGTGTTTTAATTTTTGTAAATAATTTGAGTCCGCCAACCCGTACTTGGCCAGCGCGGTGGACTATGGCCTGATCCCCCTCATATTGAAGGGAGGCTCGTGCCCAGCAGGGAGACGTTAAAAAAGGGCTAAATACACATAAATAATTTGAATGTTCCTATCTCTGGCACTACTAATGTCCTACTTGGAAAATTCCTTAGAAGTTATGGTCTATCTAACATCATGCAAACTTAGAAGGTCAATGTGAGTTATTAATGATATTCCTTACTTACAGGTTGCCCGCAGATCACTCCTCCTATCCCTCATAGGCATATGTCTGAGCTCGGTGAACGTGTCATGGGTTAATGTACGCTTCCCAGGTGTACTGCAACGCTTGGCCGCCATGTACCTCATAGTTGGAGCCCTGGAATGTGCCTTCATGAGGACCAGTCAGAATATTACACCGGGTAAGATATTGATTTATGTTGTATTAATACTAGCGATTTACCCTCGCTTCGCTTGGGAGCGTCCCCTAAGTAGGTACGCGGATTTTGTTCACAATTTCGTGGGTTATCATTTTTTTGCGCGGAAAATAAAAGTCTTCTATACATATAATAAAATTGTAACTAAGTCGAATCTGTACATTAAATATTTTTGGAAAATCTAATTGAAATAGACATTATTATCGATACAGAGTCCGAATCTATAGTTTTTAGAATTTTTGTCTGTCTGTCTGTCTGTCTGTCTGTTACCGCATCACGAGAAAACCACTGGACCGATTTTGATGAAATTTGGTATGATGATAGCTGGATATCCGGATCAACATATAGGATACTTTTTACCGCAAGAAAATATCTCATTTCTGAAAAAAATACAAAAACTGCATTGTAAGAGTATACTAATATGTAAAACCTAAGAATTTGGTTTTAGTCATCTGAACGCGGGCGGAGCCGCGGCCAATGCTAGTTTTAAAATAAAAGTAGCCTTAGTTACATCTTATACTATTGGCTATCTGTCAGTAAGAGTTCAAGAAACCGACAGACAGATAAAATTTTTAATAAATGTTTTGTTCTTATAAGTACCGTATATAATATAAATATGCGTTTAGTAAAAAGCTGTTATTTTGGTATTACAAACGGACACTTCTTTATTTATTTGTATAGATGACGTTATCTATATTTGCTTATCTCTGTTTGTCCTCAGGTCGGTCACTGTTCCGCGACATCGCGGCCGGCTGGCAACAGTGGCTCGCTACCTGTCTGATTGTTGCCATACATGTAAGATAATAATGTTTTTTTTGTAGTTTTTGGTACTTTTTTTTTTAATTTGACATTTGTAAGCATGTTACTTTTTATGTATATATTGTTTATTTTTGAATCGTAACAGAATTAAGAGAATAAGTTGAATTCAAAGTCGATTTTTATTTTTGTACTCACCTTTATATGCCAAATATTAACATTTTTTTTATATATTTTAAGTAAAACCTTAATACAGTTTTATATATTCTTCACATTAAATGATCAGGTGTAATATTTAAAAAGATCATACGTGATGTTAATATATTCCCATAGGAATAACAATGCAATGAAAACCAATAATGAATCAAAATTTCCAGTTTAAATTTATTGTAACAAAAATATAAACGTTTTAGATATGCATAACCCTGACAGTGGCGGCCCCTGGCTGTCCCCGGGGGTATATGGGGCCGGGGGGTCTCCACCGCACTGCCTTAGGCGATTTCACCTTGAAGAATTGCACTGGTGGTATCGCTGGTTATATTGACAGGTATTTTGAGTTATACTGTACTAATATTATAAAGAGGTAAAGTTTGTGAATTGTGACTTTGTGACGTTGTAGGGAGTAATCTCTGGATCTACTGAACCAATTTAGATGAAATTTGGTAAGAAGATAGTTTGAGACCCGGAAAAGGACATAGAATACTTTTTATCCCGGAAATCATCCCTTAAGGGGTTGAAAATAGGGATGAAAGTTTGTATGGGGAATCTGGGGAATCTGCTAGGGACGCACCCGAGCGAAGCGAGAGTGAGCCGCTAGTCGTATCTATATAAATAAAAATAAATGTTGCTAAGCGCAAAACTCGATAACGGCTGGACTAATTAGCCTATTTTTTTTCCAAATATTCATTGAAGTTAGGGGAAGGTTCTTATAAAGAGAAAAAATCGAAAAAAATCACGGAAAAATGTAAAAATTACATTTTTCTTTTTCCTTACTACTACATTATAATTATGAACGCAACCTTAAAATTAATATAAACTACTTGAATGCATTTGTATATTTGACACTTTCTCTTTCTAGAATATACAATTTGACGTTGACTTTGTTTGTTTGTCCTTTTTTTCACGTCGAAATATAGTGCCAGATTGTCCTGTTTTTTGTATGAAGACAGAGGGCTGGAGAGTGACATAGGCTACTTTTTACAATGGGAGATTATTTCGTTCCTACGGGAAAACAAGTTATATCTATTCTACGCTAACCGTTAAAACGTACCTAGGGACGAACTTGAGTGAAGCGAGGGTGAATCGCTAGTTATTAATACATGCTTTTAAAGTAATTAACAAGAAAATTGAATTTAATTGAATTATTAATAAATATAATTAATAATTCAATTAAAAAATATATGGTTATAGTTAATTTGTAATAGGTGTACGTGTGTGGTGTTAATTTTTAATTTGATTTTTTTTTAGAATAAAAAGTTAATATAAATAAAAATATAATAAAATATTTAACTGTCCATATGTGATTTTAAAAAGGCTGGACTGATTTTAATTGGCTTGACTATTTATACTGTATAAATTATTAGTTACTAGCTCGTCTGATTTTCACTTACGTCTACAAACTTTTATTCTATTTATGTGAATCTGCTCTGGTGCTAAAAATAAACATATAATATGTATTTACTTTAATTAATTACAGATTAATCTTGGGAGAGTCACATCTATACAGTAGGGGTACATACCAGAAGATGTACCAGACGGTGGTGCCCCACGACCCTGAGGGTATCTTGGGCATACTCTCCGGAGTGCTGGTGGTGCAGGCCGGTGCTCATGCTACAAGGATCATGCTGGCCTATAATCATGCTAGGTTGGTGGTTGTTTTTTTTTCACTTGGGTTTTTTTTTATTATAGCAAATATTATTTCATAAAAAATTAACAATTTTTTATTGTGTATGAATCAAATCAAAATATTGTTATGTCAACTGTAGAAATCAAACACAGGGTTTTTAAACAATTATGATTTGTGGTTTGTAATTATGCTAATTATTCCAAAATTTTCAACACTTTTATGTCTGTCTGTTTTTCGTGTGTTTGTTAATTGTATTCATATTTTTGTTTTTATCTGAAGCTGTAAGTGAGCTTAAGGGAAAGGAGAAAATAAAGAAAATGTAATAATTTTCAATAATTCGGAATACTTTTTTTTAAGAATTATTATTTAATAAATAAAATTCAATTAATCTCTTACAGAGCACGTATAATGCGATGGGTATTTTGGTCAATTGTCTTCGGAGTGTCCGGAGGGGCTCTCTGTATGTTCACCAAGAATGGTGGTCCGATACCAGTGAACAAGAACCTGTGGTCCGTTTCCTACTGCCTGGTGACATCTTCCATGGCCTTCTTCATACAGGCTGTGCTGTACTTCCTTGTTGATTTGAAGACCAAGTGGGGCGGACGGCCTTTGTATTATGCTGGTATGGTTTTGATCATGTTTTGGGAACTTGTCCAAATTTCATTTATTCATGAACTTTGAGTTCACTTAAAAACCCAACAGAAACAAGCACAGCACTATCACTTTACAGAATTCCCCAATTTTTATGCAAGTTCCGTCTTTTTTTCCTAAAAGTCTAATACTATTCAGATTGTTACATTTTTTTTAAATAAGTCATTCATTAGTATTATTGTATGATCTTTTAATTTTGTAAACATGTATTGTAAAAATGTACAAACAAACATACTCACATTTTATAATATTAGTATGGATATGTATAGTAGTATTTAACATATTTTTATATTCTGCATCTTGCAGGTCAAAACGCTTTATTCCTGTACATAGGCAGCGAGCTACTCAAGAAGCACTTCCCGCTGTACTGGCACATGGCTGCACCGGCGCACGCGCAGCTTCTGGCCGCGCACGCCGCCGCCATGCTCATGTGGCTGGCGGTGGCCGTCGCTCTGCACAGGAAACGCATCTTCGTCACCATATAGTGGTAGTCTTTTCGTGTTCCTTTTTCAAATTATTTCAAATTAATAAAGAAACGACTTTTTTTTGATTTTTTTCGCGAGTCACAAGTATATGGCAAAGGTAGTACGTTTGGATATTATTGGTTGGATATAATGACATCATGTCGTGCGAAGCGCATTTTCGAAACCATATAGGGGTGTTCGTTTTGTGTTCTTTTTTCAAATTATTTCAAATAGAGAAACTACTTTTTTTGGGACTTTTTTCGCGTGTCACTTTTTTTTTTTCAGTATGTATGTATAATGTATATGGCAATGGTAGTACGGTTGGTGGATATAATGACACCAAGTCGCGCTGCACGGCTCATCTTTGGAAACCATATGTGGGTGTTCGTTTTGTGATCTTTTTTCAAATAAAGAAATGTCTTTTTTTCGCGTGCCACTTTTTTTTAGAATGTATGTATGTAAATAAATGACAAAGGTAGTACGGTTGGTGGATATAATGACATGATGCTGCGCTGCGCAGGAGGCTCATCTTCGACACCATAAAAGGGTATTGTTCTTTGTTCAAATTGTTTCAAATAATACTTTCTTAGATTTACGCGAATATTTAACATTGTAATTAAAATATCTTTTCGGCTTTTTCCTCCCAACATAATTGCTCTAAAGTATTCGTTACGTTGGGAACCAAAAATCAAAATAAATCCGTCACAAACCGAAAAGATCGATAGAAAAGATAGAAGATAGATATTATTTCAAATATTTTTAAATAAATTGTTTAGCAAAACTAACTTGTTTTAGGTGTTTTTGTCTCGTGTCACTTTTTTTTAGTATGTATGTATATTATATGTATATCGCAAAGTTAATACGGTTGTTAGATATAACGACATCATGTTTTTTGTATTCGCGCTGTACAAGAGGGCGCATCTTCTTCACTATAAAGGGATATTCGTTTTTTTTTCTTTTTCGTGACTTTTTGTATTTTTTTTCGTCAGCGGTTTAAGTGAGTGGAGGTCAGAGAAATAATTGAGTAATCTTGAGCGATTTTGAACAGGGCGGTTAATCTCACTGATTAGCCACTCTACTCTTCCTTTTACTCTCAAAGTCTAATGGGACGATTTCGAAATGCAACATACTGGCCATTCGACCAACGAGTCAGTAAAATCTTTTATTATATATCTAGTTTATTTTTTAACATGCTCGTAAAGGGCATTCAAGTAGGTGGTCAGTCTAATGAAAAAAAAAATTAAGAAATATTTGGCATATGGCCACCATCTTAGCCTTCACTTAATTTGAATAAATTAAATTTTTTATATAAATTATTTTAAAAAAGAAAATAATTATTAATTGCACGCAAATTAAAATATATTCAAAATTGTTTTATTAGATGCATAATGCTCATAATTCTATTTTATATAACTTTGCTCTAGCATGCACTTCATGTGTAAAGTAACATAAATGCAGTTAAATATTAACCTTAATATTAACTTCGTAGATCATATTTTGCAATAACATGTAAAATTTAACATCTAAAATTGAAAAATCTAAAAAAAAAACTAAAATCTAAAAAAAAAACTAAAATCTATTAAGCACTTTTTGATCGTTATTAAGAATTTGATTATTACTCATAGAATTTCTAGAATAATAACAATTATTGTTATTATTAAACTTTTAGTATAATAATGTTTATTTCTGGAATAATCCCATAAATATAAATAACTTTATTGTATGTTTGAATTTTTTACATTAAAAAATTGTCACCAAAAATATAATGGCGAGTAATATTTATGTTTGAGGTAAATTATAAAAGAATTTATATAAGACTTATTTTGATATAAAAAGATTATTTAAAATATACCTAATTTAGTTTTGTAAAACAAATAGCGTTGGTGCTAATTACTTAGAAAGCTAGTTACAGTACTGTAAATATGAAATTGTAACAAATTCATGTTTTTATGTGGCAAATAGGAATATTAGATTTGTGTATTCGAACCCGTGACCTTGCTCATATATCCAGGGTCTTTACTTACTGCTAATGTCGAGTCATAATAATGGGTTATACAATAAAATGCCAATCCGGCCAGCGTGGTGGACTATTGCCTGATCCCCCTAGTACTGAAGGGAGGCCCGTACCCAGCAGTGGGACGTTAGAAAGGGCTGAATACACAAAAAAATATTATTCACATTGTGACTATACCATATTACTTATAGACATAGAGAGTGGACTGAGTGTTTCTTTGCCAGCCGTCGGCTAAACATGGCGGAAAAACGCGACAGAGACAAAACGAATGTGCGGCCAAAAGTCTTCCGTGTTAATTGAAATACGATTAATGAATATAGATTTTTATAACCGTTTCTTTTTCTATCACACTGTTATATATTTTTTTACATTCCATTAATAAATTCAAATTGGAATAAAAGACAGGTGTTGGCCGCGAGTTCGCTTTCTCTCTTTCTAGAGAGTACTCAATGTGATGAGAGTATTGTTCAGTCGATTCTCTACGTATGTATATGATATTACTAAATAGTGCGCATGCGCGAACACAGTCTCAGATTTATATATGTAGCAATATACTATAAGGTCTCAGACTAACATCAGACTTGTACAGTGTAATTTGTTTGTTGGATTGTTCGCTAATTTTCATTAAAGCACCTAAAAATACTACACATGTTTCGATGAAATCATCATCATTTGGAATAGCTCCTTTATTAAAAAGAGCACATGTTCAAGTGTTGTTTTTTTTATAATTAAGTTATCCTGAAATAACGTGTAGGTACTTATTTAAAACAACAACTTGTAACAATACAAAATTAATAAATATGATATTTAATAATTTAAAATGAATAATGTGAATTTTGACATTTGCATGTGTCAATTTAGTCTCTGAGATTAAAAAACAGACTATACACTAGTTTCAGACTGGCACAGAGTAGTGAACTTTTTAGACTATTCGCTAACATATTTATAGCAAATAAATATACTTAGTAGCTTCTAAAAAAAACATTGGAAATAGATTATTGAAAGCTTGTTATTAGCATAGAAATGGGGATAATTATATTATAAACAAAATGGTGCTTTCACATAGTATATAGTAAATGTTATATAACATTATATTTTTTAAACACGAAAACATTTAACATTCAGTAACATGTTAACTATTGTTAAATGTTTTCAAAGCTTCCACTTGTTAAATGTTTTTAAAGCTTTTAAAATGTGTATTTACTACGAATAGAATTGATATTTAAAAATCAATACTTTTGTATTAATAACTGTTTCGGTAAATTGGTCGTTTGGACAAACAAGCACTGAGATGACGAAATGTTTACTAACATTTTTTAACTCCTGTGTGGAAGCACCTAAAAAAATTGGTAAGTCGTTTTGTAAGACAATGTAAAGAATGTTGCCAAAAATTAAAAGTTACTTTTTTTGGTACTAAAAGAACTTAAAGTTTGTAAAACTACATAATATTATATAGTGATCATAGTATTTTTTATTTAGATTATAATCGTGAATAACCAGATTTATCTAGCACTAGTTATAATCTCATTGTAAAACATTTAATTCATTATATAAATGAAAATCTATAAATATTATTATAATCAGTTTCTAACACAAATTGGTATATTATGGATGCCATTTTGTAATGATGTATAATTTCTGTATCATTTAATATAAAAATAAATGAGTTAATGTTAAGTTTTATTGTTATTTTATTGAATTAATGACTTTCTAATTCGACAAAAACTACTACTTTCACCTATTTTTTTATACCCTAACATTACTTACTATTTAGAGGAAGAGCCCGTGAACGTCAGACCTTCGTCATTTTATAAAGGCTGAAAGTTTGTTTTTATTGATTTATTTGACAATAATTTTTTTTATAATCATTAAAGTCATAGGTACATAATTACCTTCTTTATTACAAAAAATTAACAAAAAAACATAAAATAAAGGTCTATGCACTTGCATAATCATAATTAAAATCTAAAAGCTAAAGATGATTATGCAAAACTACTATTTTTTCTGCATTTTCAGGCAGTAGAGTACTTCTAGACGTTCCCAGATTCAGAGAAAAGACGCTCTGAATAAATACTATTCATTGGCGGTCTGGCGCATAGATTAGTGCTGACCAAATACTTTTGTCTATTATTCGGCTATTCGCCGTATGGCCAAATATACTATTCGTTGCAAGTCTAATCTAGATTAGTCTTATGTCTGGGAAAACGCGTGAATTTTCGTGTTTTCATGTGGTTTTCTTTCGCCACGCAAAAAATGGTCGCTAATTTCGCACGCTCGGACATAAGCATTGTGTTCAAACGACCAAAGTGCAAGATTGACAATCACAGGTGTCCGGGTTCGAATACCGGTCGGATACAAAGTAAAACTTTTTTAGTTATTTTTTATCTAAAAAATACGATATAACAAAAAGAACTCCAAGCGAAGCTCAGTCGGCCAGGTACTAAAATTAAATAGGCGTAATAACTAATACCATGTTAAAGGCATTGTATGTATTGCCAGAACTGTTTATAAATGAGCCAAGTTTCATCAAAATCTGCTAGCTTTACATATGATTGAGTAATAATTATCCAAACATTTATATTATCAAGTGTTAGTTTTCCTCATTTTCCGAGCAATGTATAAATGTGGTTCTTTGTTTAAAATACCAGACCAGAGAAATTCTATTTTAGGCCGGAGAAATTAATAAGATATAAGTAATTATGGGTCAAAGATGAATAAATTAAAGCACACAAAAAAATCTATTAGCTGCACTGTAGCGTTGACTGATCCAAGACTTGTCAAAAGCGATTTATCATGTTCTATCTTTGTCAAAATTAAAAAAAAATTACACTAATCACTTATATCGAAATCTTTAAATCGATTTTTAATTTTTTCTCAAAAAGACGTGATTTCGGGTCAAAAATCAAAACGCGAATAACCTTCACATGTCATTGTAATGTCACTTAGACGTTCATTATCAACCTTGTTGATACGGCAGTTTCGGCAAAGTTTTGCATTGAGAACACGTAAACTTTCCTTAATTAAAATGGATCCAAAAGTAAACCTTAAAGATGACCCCGCGTTCAAAAAACTACAGGAATTCTACAGTGGAAACGCAGAAAAAAATAATATTCAGCAACTATTTCAACAAGACCCTGACCGATTTAAAAAATTTAGGTATGTAGGTAACTTTTTAAAATAAATATATCGTATTTATTTTCATATGTTACTGTAAAATAAAATCATAAATAGTCTTTATTTAATACAAGTAAAAATCTTGAAAGATTCGTATAATTTCACACAATTAAGTCATTCGAGTTTGGAAAAGGTCACCGGTAACGAAGCAATGTCATGCAATTTGAACTTTAAAAAAGCAGTGAACTCATTATACGACATTGTTATTATTATTAAAAAGAAGATATGCAATTAAAATAATCCATATAATTTTTATTTAATCTAGTTTTGACTTGTTACAAAGACTAAAGTTATTATTTTTGTTACCTAAGTAAAACTTAAGTAAGGAAAGGTTTTAATAAAAATGCGTAAAAGTATTTTTTTTATTTTGGTAACAGTATCTTTTTATAATATAAAAAATGACAGTTATTTTGAATTTTTTCATTCTCTAGCCTTCGGATTCCAACACCTAGTGACGGAGAAATTTTACTGGACTATTCCAAGAACAGAGTGAATGATACAGTATTCCAGCTTCTTTTGCAGCTGGCAAAAAGCCGTAATGTAGAACAAGCGAGAGATGCTATGTTTTCTGGTAATTGACACTTGATTCCATTAGTAAAACTAATAATTACTTAAAATATAAATGTTATGAATATATTTGTTGAAGATAAATAGACTTATACATATGTTTGTGACTCACTATGTCCCTAGACAAAAACAAACCTATCCCACAACTGAACCATCCATTTTTCTGGGATAAGTAACCAATGTGCTATTCCAGACTATAATCTACCTCTGTGCCTAATTTCATCCAGATCTGTTTAGCCATTGTGATGTGAAAAAGAGTAACAAATATCCATCCATCCATTCTCCTGAACTTTCACATTCATAATATAGGATGGTTTTTTTTTTAAATAAAACAATAACATAATGTTAATATTATCTGTTATAGAACTTCCCTACAATTGATAATTTCATATATACTTCAGGTCAGAAGATCAACTTCACTGAAGACCGAGCAGTCCTTCACATTGCACTGCGTAACAGACAGAACAGGTCTATTCTGGTCAATGGCAAAGACGTAACACCAGATGTAAATGCTGTATTAGCACATATGAAGGAGTTCTCCCAACAAGTTATTAGTGGTAATTGGAAGGGGTAAGTTATATTTATTAGGCTTGCCCCCAAAAAAACTTGTAAAACTAATAATCTCCAGGATAAATGTAATCTATGTCAATTTTAGATCCTATTTTCCTTCTATCTAAGTTGTAAATTCCATTAAAATGAGCTTACTCATTCTAAAATTAGTGGGTACAAACAATAGATTAAAAATATTTACTAATGATTTCTTGGATTGTGGTATTAGACAAAGATTATTGAGTTTGTAAACAGACATTTTAACAATATGTATGTTACTAAAGATTTATATGACTCTTGATTTAATAATATAACAAACTAGCGACTCGCTCTCACTTCGCTCTGGTTTATCCGTAGGTATTAGAGGCAAATTTTAATACCTTAGGTAACATTATTGCAATAATTGATGAGGATTTCTAATTTTTTGAAAATAAAATATGTCCATGTTACTCACTGATAATGTAGCTTTTGATTGATGAAAGTAGTTTTTTAGTTTATCCATTACAAACAGACATCCAAAAATTTTTTTATTATTTAATATTGGTATAGATTAACTTTCCTTATACTTATCAATTTTTTTAACAACAAAACATCCTATGTTTCCTTTATTTTAATTCCTTTGAGATTTTTTTTCTTGAAGCAGGCTTAACTTGGCCAAGTCTTTTATTTTAAATACTATATGTACTTGTAATTACTGTTTAAGTTTATGATGATTTTATTTAATTTTTCAAAAATATTGTTTTTTTTTTCAGATACACTGGAAAACCGATCACAGATGTGATCAACATTGGTATTGGTGGTTCCGATTTGGGCCCACTTATGGTCACTGAAGCCCTTAAACCTTATGCTAATCATCTCAAGGTAAAATAGATATACAATTAAGTATAATAAAAATAGTATCATTTACAGCTCTATGGAAAATAATAATGGCATTTTGAGGAGCTATTCTGCTCATCACGCTGAAGATCTTCATTAGATCTTTACCTTTTTATGAGACCATCTTAAAAGCTACCACCTTTCAAATAAAAAAAGAATCATCGAAATCAGATCTCATACAACGGAGATATCCAGTTGTTTATTTTTATCCCTTTTTGGAGGAAGTACCCCTCCAATCAAAATTCTCCGACGACAAAAAAAAGGAAGTACCAACAAACTGACAGAGAAAAGCAAATTTTCTCTGACTTGAAGCAGATGCTCAGTCAATTAATTAAAAATAAATTATTCTCTACAGGTACATTTTGTATCAAATATAGATGGTACTCATCTGGCTGAAGTCCTGAAGCGTCTGAACCCTGAGACAGCTCTCTTCATCATCGCATCTAAAACATTCACCACACAGGAGACCATCACCAACGCCACTTCAGCTAAAAACTGGTTCCTGGAAGTCGCTAAAGATGTGAGTCAATACATCAAATTGATATGCTTGGAATTATAATATTATATGTTTAGATTTTTTAATCTGTCTTGTTTGTGTGTTTCTTATTGTATAACTAGAGAAATGGATCTTTTGAAAAAGCTTCAATTTTATCTAAATATAATTCTCTCTCATTATAGATTTAACAATAGTATAGATAGATATACAGATATATAAAATTGAAGTGTCTGTTTGAAATGTTGAAATAACAGCTTTTTACTAAATGCATATGAAATTATATATGGTATTTATCAGAAAAACACACTTTAACTTTTTGTGTCTGTCTATCTGTTTGTTCTGGTTAATCTCCGAAACGGTTGGAATGATTTTGACAGGATTTTCACTGGCAGATAGCTGATGTTATAAGGAGTAACTTAGGTTACTTTTATTTTAGAAAAAATATTGGGGTTCCATTCAAAAATCTTAGAACATACTTAGGGACACACTCTAGTTTTATTATATAACTCATAATATACAATTTTATATTTTAAAATAATAATATAAGTACTTTTATAATAATATGTTTTATTTCAGCCGTCTGCAGTATCAAAGCATTTTGTAGCGTTGTCGACTAATGGAGAGAAAGTGACTGCATTTGGTATTGATCCCAAGAATATGTTTGGTTTCTGGGACTGGGTCGGAGGAAGGTATATATACGTATATTTATTACTAGCGACTTATCCTAAGTTAAGTCTAACAACAATCCATAGTAATATTATAAATGCAAAAGTAACTGTCTGTCTGCTACCTTTTCACGCCTAATCCGCTGAATCGATTTAGATGAAATTTGGTATGGATGTTGCTTTTGTCCCTGAGAAGGACATAGGATAGTTTTCATCCTGGAAAACATCTTATATATATAAAATAAAGTCGGGTTTGTTAAAACACTCGAGAACGGCTGGGCTGATTTTTATAATCTTTGTTTTGTTGGATTTGTCTTTACTCCAAATAGCAGAATAACTATTAAAACATCGGGAAAATTCAAGAAAAATAATTCTATTCCATAGTAAGCGTCAAAACGTACCTAGGGACGAAACTGAGTGAAGCGAGGGTGGGTCGCTAGTAACAAAATATATTTTTTCTCACAGATACTCGTTATGGTCTGCTATTGGGCTATCGATATCTCTGTACATTGGTTTTGACAACTTCGAGAAACTTCTAGACGGAGCTAACTTCATGGACAATCACTTTGTTACTGCTCCTTTGGAAAAGAATGTAAGTTTTTTTTTCTACTGTAGTAGGCCATAGATCATCATGCTGTCCAAGTGCGAGTTGGCGGACTTTACATCTTAACATTCACCGTAAGGCAAATGGTAATCATGTTGGAAATGATTCGCATATGAAGATATCAGAGATATAAGAACCGGGACTTGAATCCGCTCCACTAGGTTTCCAAGCGAGCACAATACCACTGGGCTACCATTGCCTTTCTATTAGTGATAGAATTTTCAGAATCGGATTAGTGGTTTCAGAGATCTACATACAAACTTACAAACTTTATTTGTTTATAATATTAGTATAGATATATACAATTATTAATTATTTCAGGCGCCAGTGATCCTAGCGCTGCTCGGGGTGTGGTACAGCAACTTCTATGGCGCGGAAACACACGCTTTACTCCCATACGATCAGTATTTACACAGGTGATAAATATATTTTCAAGTACTTTTTGTTAAATGTGCATACAAACTGACATACATTTGTTTTTGAGTTTTTGCCTAGGCTTTTATAAATACAAATATTTCTCCCAAGCGAGCACACGTGCACACAGAAATTTATCACATTTATACACTCGAATATTTATTTACAAATATATAAAATAATAATATTTCCAAACAGATTCGCAGCGTACTTCCAGCAAGGTGATATGGAGAGCAACGGCAAGTACGTGACTCGAGGCGGGGACCAGGTGTCTTACAACACCGGCCCCATTGTATGGGGCGAGCCCGGCACCAACGGCCAGCACGCCTTCTACCAGCTTATACACCAGGGGACTAGGTGAGTTGCTTGTTGTATATGGTGTTACTAGCTGTTGATATTTAAGTTGAAATAAAACTTGTATTATTCACAATAAGTATGTATTTATTGTTACATATTATATTTTAGACAACAGTGATAGCCAAAGGAATGATGTAATTGAATTGAAAAAGTGTCCAACCTTAAATACTATCTTAGAATTTTTATTTTTCTTTTTTTTTACCATTGTAGGAATACCGTTTGCGTTCATAATAATAAATTAAGCATTACCCACGGCTTCGCCCGCGTTCAAACTTCTGATATAAACATCAGTTTTACAATAATGTATGGAATTCAGCCCGATTTGTTGACTTTTATGATTACTGCTCCGCTCCCTTGGGTTGTAGCATGATGATAAATTGGCTATAGCCTTCCTTAGTAAACGGGTTATTTAGTGGAAAAATAATTTTTCAAATCGGATTAGTAGTTCATGAGTTTAGAGCGTTCAAACAAACAAACTGTCTCTTTATATATTAGTATAGATATGTCGCAGGGATATTGTAAAGACCGTTAAATTATAATTTCACAATTGAACCCACACATCACTAGAAACATCACAAAATTCAACTGCCTAAGAAAAAAAGGAGCTTTACAATTTTTTGCCAAATAATGTAAAGAAGTAACTATAACTTTTTAAAATCTATACATATAATAAAATTGTAACTAAGTCGAATCTGTACATTAAATATTTTTTGAAAATCTAATTGAAATAGACATTATTATCGATACAGAGTCCGAATCTATACTTTTTAGAATTTTTGTCTGTCTCTCTGTCTGTTACCGCATCACGAGAAAACCACTGGACAGATTTTGATGAAATTTGGCGTACCAGATGATAGCTTGGTATCCGGGTCAACATATAGGATCACTTTTTCCCGCCGGAAAATATCTCATTTCCGAGAAAAAAATACAAAAACTGCAATGTAAGAGTATACTTATATGTAAAACCTAAGGATTTGGTTTTTGGTCATCTGAACGCGGGCGGAGCCGGGTGTAACGCTAGTAAAAAAATAATAATAAAATGATTCCTTTCTCAATCTCCCAATCTTAGCTTATTTCAATTTCTTAGACCTATCAATTGATCAATCTATAGTCTTAAAGTATTTTTGCTCTCCAGGTTGATACCATGCGACTTCATAGCCCCGGCGCAGACCCATAACCCGATATCTGGTGGTCTACATCACAAGATACTTCTGGCTAACTTCTTGGCGCAAACTGAAGCGTTGATGAAGGGGAAAACTGCTGAAGAGGTAGTTTTAATATGCTTTTATATTTTTTTTGTTGGGGGTCGATATTAGCCCTTATTGGGGGTCGTTTTTAACCTGATTTTAAGTGTCACTTTGTGTTAATATAATGAAGGAGCTAAGAGGTGGAACCCTTCAATGGCTACTAGAAAAACCTTCAAGCTGAATTTGTCTTGACAAGTCCCAAACATATTACAGTTGGTTAAAGCACGTTTTTTTATTTATTTTTAAAAGACAATTGTTTGTTTTATATTTAGTTATGTAAATAGAGTCAATATGTAATGCTGGACTTCTTTGATATAAATACTAGCAACTCACCCTCGCTTTGGTTCATCCCTAGTGAAAAATAAGTATTCCATGGGAACCATACATTTTTGTGACATGTGAAAAAAGTAACCTATGTGCTATTTTGAACTCTCTATCTCTGTCCGAATTTCATCAAGATCCGTTCAGCCGTTCTGCACGCGAAGAGTAATCCATCCATCTATCCTCACAAATTTTCACATATGTAATTCTAGAGGCTCACCCTCTTTTCGTTCGGGTTTGTCCCTAGTGAAAAACAAACGTATCCCACGGGAACCGTACATTTTTCCGGGATAAATAGCGATGTGCTATTCCAGACTCTATAATCTATCCCTGTGCCAAATTTCTAGCCTTTCTACCGTGATTGAGTAACAAACGTCCATCCATCCAAACTTTTGCATTTATATATAGTAGTAAGATTAAAATTTAAGTGCATATATCAACTATGATTTTTTTGTTTGTAATATCGTTGATTAATAATAATATATTTCGTTATCCCCAGGCTAAGGCTGAGCTAGAGAAGTCCGGCATGGCGCCCGAGGCCATCTCCAAGATCCTCCCGCACAAAGTGTTCAAGGGCAACCGACCAACTAACTCTATCGTCGTGAGGAAAGTCTCGCCTTTCATATTGGGAGCTCTTATTGGTGAGAATAGATTTTTTTTATAACACTGTGCTAACAATCGATCAAAAAAGTACTAGATACACAATCAGCGACAAAAAATGTCCTCACCGAATGAGCACCCATTTGAACATTCGGGCGGTCTTTTAATAATTTTTTTTGGGAAAATAACTTTAAGCATTGCATTTAAGGTGCAATTTACATTGTTGTATATTTATTTCAACTAGAATAATTACCTAAACACAAATAATTACCTAAACACAATTCACAATTGGTGACAGTTTTAAGAGAACTTTTGCATGGGATTGTGTATCTAGTACTTTTTGATCGATGCTGCTAACTAATGCAAAACAAATAATAAATATAAATTTACACACTTAGTTTAAGTTTGATTTTCACCAATTTCACAACTTAATCAGAGAGCTTCTGAAAAATAAAAATTAATATAATTAAAAATCTTTTTCAGCAATGTATGAACACAAAATCTTCACACAAGGAGTTATCTGGGATATCAACTCCTTCGATCAATGGGGTGTGGAACTTGGCAAGCAATTGGCCAAGGCCATAGAGCCAGAGCTCCAGGGCTCCGCCCCCGTGTCTTCACACGACGCCTCTACCAACGGACTCATTAACTTCCTAAAGGAAAACTTTGCTTAAATCTCATTTTTAGTCATGACATAGTGTATTAATACATACAGTCAAGCAAGGGTTGTCAAATAATATCAATTTGTTCATTCATTCTCGTAGCAAATTACAGTTACTTGTCAACCCTAAAGCAGTTTCCCGACTGTGATCCATACTAATATTATAAATGCGAAAGTAACTCTGTCTGTTAGCTTTTCACGCTTAATCCTCTGAAACGATTTAGATGAAATTCGGTATGGAGATAGTTTAAGACCCTGAGAAGGGCATAGGATAGTTTTTATCCCGGACATCCCTTAAGGAGGTGAAAGTTTGTATGGGAAATCAATCATTTCTCAAGTCAGGGATTTAAAACTCTTCATACCTATGGATGAACCCGAACCAACCTAGGGTGAGTCTCTAATATAAAAAATGTATGTCAGTCGGGTGCGCCTCTTTATAGGCTGTACGTATTAGTAAATCGTGCACATAGTTTGGTTATTTGAATGTTATATATACACATAAATTTTAATAGTAATTTAATATATTTAGCGAATGAAGATTTAAAAGAGTATGATTAAATATTTATTAAAAAGTTTTTTAAAGAAATTTACAATGTTTTAATTTTAGAATTCAAAATCACTTTTTAAAAACATTTAAGACTTAAATTTTATGTTAAATGAACGTCTCATTTATTTTAATATAATGCAAGTAACATTATTAGCGCTCTTATGGCGCGTTTAAATACTAATATTATTTAATATATTTAAATATTAATGTATTTTAAAATATATGAAATAGATGTTATGCAAAATGAAATAAATCTCTTAGTTACTTTTGCTTTTTAATTTTTATTAGTTCCACTCTATTCCTCCCAAAGTCAGGGGACTGTCTGTTTTTACACTTGCAACCTATGCCAGGAAAGGTGAAAGATTATAAGGAAAATTATTAGAATACTAGCAGTAAGCAGATTAGAAGACCTCTTTATAAATCAAAATAGCAACTTACCCAGCGCTGGATTTACATTTAACTCGGGGCTAGTGCCAAGGGCGGCAAAATTCGGAGGGTGGAAGGAAAACTCATTCTTTATTGTCCCAAAAAATAATTAATTAAAAAAAATCATTAGTACATTTTTCCTAAAAATTGAAATCATTTATAAAATATTTTATTGTATTTAAAAAAAAAATCCAAAAAAAACTATCAAAACTTTACGGGTTTTATGCAAAATTTCGATAATATGGCGGCATTTTTTAATATGCTCAGGAGCGGCGGAGGTTAAATCCGGCACCGAACTTAACCTAGCTTCGATCGGGTGCGTCCCCTGCTGAAAAACACCAATAGAGTCCCATCAAAGCGATAAAAGCCACATAGAAACCAATACATTTTTATCGGAGTTTTTAAATAGGGTCCCTAAGAATTTAAGTAAAAGTAGCTTGAGTATTTCTCCCGGTCATCTATACAGATAAATAAAATTGAAGTGTATGTTTGTAATGTCAAAATAACAGCTTTTTACTAAATTGAGTAAATGCACATGGAATTATACGGTATTTATAAGAAAAACACAATTTTTAAAATATTTGTCTGATTGTTCCGGCTAATCTCAGAAACGGCTGGGCCGATTTTGATGGGACTTTCACTGGCAGGTAGTTGATGTTAAAAGAAGTAACTTAGGCCACTTCTATTTCAGTAAAATAATTAGGGTTCCGCTCAAAAAATGTACCTAGGGACGAAGTAGATCGAAGCGAGAGTGAGTCACTAGTACGTTATATATGTACTAAATATTTAAATCCATCCAGGAAACAGCGCGAAGGAGTAAAAAACATGCACACAATAATACAAATTTCTCAGAGTTCGATAACAGCGCCATCTACCTGGTCCACCTTTAGCTAAGACCAATCCTCATAACTCAACAAAAACCATAAAAATCGGTCATGGCGTTTATGGAAAGAACTACTAAGACACGTACATCTAATTTTTATATATAAAGATATAACAGACATGGTGTTTTTATAACAAAAAACCTTTTATATCATAAGTCATTTAATTTATTCAAATTTCACAATTGGCATGAAAAATGCAGACTGGTTTCAATAACATAATTATCTTATAATATTAAATCAGCAATTGTTATATATAAATTTATTCCGTGTATGTCGGGAACGGCTCTAACGATTTGGATCAAATTCGTATTTAGATAAGATTTTCCTTTTTAAGTATATTTTCTAAAAAAAAAACACATCTTGTAGTCCTTTTCAAAAAATTACCAACATAAATACAGGTCAATTACAAACTTCTCATCAGCCTAAATCAAAACGTTCTTAAATTTACCTGAATATTTAACATTAAAAATAAATCTAATTTTTCGCATATTTTCGCGGTTTTATTTAACTTTTTTCTTCCGACATATTGTTATTTCTTTCGAATTATTATATTATTTTGTAAGTAAATAATACTTTGCTGTAAAGCTTTTGAAACATCGGGAACAAATAATCAAAATAACCGCAAAAAAAAACGATATTTTTTTATTTAACATGTCGAATACTCATGTAAATAAGAAAATAAATATGACACAAAAATATTTTACCCTACCCTATGTAAAAAGTATAGTTTCATCCATATTAATTTTATAAATTTGTACCTCTGCTCTTTTGTAACCTTTCACGTTAAAACTACTGAACAGATTTCGATGAAATTTGATAAGATCATAGGTTGCATTGCATTATGGAGACGAACTTAGGCTATTTTTTTGTAGTAAATTACAATAAAAAATAACAAAAAAATGAAATTTTAAATAAAACTATCTCTTCGGATTTTTTTAATGGATTCATTTTGATTTTTGGTTCCCGACGTTCCGAATGCTTTACAGCAATCATGGTCACGGGAGAGACTAAGGTTTTGGACGTCCTAAAAGTCATTATATAGTTGTTACAGACAGTGCCTACCAAAATTCACACTAAATTCGAAAAGATAGTTTTATTTTAAATGTCAAATATTCGCGTAAATCTAAGAAAGTATTATAAAAAATGAATTAATTAGACAGATCAAAGTACAATAATCGATGTAATATGTATAGTATTTAAAGCTAAACGTTTGGATATTGAGTATTTACTTAGGTTTCCGTCCCCTGCCGCCGCCGGTTTTAGCTTTTTTGTTAGCATTATTCTTCTTATCTTCCGCTTTTCGCTTCGGGTTGGGCGTTGTTGATAACACCTGTAAAAATACATGTATAAATTAATAGATAACCAGATTATTTAAAAATATGATCTCAACAGAAATAAAAAGTGTGAAAGTTTTGTAAAAATATTACTAATATTCATAGCAAATACCTTAAGTTTTGATATTGTAGTGTCATCTTGTGGCAACTTGAGTCATATTCTCAGTCTTGGTATCTCGATTTAAAAAGTTGTAAAAGTCAAATTGAATGTAATAATAGTTGTTTCTATATATTTTTTTATTTATTATTTTAAGAAATTTTTCAGTACTATGTGAGATTATCCCAAACAACACACAAACTAATCTTTTATATAACTTTTATATTTGTGCACGTGTATGTGTACGTGCGTGCGTACGTGGGTATGTATGTATGTTTGTTCGTAGATAAATTATAGCTTGAAATTAGGTACCAAGGGAACCCGGGCAAAGTCATAGTAAGTTATAAGTTCAGCAAACCTTAAAGAACCCGTCGAGCCTCCCCTGCACGGAGCCGGAACGCGCCTTCATCAGCTTCTTGGCACCGTTTCGGACGCGTTCTTCGCTGAATTGCTTGTCCCCGCAGAGGAACTTCACCAGCCCCTCTTCGTCTGGGTCTGTCCATTTTAGCTGGAATTAATGTTTATTGTATGAGTTAATTAATCTATATGTACAGATAAATAAAATTGAAATGTCTGTTTGTAATATCAAAATCAACAGCTTTATACTAAATGCATAATATGAAAGTATTTTTAAAAGAATTAGGCTTTCAAACAAAAAACTTACAACCCATAAAATTGTGAAAATAATCGCTAGTTAGAAATATTTGTTATTATTTATTATTAGTTATTATAATTATTGCACGCAGTTTTATTTGTGTGATGGGTGTCGAAAAAAACCGATTTAAACAGGAGTCACTAAGATTTTTATTTTGGAAAAGAAAATGGTTCCAGAACTCATGGAATAAATTAAAATAAAATGTTTTTAATCTTTATCAGTCTAATTTTACACTATCTGGCCAATATTAAGTTTCATGATATAAGTCTTTAAACTTCCATAGTCACTGACAATTTCATAAAGAATTATTATTAATAGCAAAAACTATTACATATATATGTATGTATGTTTGTTTCCATATATATAGACTAGCGTTATTCCGCGGATTCGCACGAGTAACTCAATTATAAATGAATATATCTTTAAATATCCAATTAAAATATAAAATAGCCTATGGTACTCTGATGTATACACTATATTATTGCAAAGTTTCATCAATATCCGTTCGTCCGTATCCATTAATTCCCACAAACTTTCGCGTTAATAAAATTAGTAGTATACTCACCTCTATATCATTTCCATCAGCAACTTCAGGTTCCAAGAACAGTCTCCGAGCATTCTCATATGCCCAGTTCTCCGGGGGACTGTACTTGTTGGTGTCTATGTTACGGAGTACTTCCTCTATACTGCGGTGCTGCTTGACCAGGTCTATGGCGCGCTTGGGCCCGATACCGCGGATAGACTCGCAGTAATCACATCCCAGCAGGATACACAGGTCTATGAACTGGAAAATAGAAAAAAACGTGTGTGTGTACTTATATGTACGCACGTAAGAAGTTATACTTCTTTGGCGTAACGGAACAAAAATAGCTACAGATTTCATCCCGTATATCACAACTCTCTGCTTGTAAAAGATGATGATGCAAATAGCTTCATCATGTCGCTTTTTGGCTGTCGGTGTGCGCGCGAATCGTGAAAATTTTACTCTCATAATTTTTTCCAAACGTACCAAAAGAAGTATAACTTCAAAAAATTTAATAAAACCTTTATTCACACTTTCATTTAGAAATATTTAAATCTTGTTTTTTTTTATAATGTGTTTATTTTATGCATACATTCTTTTTATAATACTGGAGAATAATTCGTTCGATTTACGATAATATTTGAAATTTTAAATGAAACTATCTTTTTGGATTTTTTGCAGATTTATCTTGATTTTTGGTTCCTAAATTTATCCAAAAATAGATTTTGTGTAAAAATTATCACTGCCGTGGCTCTAGTGGCGTAACGCGGAAGGTCCAGAGGTTCTGGGTTCGAGTCTCAAGTCGGGTCTAGTGTATTTATGGGGTTGTCAAATTTTCCATTATATAGTTTCTCTTATAAGTTATATCTCCTGTGCTGCTGATTCCTCTGGTACTGAAAAGAGGCCCATGCCCAGCAGTGGGACGTTAACAAGGGCTGTATACATAGATACATATGACCTGTCCCAAGCTCATACACGCGTTTGTATATTAATAAATTCGTAAAATAAACGCTTACCTCATTATGATTTAACTCCAATCCACTTAACACCTGGTCCAGATGGAACTCTTGGACTGGCATTTTTCTAGCCTCTGAGAAGGTCAAGTGTCGAAGAAGTATGTTAGCACCGAACGTCAAAGCGTCCATATCTTCTGTTGCCACCGCAAACACTTTGCCAGCTTTTACCTGAAAATTTTAGTATTGTTAACCAAATTTGATAAAATGTTGTGATGCCATTATTTAATGGTTTTTAAATTCTTTAGTTTAAACGGTTAGTATGGATATCACATGGAAACCATATATTTTTCATGGATAAAAATAACCTATGTGCTATTTCAGACTATAATCTGTCTCTGTGCTACATTTCGTCCAGATCGCCGTTCCGGCGTGACAGAGTATCAAACATCCATCCATCCAAACTTTAGCATTTATACTCGTAATATTTATTTATGGGATGATTTGTTGTTTACATTATGTAGATTTTAACTATACAGTACTATTAATATCTAAGTAAAATGACTGTGACATAATGATGAGACATAAGAAAGATACATAACCAAATTAATGGTAAAATTCCAATAGCTTTATTGGAAAATCTGTTTAGTGACATATACAAAGTTTATTAATTATTTTCACAATTGATGTTATTTTATTTAAAACAGTTTAAGATGAATTAACGATTTATTTCATCAAATACAAATGAAAATTTACCTATTACTTTTACATGAAAATAAAAGAAGTTCAAACTTGTAATCCTTTGAGTTATAACAATGAGCATCTTCCACTAATATTAAAAAAATTAATTTGCTTGTATGTTCAGGATTTATGGAGGATTATAAATTCTTAAACCTATTTTTTTTTCAATAATAGAAAACTGTGTAATATAAGTAGAACTGTATAAAAAATTGGTATAATTATGACAATCCATTATACATATATTTTCTATCAAATCCACCATGACATAAATAATATAATATGTTAAATAAATAAACCTTACCAAAGCAGCACACTGAGCTTCAGCCTCACATGGGGCTTCTACTACAGGCACTCCCATCAACTTTAGTAGCTGACGGGCCTCTTCCCCATGCTGTTTTGTTACTTTGACCAGACGACGATTAAATTTTTCTATTGATGCTTTATCGCCTGTAAATTATTGGTTATTTTATTAATTATAGCTGTACTCGCCGAACCCAAGAGATTGGAAAATGGGCAGGGAGAAGAAAAAAAAGATAGCTTGTTAATTGATAATAATCTACACATAAAATTGTAACTAAGCTGAATCTGTACATTGAATATTTTTTGGAAAATCTTATTACATAGACATAATCTTCCATAAATAGACATTATTATCGATACAAAGGCTGAATCTATAGTTTTTAGACTTTTGTCTGTCTGTGTGTGACCACATCACGGAAAAAGCACTGGAGTGATTGTGATGAAATTTGGTATGATGGTAGCTGGTTATCCGTGTCAACATATAGGATACTTTTTACTGCAGGAAAATATCTCATCTCTGAGAAATCTATTCTAAACTTAATGGGACGAAACCGAGGGGAGCAAGGGTGAGTTCAGGATATGATATAGGCTACTCTTAATGCAGGACATCAAGTGGTTTTCATTAATGTGTAAATAAATATAATGAGATTTTTTAACTATTTGGTGCTAACCTATTTTAATATATGTATTGTAATTTTTAGTAGAAAATATAGATGTCTAAATATTGTATAATATAGCCAAATTATATTATCAATGAAAGTATATTAATTTACTGTTTAATTGCATACCTGCTTCTGTGGCTTTTTGGAGCTCTTTTTCAGCTTCTTCTCTTCTTTCTGCTCTTTTGTTTAATTGATGGGATTTCATATCAGGAGGTTTACCATCAAATACATATACTGGTTTAATGCCATTGTCTACCAGACGAATCGTCCTATAGAAAGTACCCATTAAATGTGATGTCGTTTCGCCATCAACAGAGGTGAGCTGTGCACCTGTAGAAATGCAAATTATAAAGTTATTCTCATTTTCAATATTATGAATGTTTCTTTATAATTGAATAGTATTTAAGTACATGAAACTATCGCTTAAGACAACGATGCACGTTATACACATTACATTTATGTAAAAGGATTAAAATAAAATCTTCATAATTTAAATAATACCTTCACTCCTTACGGCAATTAGGAACTGGTATAAGCTCATAGAGGCATCAATAGCCACTTTTCTACCTGTGGATTATAAAACATGGTCTATTCAGTAATCCAAGCAGTATCAATTGCAACTACACAAAAGATATATTTACAAACCAAAATAATTCTTGATTTCCATTTCTTTCACAGCTTGCGGTGCAATATCTGCAATTAACTTAGATAAACCTATAATACCCATATTTTTAATTAATGTAAATCACACAATCACGGAATTTTTTGTACTCAAATCTTGTCTAAATATGTTTTACTGGTGTCTGGTTGGTTTCAGTTTGGCGGGAATTATGACGATTGACGCCTGACGGGAAAGAAATTGTCAATTGAACGAAACTGACAGTTGACATAAAAAATAATGTTGTATATTACAATTTTTGTATTAAATATCGATGTATGATACAGCATCAATATCACTTGATGTATTTCTAGATATTTTTATTGATAAAAAATATCCAAATGAAATTCATATTAATTACTTTTTAAACACTAAGTTAAATTAGAAACTTACTTTTGTTAACTATTTAAATTTAAAATAATTATCGAAGCTGAATCGAAACGCTTACATATTTATATTTTATATGTCACTCAAAGTATCAAACATCAAAAAGTTTATAATTTACTTGTTTTAATCTTAGTAAGATATAAGTAATCATGGGAGAAATCTGCCATTGTTTTATTTATAATATAATAATTCTCACACTTAATATTTGAATTTTACACAACTGATAGCACAATTTTTGAAAGTGAAAACACCTTTATTGATCGCCTGTACTAAAATCACTCTTGCAAGTTGCAAGTTTTCAATAAGAAGCAAAACAACCTGTGATAGTTTTATTGAAAAAGAGTCAATTTAAAAATTTATCTTTAAAAATGGGAAACTATTTTTCTATAAATTTGGAAGATCATTACAGACAAAATGAAAAATTTCTACAAAGTTTAAATGAAATAAATGTAAGTTATACATTATAATTTAAATCTTAAATATAGAATAACTTAGGCTACATAACTTAATATAATATGTTTTTTCAGATGGAAAGACAAATTCAGTTGAGAAATCAAATGGCTGAGAGACAGAAAGCCATGGAAATCGCCAAAAATAGAGATTTATGTCTTTGGTACACAACATTTTACATTGCTGCTACAACTGGTCTATTTACTGGGTATTTATTTATTTTAATATATATAGATTTTTACATAAATATATTTTAGAACCTAATATTTTATATAAAACATATATTTCATTAAACAGGTTCAGGCGAACAAAGAGGGCTTATTTCTTATTTCCTCTTTTACCTCTCACGTTTGTAGACCTATATTACTGGGATCTTGCCTATGGTAATAAAATGCATCGCTTGAGAAGTAAGTTGTATTTATACTAAGAGTTATTTAACTCTATAAGTAAATTTTATTTCCACTTTTTGTTAAGTGTATTAGATTAAAAAAATCAACATATACTGTACAAATATTTCAGTGGAAGCAGAACACATAATGACACATGAATCTGACATGTTGGAGGTACCTTGTGGACTTCCAACACCATCATCTATTGATCAAGGCCGTAGGGATGAAGAAGAGAAGCAAAAAATACATCCTCCTTTACCTTAAATAAGATTATACTAACCTCCGTGCTCTGATGTGTGCCTTTGCATTGTCATTTAGAAGGCATTGATCAGTCAATGTGTGTGCTAGAATGCTTATTCTTAAAAACCAAAATTTAAAAAATATCAAATGTCCTCAAGAATTATAATATAGATCTAATCATGCATATTCACTTTATACTTTTGAAAAATAAATTAAGTAATAAATTAAAGTAATTATGACATTTACACTCTCCTACAATGGGCAGTGTATTAATTAATTCTGCATTTTTAGTGGAGTTATTAGTATTATATAGTTTTAAGGAAATTTATTTGAGATATTAATTTATAGTAAAACAATTTTATTGTTTCTGATAAAATTTTGTGATAAGTATTATATAAGCTTTTATTGCAGATTTTTATTTTCAAGTTTTTTACTTATATATTTATTAGTTTTTAGGTAAATGTTAAAACTGTTAATATCCTAATAATGTAATGTGATAATGTTCTCATGTTAACTAATATAAAAGTATTGTCCTAAATAGGTAAATCTTATATTATAAATAAATCATAATGTTTTCCATTCACACAATAAGTATTATTAGAGTAGATTTTTCAATGTTATATATTTGGCATTATTACTTATCAATGTTGTTTCAAATAAAATTTTTAAATTAACGATGGTGTTTTTCTTCCTCTTTTTCGATAGTAAATAATACGTAGTAATTTTATAAAAACGATTCTCGACTTCTTCGTTATCGATTTATTATACCTTTTAGGCCATCATTATTTTTATTGACAGTTGCAGTTGCTATGGCAACGAATAACATGTTTGGCGGAGTAAACAAATGAATTACTTAAGGTGGAACAAAACGTGCTGCTGAAAAATTCTTAAAATAATATATTATTCAGTTGCCAAACGATTAACCATGGATTTTATATTTAACTGCGTGTAACTTATCTGCAAGTACGTAATTTTGTTTTAATAATATTCTTGTATTATTTGCTAAAAATAGTGATCTAAATAATATGTATTGGTTTTATTGACTTTTGGTTGCCCGGTATACAAATATAATCAATATTGTTTAATATTTCGGTAGTCATGCTACAGTATTCAAATTAGTAAACGATAACTGAAATTTACATATTAGACGCTTGTATTTTGGAATAAAGAGGAATTCTTATGAATATTTATTACCGTTTTAGAATCGAACTTTACAGTGGCTTGTACAGACGCTTAGTTAAAAATGAGTCAACTACAAAACGTTAAACGCGATGAGAAAAAGAAAGATGTTCCAAGCAAAGTGTCGAAAAAAAGTCCGAATAAAAATATGTCTGAGATCGACGAACATATACTCAAAAGATTTGATATTAAAAAAAGACTTGGTAAAGGAGCCTATGGAATAGTGTGGAAGGCTGTAGATAAAAAGACCAAAGACGTTGTAGCTATTAAAAAGATTTTCGACGCTTTTCGCAATCAAACTGACGCTCAGAGGACGTTTCGCGAGATCATATTTTTACAATCATTTCGTAATCATCCAAATATCGTGAAATTGCATAGTATACACAGGTAAGATATTATTATACTTCATATACAATTTAAAAATAACAAATTATTGGATTAAATCATTACTTAACATCTTTATAGTATATTTTTTTGGATATTTAATTATTCATTTCACATGTATATTTATTAAGTATTCATTTCGTCGTTCGGTACACTACCCCAATAATATGCTAATTATGTCATATTATAAAAAATAACGTGCGTTTTCCTATAAAATTTTCTATACTAATATTATAGAGGTAAAGTTTTTGAGTTTGAGAGCTTGTGCCGTTGTAGGCGGTGATCTCTGGATCTACTGAACCGATTTAGATGAAATTTGGTAAGAAGATACTAAGTTTGAGACCCTGGGAAGAACATAGCATCTTTAGGACTTTTTATCACGGAAATCATCCCTTAAGGGGGTGAAAATGGGGATGAGAGTCGTGGGGAAGCTAGTAGGGAATATTATGTGTGATTTTTTTACACAATATCTAACATCGTTATATAATTGTAAAAAAAACATCCAGCTCCAACAACTAAAATTTAGTATAAAAAAAATATTAAAAATTTTACGGAAACCTTAAACGGCCGCCATTTCGCGCGCTTGGTGTGAAGTCACAGTATGATATACACAGAAAAATGACGAATTAATTCTAGCCTGAATAATGAATGAGATTAGATCCTAATGAGGATCCACTCCACATGACAGCAATCTCTCAACAAATTTGCTTATAATCAAAAGACTGATCGCAAATCATACCAGCAAAAATGTAGCGACATAATCGCTAGTATCGCTCTGTTATTATAATACTTTGACGTCATATTCGGTCTGGCCAATGGCGTGCGTTTCAACTATGTACTTTGAATTTCCAACCTATATTTGCACTTTTTAATAATTATTTTCTTAATCAAAAAGAAATTACATTATAAAATATTGATATACGCTTAATTCAAAAGAATACAAAAATCGATTAGTAGGTACATAGTGTTATATCTTGTACAATGGTACCCATTACATACTGTTACATTTTGTACGATGGTACCGATTGACCGGTTTTAATGGAACCCATTAGTTTTCAAGCCAGTCTGGATTTATTTAGTAAAACGATTGTTATTAAATTATTTGTGAAATAATGAAGTTATAGTGATGTAGTTCTGATACGGTTAAAACATTTTTTTTCATACCGGAAATAGTTACGTCTTTTGTCATCTTTTATCAATTTCCTCTTTCCGTTGTCCTTGTATTTGTCTTCTCCTTCAACTAAGGTCGACTTGAGTTCCTGCTATTAAGCGCTTATATGCTTAAAATACGGCTACTGCTCATTGTATGTAGGTTTTTTTCATCCGCCGTGGTAATACAGCTTGGAATTATATCAGGGCCGAATTTAAAAGTGTGGGGGCAAAGAGTGCAAACCACTAATAATATCGCAATAAAATTAAAGAAATTCTACTCAGAAGAAGAAAGAACGCTTCTCATTTTTTAAATTGCCAAGTTCATTGAACCACAATTTGTTTTTCCTAATCCGACTCATCATATTCATGCCGCACGAATAATATAATTATAATCTATACATATTATAAAATTGTAACTAAGTTGAATCTGTACATAAAATATTTTTTGGAAAATCTTATTGAAATAGACATTGTTTTCGATGCAGAGGCCGAATCTATAGTTTTTAGAATATTTGCTAGCATTGCCCGCGGCTCCGCCCGCGTTCAGATGACCAAAAACCAAATTCTTAGGTTTTACATATTAGTACTCTTACAATGCAGTTTTTGTATTTTTTCTCAGAAATGAGATATTTTTCGGCAGTATAAAGTATCCTATATGTCGACCCGAATAACCAGCTATCACCATACCAAATTTCATCAAAATCTCTCCAGTGGTTTTTCTGTGATGCGGTAACAGACAGGCAGACAGACAAAAATTCTAAAAACTATAGATTCGGCGTCTGTATCGATAATAATGTTTGTTTCAATAAGATTTTCCAAAAAATATTTAATGTACTGATTCGAAGTATATTATATAGGTTATAAAAAAATAAAAAATAAATCTTTCATTGCTTGAATTGTCCCTTTAGCCCGCTGAAAAAATCTAATAAAATTATTTCGACATTTTTTATTCTCATTAAATCTCGCGAAATCTTACCAAAGGAGCGGAGGAGTCTAAATTGAAATAAAAATAGCTAATGTTATTAATGAACATTACTCCATACCACAGATCATAATATCATACTATACTAGTCCCATACAGACGCAAGCAATTCTTTAAATTTATCAGCACAATGCGGAGTCCCATAGGCTCTTAAGCACATAAATATTTACCTTTTTTTTATACATTTTAAAATCTTCTAGGGCGTTAAACAACCGCGATATCTACCTCGGTTTCGAGTACATGGAGACGGATTTGCACAATGTCATCAAAAGGGGTAACATTCTCCAGGATATACATAAAAGATATATTATGTACCAGATGTTGAAGGCGACAAAGTACATACACTCTGGAAACGTCATACATCGGGACCAAAAGCCGAGCAATGTTCTTATTGATAGCGCTTGCAGGTGAGTTTGTTTGTTTCGATATTTAGTTTCTACTTTATCTATTTTAATATTATAAGGAGGTAAAGTTTGTAAGTTTGTATGTAGGGAACAATCTCTGTAACTACTGATCTGATTCTGAAAGTTCTTATACTAATAGGAAGCTACATTACCGACGAGTGGTTTACGCTATATTTTATTCCGATAAAAATGTATTTGGTGTCCAAAATTGTAATGACTTTAATTGAAATTGGAAAAACTGGCCGTTGAATTGCTACGAGTATATCGGCGAGCGCTGCGCAAACTGTTTAACTGAAATAAGGCAATAAAATTTATGGCAAAAAGGAACGCACCCAAGTTAAGCAAGGGTAGGTCACTAGTACTTAATATTATAAAGGCAAAACTTCTATATGCATTGTATCTATAGTGTATTCAGGCCTTTTTGAAGTCCCAGTGCTGGGCACGGGCCTCCCTTTATTGCGAGGGGGATCAGGCCGTAGTCCACAACGCTGGCCAAGTGCGGGTTGGCGGGTGGTTGGGTTGGTTGTACCTATAGGTACTATGTAAAATTAGAGCTCGACTTGGCGGGGGCACTGCCGTGCCCCCCGATTTTTTCTTATAAATAATAATTAATTAATAATAGTCGTCATTGATACGAGTAAAAAATCGATCGTATTTTTAGAAACTAGCGACATACCCTCGGTTTGCTTCGGGTTTTCCCCTAGACAATTTTATCCAGGCTCGATCAGTCGTTCTGGCGCGAAAGAGTAACAAATATCCATCCATCCATCCTCACAAACTTTCACATTTATAATATTAGTAGAAATGGGTTTCTACAAATGGCAGGCGTCAGCGTCACCGGGCTGCTTGTTAGAAAACGTTTCCCGTAACAAATTTCGAATGCATACATCTAAATGTGACTTAAATAAAAAAAACTTTTTTTAGTCATATGATATATTACTATAGGAATAAGCCATCAAAATTTCAGTTCTTTTAGGACCATCTACTTTAAGTACATGTTAATACTTAAATAAAATAAAATTATATGAGGCTAGACTACTAACTTTCCCTTCGCTCGGGTGCGTCCCTAAGTAGGTACGTTCTATTTTTTTTTCTAAAACTTAACTACTTTTAGTAACCTAAGTTACTCCTTATAACATCTTACATCAGCTATCTGCCAGTGATAGTCTCGTCAAAATCAGTCTTGTAGTTTCGGAGATTAGCCGGAAGTCGGAACAAAGAAAAAGACAGAGACAAAAATTTTAAAAATGAGTTTTCTTTAAGTACCTACCGTATATAATTTCATATGCATTTAGTAAAAAGCTGTTATTTTGACATTACAGACATTTCTATTTTATTTATCTATAATATAATAATATAGTATAGATTATAGATACCTAATCTAGTCTACTTCTCAGAATAAACAATAACACACCTTTTTGTCAAGGCGGTTAAGAGAAGTCGGATAATAGATATATTATGTACATATATCCAGGATGTCGCCATTATTTTCAATAGTTTATTGTGTCGCATTATCTATAAAAATGAGTAGCGTGTCGTGTTGAGCCTCGCGCGGCTTCAGTTGAAAGCCTTTAAATGATATATATTTGTATCTTTGATGGAATAATTTATTTATGTTTGAACTAGCGATCCTCTCCGGTTTTGCCCTGGTGTGTTTTTAAATAAAAATATTAATAATAATAATAGTTTTAATAATAATAGATTAAATAAAAATAATAGCATTTTATTTCACCTTCTATATTTCATAACGTACCTTTATATATGTATGTATATAACCTACTAAAAGAATATTTGAAACTTGACTGGAAGTTTCAGATGTTATTATTATTGTTCGAACAAAAAAGACAATTTCTTCTGTTTAAATAAAAAGTTTAGTATACTTGACGATTTTTACTTGATATGTATATAGGATCAATTAGAAATAATGTTTTATCCATAGGAAATGTCTGCAAGTTTCAAACAATCTAAACGGTAAAACTGCTCAAACTAACATTTCGTTATTTGAAGAGAGCAAGCACCATAGGACCAATTATTTCACAATAATACGAGAATAAAAAAATAAAATAAAATAGAAATTAGTAAATCAATAAATATTATTCCATGAACGACATAATCAATTACATATCCTTAAGTTAAATGTCAAATAAACAGGTCGCAGGATAATAAAGAGGAAAAATAAAAAAAAAACTATAAAAAAACTACTCACTAAAAGTAATTATATTTTGTATTCTGTACTCAGTTTATAGTGACTCTACATGCTGTGTCAGCGGTCGCTGGTTCGAGTCCCACTGGGGGCATTCATTTGTGTGATGAGCACGAATGTTTGCACTCCAGTCATGGGTATTTATATTAATAATATGTTTGTATTTCAAGTTATATATGTGTAGTTAATCAACAATCCGTTATTCATAACACAAGCCTCGTAGCTTACCATGGAACTAGATGGTGCTGTGTGTTAATGTCCCAACATATTTATAATTTATTTATTTATATCTTTTTGGGTAGGGTGAAATTAGCAGATTTCGGTCTAGCCAGGTCGGTGTCGTCGATGTACTCAGGCGGGGAGGAAGGCGCCGACCCGTGCCTTACCGACTACGTCGCGACCCGTTGGTATAGAGCTCCCGAGATACTTATTGCTAGTAAAAAGTAAGAAATATTTTTTATTTTATGTTACACCTAATAGTTTTTTCATTTTTGTATTGCAATAATATATTTGTAAGTATTTTGATTTACAATTTTCAGTATTACAGATAAATGATAATCTATACATATAATAAAATTGTAATTAAACCGAATGTGTACATTAAATATTTTTTGGAAAATCTTATTGAAATAGACATTATTATCGATACAGAGGTCGAATCTATAGTTTTTAGAATTTTTGTCTGTCTGTCTATCTGTCTGTCTGTCTGTTACCGCATCACAGAAAAACCACTGGAGGGATTTTGATGAAATTTGGTATGGTGATAGCTGGTTATCCGGGTCAACATATAGGATTTTTACCGCGGGAAAATATCTCATTTCTGAGAAAAAAAATACAAAAACTACATTGTAAGAGTATACTAATATGTAAAACCTAATAATTTGGTTTTTGGTCATCTGAACGCGGGCGGAGCCGCGGGTAATGGTAGTTGTTCATAAATTATATGAATAAATGTCAGTTTAAGGCAGTAAAGGCAAAAATCTACTATAAAGTTTATTTACGAATTTTGCCTCTTCGGCTTGTGGAAATCGGCAGATTATTGATTTGCACACTTTTCAGGATGTAATCAGCCCACAATACCTTAATCTGACGGTTTCAAGTATTTCTACCCTATCAAAATATTTTGTAAATATTTTGATCGGCTGCCTTAGACGCGCGCCCTAATATAGAGGACTTATATTATGGTGGAGGCACTCAACAGAGTGCGAGGTATCCTCCCTTATGTTAATCTGCCGCGCTTGTGTAAATCCAAAAATCCCCTCTTGGGCTCCCGTATTATTACATTGGGTCACTGTTGCACTGTTAAGTATTATAACCTATACATACATTAAAGTTTACCCACTAATCTCCCTCGTGTGTTTTCCATTCTACGTGACATTGGTGAAGTACCCTGAACTCAACTTAGGCACGCTTTGAAGCCATTAACTAAAAAATTTAATTAAATCGAATTTATTTATTCATTCATTCATTTAATTAGAAATAACAAAATGGTATGGTAAAAACAAATATACTCCTAATTTTAATATGTAATAATTATTGTGTAACAAAATATGGGCAATGGAGTGCTGAGACGGACGCACTAGGGATACCCTATGTCGCGCTCGCCTAACATTCAGTCGACTGAAATTTATTCGTATATGATTTTTTAAATTATTTTTTTTTAATTTATATTCAGCTATACAAAGGGTATAGATATGTGGTCACTCGGCTGCATTTTAGGAGAAATGCTCATCGGCAAGCCGCTCTTCCCCGGCACCTCTACCGTCAATCAGATTGAAAGGATCATGGCCGCTTTGCCGAGACCATCGTCTGAGGGTATGATATGTTTCGTCAAAACGAACTACTAATCAGTTAGTAAACATTTAAAAAAATGCCTTATGGTTACTGATTAATGTTATTTTATTTGATTTTTCGTATATTTTAACTACGAGTATTTAATACGTTCTTTGATTTACGCGAATATTTGACATTTTAAATAAAAAAATTTTTTCGGATTTATTCGCGGATTTATTTTGATTTGATGATTTTTGGTTCAAAATGAATCCGCGAAAAAATCCGAAACGATAATTTTATTTGAATTATATTGTTAAGGCGCTCTTTTCCAGAATTTAGGATATTTTGAACCATTATAAAACCACGAATATAATACATATAGTTCTAAAATTCATACATGTTATAGTTAAGGATAATAGCTAAGTACCCGGAGAGGCCAAAACACGATTGGCAATAGTTCACTCGATAGAAAAAAAAAATTCAAAGATAGGTCTAAAAATACCTTAAAATCTCTGATACACACAAAATACATTATTATATGATATGAAAGTTATACTCATAGATTTAGCTTGTCATTATTTAGGTATTCGGAGAAACAGATTTTCATTTATTAACTTATATTTATGGCAATAGGCGAAAAACAGATAAAATGAAACGGGTCGTCGCGCGCTGGCGCCTAGGGAGCGGCGATTTTGGAAAAGAGCGCCTTAAGGAAAATAAATCTTAAATGTTTGTACTTCAGTCATGCGTGTTTATATTTATAATATGTATGTACTTGTGTTTAAAGTTACATATGTGTAGTGTATCAACTAACGTTTTCCCGTAAATGTCATCCGTTTCCGGCACCGTTGATACTGGCACCGTTGCCGGCATAGATTACGAGTATGTCACCCTTTTTAGTTGCCGCTCGATAGCGTTGTGGATGAAGATCGTTGTCGGGCGATGTAACGACAACAGTCTTATGTTACTAAACGAGTAACGGTATAGGATGCGATGTCGTTTAGTGTAGATAATATTACATTGTTATGATAAAAAAATAGATGTTATTATAAACTAGTTTAATTACTTTTACTTCAAATACCGAAGCAATTAAATGAATTATAAATTTACTACATACAATTGTTTTTAGCAATTATACTTACCTACATATAAATTACAAATGTTATTTGTTATGCATGTAGGTACCTATGTGTTGAGATAATTTAAATAATGTAATGAGATACAAAATAAAATAGGCCTATATTTATATAAAAAACGAAACGAGTGGAAACGAATGAATTCATCGTGCGTGCAGCGTGACTCGTGACTGTGAGTTGTCAAATGTCGTTGTTGGTGCGGGCAACGTTTTATCGTTATTCCAGCAGGTTAGTGGCATCGTTGTTCATCAACGTTTTATAGGAAACGGCCAACTCTAGTATCAACTATCTGATATCCATAACACAGGCCTCGTAGCCCTATATAGCCATACCATGGAACTAGATGGTGCTTTGTGTTAATGTCCGAACATATTTATTTATATATCCACAATTTTCAGATATATCGTCAGTATGTACGGGATACGGTTCATCATTAATACGTGAGCAAGCCGCGTCCAGTACGGGAGGAACACTCACCGCCATACTGTCGTGCGCGCCGAGAGACGCATCGGATATGGTACAGCAATTGTTAGTGTTCAACCCGGCGAGGCGACTGAGTGCGGAGAGAGCTTTGCACCACGAATATGTTTCTAAGTGAGTATTGATTTACGCATAACATCTGTATATAAACAAGTGGTTATGTGGAACTCTGTGGAACTGTGTGGAATAGCTACTACACATTAAAACCCAACAAAACCTCCCCCGTCAATGCCCCATGCATTGCAGGATCACCTATGCACTAAATCATGATCACCGACGGCAGGTCTGCCGAAGCAGATCACAACAGTCATAGGGTTGCTCCAACGGTCCACTCTGCTATCAGAGAAGTACCAGGAGCAACTCGCATAACTATAACGAATATAACGACGCCAAGAACCACCCCACGCCCACCTCGGTGGGCGATGTGCTATGCGGTTCTTGGCCTCGCGCCTGGCTGGATTGCCGGACACTAATGAGCCCCCCCCCCGCCTCCCACCACGACAATGTGAACGTACGTTGGAGAGGGTAGGGGGAGACGTCTAAAACCTTAGTTTCTCCCGTGACCATTATCGCTGTATTCAAAATATCGCATTGGGAACCAAAACCAAAAATTATAACAAAAAATGGTAATATCATCCTCAATAATTATAAGTTAATTTTCATAATCTTTACATAATGAATAGGTTGTACCTTAATAATCATTGCACATGTAGCTGTAACCGTGAAACCATAGTGATATTAGACATGTACCAAATAAAAGTAAATTTACCAAATTATTAAAAAAAATACTAGATATAGGTATGAACAGTTTAACATAATCAAACCTTAGGCCTTAATTATTATAACCTAAGTTTATCGTGAGACTCTGATCCGAAAGACAAACTGTGCGAACAATTTTGTGGGTCCACTTTTGTGAAAATGCTTTTTAGTAATCAAATAAATAAATAAAAAATAATAGTGTTGTTAATATTCAGGTTCCACCGGGAGAAGGATGAGCCGACGCTAATGGCAGACGTTCTCCTGCCGCTGCGCGATGATAAACAAATGTCCGTAGATGATTACAGGAATAAATTGTACAGCATCATGGCGAAGGGCTTCCAGAACAGCTCTCTGCCGAGGAAGACACAGTCGAGGTCAGTTTATATGACTATAGTATCGATTTAGACGCGCTTCGCTCGTTACCAGGTTTTCTTTTTATTTCTATTTCCTGTTTGTTGGTTTTCATAAAGCTGGAATATTTTTGATCTAGTTTTTTCTTCTAAAGTTTATAGCTGGATAATTTTTGTAAAAATTTCAATCATCTGTACCTACATATAATATAATTTTGAGTCGAATCTGTATATAAATATTTTTTGGAAAATCTTATTGAAATAGTCATTATTATTGATACAGAGGCTGAATCTATAGTTTTTGGAGTTTTTGTCTGTCTGGAAACGCATCACGAGAAAATGACTGACTGGACGGATTTTGATGTAATTTGGTGTGATGATGGCTGGTTATCGGGGTTAACATATAGGATATTTTTTACTGTATATATAACTATACTTAACGATGTCGATAGAAAGTGACACATTCATGGTATATTCTATCTCCATTCCGACCTCAAACTAGAAGAGTCATTAGAGTGAATAAACAAGTAACACGCAAACTTTTAAATTTATAATATTACCGTGAATATTTTCAGTAAATCACAAACTCTAACAACGACCAAAAGCAAAAGCTTCCAAGAAACATCTGACCCGAAAATATATCAAAAATCAAAACACAGCGTATCCGCAGACCAGAAACTACGAAAGCCAAAAACCATAGAAAAGACCCTAAAGGAGTACAAATCTGACCAATGCATAAAACCCATGAGGGCGACCAGAATGTTCGAATCGAGAGGTCACGATTGGCTTGACTGTGGCGATTATTACCAAAAACCTATTACAGATATGGGATGTAATAAAAATGAGATGTTTGTAGAAAAGAAGAATGTACAGCAAAGAAGGAATTCTACTACTTTTTCGACCATAAGTATTGGGGATGGGGGTTTTTATGGGGAAAAGCATGGGGTTATAACGGCCAGCGCTCTCATGGACCTAAGGACGAGTATGAGATGAGTTTTCTATAACTTTCTACATTCTAAAATTTGGATATCTTTGTGTGAGCAAATCTTTCTGAAACGATCTAAATATATTTTTTTTGGAGATTTTGTTTTTATAGCAGCGTTCTTTTCGCGTTTTTAGGGTTTTAAATTGGGATTTAGTTCTGAATAAGTAATATATGGGAAAATCATGATATTATTATAGAAATTACTGTTCTCATGACTTGAGAACAAGTTTGCGTTGAATGTTTTTTTTTATAACATGGTAGATTTGGGCTTTTGGACATTGCTGTTCTGGTCTGAACATTTCTAGAAACTTAATTCCTAAAGTCACTATTTTGTTGTTTGGATTTTTTCACCTCCTATTATTTTGTAGTGGGTTTTATAGACCATAATATTGTTAGTCTTGTGGTGTTCAATGTTTATAGTATGGTATGGTAGTATGAATTATCATTTTCTGAAAATTTTGAAGTTTCTAGATTTCAGTTTTGATAATATATGTATGTTAAAATAAATCATTTTTATAATAGATACAAGTTAATTACAATTTGGAATTAAAAAAAAACATTATTAGTTGTAGGAAATGAATTTACCAAAGTTTTAGAAAAAAATCAATTAATTTGATAGTTCTATGATTTTGTTGAATCAATTAGAACTATATATTATATTATGTGTTTTTATATTTTATTTGAACGTAATAAAATGCCTTAAAATTAAATTATAGAGTCTCGTAAATTAATTAGATATTGGACTTAGACTTTGTGATGTGTTTTAACTTTTTCTAGTCATTGTTTGGCAAATATTTTCATGTAGTTTTTAGTATAGTTACTCATTATGTAGTATATGTAGCGTCAGAAAAATCTTGGTTTAAACATGTCGTTAGCGCAAAAATGCCACAATATTTTACATTTTCGATTCAGTTGAAAGTAAATTAAATGAAATTGTATGTAATTTGTCATTTATGTAATAGAAAATATAACTTTATTGATATTTTAATCATTTTCACCATTAAATATTGTAATAAATGTGTATTAATGTCAAAAATGTTCTGAATATAAAAGTTAAAAGTTATAAAAAAAATACAACTTAATTATTCCGGTTGAGCCTCTTTTGCGCTGATAGTCTTAGGTTAGCTTAAAAAATTTTGGTTTGTTCTTAGTTTTATTATAGAATAATAAAAATTAAATGTAGGACAGTTTGTTTGGACATGTTGTAGGTTTGGTACAATTTTTATGAGGATAATCTTAATACTTTCTTAGATTTACTCGAATATTTGACATTTTGAATAAAACTATCTTTTCAGATTTAGTGTGACGTTTTTGGTAGGCACTATCTGTAACCACTATATAATGACCTTTGAGACGTCTAAAACCTTAGTCTCTCCCGTGACCATGATTGCTGTAAAGCATTCGAAACGTCGGGAACCAAAAATCAACATAAATCCGCGAAATAATCCGAACAGATAGTTTTATTTAGAAGATAATTTTATTCAAGTCGTTAGCAAAATTATTAAAATAAACTTTTTTTTTAAATAAATGAATTTTTAAAATGTGAAACAAAATAGCAATATACATATTTCTTACTAGTCAAAGTAAATGATAACTTGATTTTTTTTTATATAACAAAGTTAGCCGCTCAAAATATACAGTATAGTTCCTAGTCATGAATTAAGCAATAACATTTATATTTATTAGGCAATAGCAATTGCAGAAGTGATCTAATTTATAATATTGTTCACAAAACAAACTCGATATTTTTAATTTTTTGAGGTTTTCAGTGGAAAAGTGTCATATCTAAAAATAATTACTTAATATTAAAATTATGAAAAGTGCTACGAGTATATATATATATATATATATATATATATATATATATATATATATATATACGTATGTATATATATATATACGTATGTATATATATATACATACATATATATATCAGTCACAAGTCTATAACAGTTTAAAACATAATTAAATTAGTTAATTATTACTTAATAATAGTTAATAAAGTACCATCTTTAAAGTCTTCTGCTATAGTTTTGTAGTAAGGCAAACAATATTTGACTTGGGTCATTATTATTTTGATTACCATTTGTCAACATATTAGTTTCAAGTGACTCACCGTCCCTAGGTTGATTCCCCATACAAACTTTCATCCCTATTTTTACCCCCGTAGGGATGATTCCCGGAATAAAAACTTTCCAGCCCTTCCCAGGGTCTCAAACTATTTTCTTACCAAATTTCATCTAAATCAATCCAGTAGTTTTTGAGTTTATTCGTTACAAACACACAGAAATACATCCTCTTTATTATATTAGTATATATTAAAACGTAAAAATTGCATCACTTCTGCTCTTAACTTTTACATTATGTATATATATATATATATATATATATTATATACAGTACAATAAATAATATGCGAATAATTTCAATATAAATATTACTATATTATTACACTGCCATAGACCGAATTTTTGTAATAGTTATTATAATAAATAAAGTCTTGATGAAAATGCTTTTTGTTTTATTAAGTCATAGTACCTGGGCTACCGAGCTTCGCTCGGAGTTTTTGGCCTAAAGTAGAATTTTCTTTTTTTTAAACTAAAAACTTGAATAAATATTAAAAAAAAAAACAAAAGTAAAATCTTTGTATGTGACCAAGATTCGAACCTGTGATTGTTGATCTTGCACCTTGGCCGCTCGACCACGATCCTTATACCCGAGCGTGCAAATTACCGACCATATTTTGCGTGGAATAATGCATGAAATCTGCATGAAAACACGCCTTTTCTCAGACATAAGACTAATCTAGATCGATTTATCGCACCCGAAAAACCCCCGTATAAATCTCATGAAAATCGTTGAAGCCGTTTCCGAGATTCAGATTATATATATATGTATATATATAATCGAATTGCTCGTTTAAAGATATAAGATTCATAACATAGTACATACTATTGTAAGGCCACAGTTGACAATGTTATGCTAATAGATGCCTCACGAAACACAAAGAAATTGGACAGCGCTAATTTGGGCTATTCTTCTGGCTATTTTTGTTTGCTTGACACGTAATATAATGCCAGTTACATATCTATATTTAGTACCTGGACGACCGGAGTTTTTGGCCAAAAGTACAATTTTCTTTAAAAAATAATAATTAAAAACTTGAATAAATACACAAAAAAAAGTAAAAACTTTGTATCCGACCGGGATTCGAACCCGGGTACCTATGATTGTCAATCATGCGCCTTGGCCGCTTGTCAAAGTTATCGGCCATATTTTAAGTGGAATAATGCGAAAGAAAACCGCATGAAAACTCGAAAACACACGGTTTCCAGACATATCTAAGACTAATCTAGAAATTTCAGCGAAATCGTTAGATCCGTTTTCGTGATCGCCGATATAAATATGTATACAAGTATTGCTCGTTTAAAGGTATTGGATAGATTTCTACATATAATAAAATTCTGAGTCGAATCTGTACATTAAATATTTCTTGAAAAATCTTATTGAAATAGTCATTATTATCGATACCGAGGGCGAATCTATATATATCTAGTCTACGTATATTTCCTATGGACTCTAAAACAGCTGGAGCGATTTTAATGAAATTTTCAGGTAATCTTCAGATTAGCCCAGCGGGTGATCCTGTGAATTTTGTTTGCGATCGGAAGTTTGGACGCGGGCGAAATCGCGGGTACTGCTAGTGTACATGTAACAATCTACTAAAAATTAAATAACCTAGATTCAGCTATATTTGTATATAGATTCTGGCTTTATTTTTTATCTGTCAAAAGTGAGAAAAACAAAAAAAAAATAATCTGACAGAAGAGTCTGAAATTTATTTTTTAAATAATTCAAAGGCGACATGAAAAATTCAAGATTATTTCTCTCTGTAATCTTAATATGTTTTTGTGAAATGAGACGCGTATTAGGAAATGCTAAAGTACCTGTTCTTTCCTTAGATCATAATGTCAATGTAAATGCTACCACTACCAAAGATTCTTTAAAGGTAATAACTAAAATTATAATTTATTTTTAAATTATAAGCTTGTGCTGCATTCGCTTGTACACTGCACAGTAAATTGAAATAGCATTGGGAATTTGCATTTGTTAGTCCGTTTGTCTGTTTAAGTGAAAACATTTTATGAGATACAAAATAATAATATCTATATACATATAAAACAAAGTCACCCCGAATAGCAAAATAACTATTGAAACATCTTGAAAAAGATAGACATTTTTTTTCAAAAAAATTAATAAATGAATGATATAGCTACGAGGGTCCCTATTTTGGGAAATTCCTATAAGTTAATATTTAACAGAAACGATACACTTGCCTGTAAAATAAATTTAAAGTTCCTAAATAATTCACTCTTGCGGGTGGATTTTTTCTAAGTTCATATGGCAACACCCTCGATCCTTTAAAAAGCCTTTAAAAGGCTAAGTAAAATATTACGTTTTCTCATAAAATCTAACACTTGTTCTATCTACCCTCCTTTTCAATCCCCAGTTCCTTCCATTTATAATGTTGATCAATCCAAAGAAAGACACCAGCGAGTATTGGCGGGAAACTGAAATACTATCGCTTGTGAAGAACAACGATGTTAACATAGACTATGAGAAATGTGAGAAAAGTCCGGAGAAAGGCTTAGTGCATTTCCCTAGCACACGCACTGTGCGACCGATCTGTAGAACCACTTATGGTAATTTTATTTCTATTCTTATAATATAAATAAATAAATAAAATGGCCTTTATTACTGAGAATATTACATATTATGTAGACATTTTATATAGGTATTAGGTACTAATTCTTAAACATTAAAAAAATGAAAATAAATAAATAACCGCTACTTATGTTAAAATATCCCTTATCTCAGTTTGCCTCTTGGCAAAGGCCTGCTCTGACTTACTCCATTCTTGTAATATAATAGTTATTAATGTTATACTATATTATCATAGTATTATGTATATAGGTAATTTTATTTAATTTTACCTGTTAATAAAATTGAATAGTTTATCTGTTATTTCAGAATAGGGATCCCAAGATTAAATTGTGTCGTTACTTGCAAGGAGGAACATTTATAACTTTTCAATTTTATTTATTTCTCCATTTTTGACTTTAATAGTAATAAAAATTAATTCATATTTTAAAATTTTACTAACGAATTTCTCTAGCTTCGCTTAGGTGCATACATACGTGCCCAATAAGTATAATAATAAGAATACTAACCTATGTATTACTCCAGGTCATGTACCTGTGTGTGTATTAAGTTTCATCCAAATCTGTACAGCACTTCAGTGCGTATGTGTAACAAACATACATACACGTACAATCTTTCACATTTATAATATTACTACTGTTTTAACGTCTCACTACTAAGCATGAGTCTCTTCTCAAAGCTAAAAATATCAAGCCATAGTCCACCACGTTAGCCATATACGGATTGAAGGACGTAATACGTGTTTCTGGATTGTTACATTTTCTAAGACCCGCGGTTTTCTTCATGTTTGCCTTCACCGTACGAGCAAGCGTTTATCTTGTTAAAATTAGTACACGAAAATATTACATATAGTTTTCCAAGCAGTGGCGTTACTAATTAAATGAATAATGTATTAAATATATATATTATTAGTATAAACATCCATGGCTAACTGGAGTAAAAACATTCGTACTCATCGCACAAATGAAGGCCCCCAGCGGGACCCGAATCCGCGACCGCTAGCACAGCAAGTAGGGTCACTAAAACTGAGCCAAACGTGTCGTCAAATTGGTACAATTGTACCAATTTAAATATTCTATTTAAAAAGAAAATCTGTCGTTTTTCAATCATTCTATTTATTTTTAGACTATCAACTATGTCCTCAGTGCCCGCGCTTCAATAATTATACCGAATGCGAATTGTTCCGTGATTCTTGTACGTGAGTAAACTTTATATTTTCTATCCAACTGCGGCGAAGCGCGAGGAAGGGTTATGTGTTTGACCTGTATGTATGCCCGATCCATGAACGAATTAACCACTGGACCAGACATATAAGCGGACGTACCTTTAACAGTCATGTCAGTAACCAGGGAATTTTAGCCTAGGTCGTTTGTTTTTTGTGTCAGTCTCAAGCACTTACTTGTCAACAAAACATCTCCCAAAAATGACTAAATGTTCTGTTAAATGGTGTAAAAACTATAACGGCGGAAGCAGCACTATTTCTTTTCACTTGTAAATACATTATTTTATTACATTTATTGTTATTTATCACAAAATTTAATTAAATGTAAAATAAAATGTCATATTATCCAAATATGTTAAATATAGTCGATATTTCTATGTATTGTTGACATCTGACAACCATCATAAAATCCCTGGATTATACCATTCAGAACAAATGACAAAACTGTCGAGTGAGTCCATTTGACATCGACTAGTGCTTGACAATGTCGAAAAATATATCGATATTTGACGAAATAACTGAACGAATTGTGTTATTTGTACAGTACAATAACATAAAATACTTTTATCACAGTATCCTACAATCTGATGACATTAATTTATAAAAATATTTTCTAAATCAAATAAAAATATAAATGCAAAAATTATAATTAGTATGTGTACTTCATTTTATATTTTATTTTATACCACATTTATATACTTTGGAATATTATTCCATTGTAATAATAATAAAGATCATTTTATTTCAACACATAAATTACACAAAATCAAACAATAATGTTTTAGCACTAAACTTCTAGGTTGGCGATTTGTAATAAAACACTTTACCACTTGCACTAATTATTTTACTTTCACGATCCAACACTTTTTCACAATTTGCAATCACTATTTCTTTTTCCTAATTTTACAAATGTTTATTAATAACTGAGCAATATTAGGACAGTGTCACATTTTTATAACTACCCGAGACAATCAATTGCCAATTAAAATAGTTCAATAACAGAATCAACAAAATCACTTTATTTAATTAAATTAGCTTAATATTTTTTTTATCTTTACAAAATAATATTTATTATATATTAATGGAATATACATATAAAAAAAATATTTTTGAAATACAGTATAATTTTATGAATTATACTCGTAGGACAATAATATTTTGATAGAAATTTCAATAAAAATTAACTAAAAATTAATTCTTAAATAATTATTTGTACAAATACATAATGATTTTTATGTATTACAATAAAGTATACAATAAGTACACTGAAGATGTACTGCGCCGACCCCAAGTGATTTAGGAAATGGGCAGGGAGAAGAAGAATGGAATATACACCCGATATTCATTTGTTTATTAACATTATTACAGGCCAACAGAATGTTGCCATCAATGCCATCGTATTTATATAAATCAAATTAAAAAATAATTATTATTTGACACATTATTATTGCCTCTTTAATTCATTTATTTTAATTTATTATAATAAATACAGATATTTTAAATTAAAAGATGTAAAATATGATGACTATGCTAACCAATGTCTAAAATGTCATTCATTGGTTCATCGATATATGTATTTTATCGATTACGTTGAAACACTACAAATATTGTATTGTGTATCAGTGTTTATAATAATGTAATAAAATCTTTGTGTGCGTTATGCGTCACTTGGTTGAACTAGTTTTCATACATTTGTATTTTATGTCAGGTCCAGTCTCTAATTCGTCCATGGCCCGATCCTACGTTCCCTCGTAATTACTAAACGGCTTAACAAATTTTGGTGACTGTACTTATATATAACATGTTCTTTCGTCAACTTGCCTTGTTCTCATTTTTTTACACAGTCGGGTGTTTAAATATCTTTTGTTTTAAAGTTATCTTCTATATCTTATTTTTTTAATAGATATATAGTTATTATTTTAGTGTGCCATGAAGCATACCCTTAAATTGTCCTGCATATTACACCAGCTGCAGTGTGCATTGTAAAGAAATAATTAACAGCTTTCATGCACAAGTATATTTTTATATAACACATCACACTAATTTTATAATTGTTAGTGTATTACCTCTTTTCTAACGTTCGGAAATGCATTTGCGCGTATCACCTGCATATATACAGGTAGGTAAAAGCTAGCAGGTACTAAGCACTAAAAAAAAATGGCATATAACACTCGTCTTAATGGGGCGTCGCAGGATCGCTTACGCACTCAACCATGACGCCACGACAAGTATCTATTACCTCTGGAATAACATCCATACTAATATTATAAATGTGAAAGTGTGTTTGTTTGCTTGTTTGTCCTTTTTTTCACGTCGAAACGGATTGACGAATTGGCTTGATTTTTTTGTGTGGAGATAGTTGGAGAGCTAGAGAGTGACATAGGCTACTTTTACCAACAAAGGGAAAACAAGTTATAATATAACCCAAAAGATTATGATCAGAATTATTTGAAACTTGGTATTCATGCTCTTTAATACAATTAAATAAATACGTGTTTTAGCATTTTGCGAAATTTATCCTGTAAGAGAGTAAAATAGGGGATGAAAGTTTGTATGAAAAATACCTTTTAGAGTTTTTTTTGTAGTTTTAGCGCGACCGAAGCCGCGGGTTCTGCTAGTATAGAATATTTTTTATTATCGTATCTACAACGCACGAGGAGCCCAGCGATATTAATAATATTGTATAATTAATTCTTAACTAAGTCGCTATAAAAAGATCACTAAAATCAGTCCAGTTGTTTGTGAATGAATCCCTAATTAAGAAACAGACAGTAAAAAAGAAACTATATTCAATATAAAATTTAATTTTGTGACATTATTTACTTCAAGCATCCAATAGTGTTAATTGCTTTCGTTCTAACAAGCCCGGCTAGCTCAGTCGGTAGAGCATGAGACTCTTAATCTCAGGGTCGTGGGTTCGAGCCCCACGTTGGGCGAATTATATTTTACCTTTTTTTCTGATTAAATCAAAGGAACTATCGCGAAATCTCTTAAAAATATATTTCAACATTTGTCCTACTAATATTATATATGCGAAAGTTTGTGAGGATGTATGGATTTCTGGATGTATAGATAGATGTGTGGATATTTGTTACTCTGTCACGCAAGTATTACTGAATGGACTTTAATGAAATTTTACAATAATATAGCTCATGCATCAGAATAATAAATAGGCTACTTTTTATCCCGAAAAAATATACGTTTCCCGTGGAATAGATTAGTTTTTGTTTTTCTAGAGGCGAACCCAAGCAAATCGAGGGTGACCCTCTAGTATATAATAAATTACAAATTTTAGATATATTATTAATATTATTTTTACTAATGGCTATAATTTCTATTTATTATTATTTGGTTTCTTGTCATAGAGAACGAAAGGTGCTACCTTCAGAATATCGCACGTACTGCGATAAAAAGTATGGCAAGTGGCGCACTATGTTCATACCGGCGGACTTTAAGAGCTGTCGATGTTGCGACGAATGCGTGTTTTATAGAGGTTATTATCGATTTTTGAGGATTTAGGAAATTTAAAAAAATTGTAAGCAACCTTTAAAAAATTTTTTTTTGAGCTGTCCTTTGGAGGGGACTCTTAAAACATAGTAAACTAACATATTTTCACACGAGACTTGAAAAAAAAAATAATCCTTTTTTTTGGGTCGCCCTAATATATATATATATATATATATATATATATATATATATATATAATCTGAATCTCGGAAACGGCACCTACGATTTTCATGAAATTTAGCCCACGGGGGGTTTCGGGGGAGAGATTATTCTTATGTCTGCGAGAACGCGAGTTTTTAAGGCGGTTTTCTTTTGCATTATTCCATTCAAATTATGTTCGATAATTTCGCATTCTCGGTTATAAGCATCGTGGTCAAGCGGCTAAGTCGCAAGATTGACACTCATAGGTGTCCGGATTCGAAACCCGGGTTAGTTATTTTTACTTTTTTCTTTTTGTATTTATTCTAGTTTTTTTTTAAAGAAAATTGTACCTCTTGGACAAAAATTCTGAGCGAAGCTCGGTAGCCCAGGTACTGTATTATCAAAACATGCAAAGCTGTTATAAATTATTTTTATTTTTTTAACTATTCTATGCCTGTCATTGTTTGAATCCTTTACAATTTTAAGAAATCAATTTATTTTTAAAATAAATACAACGAAAAAAAATTAAAACATATATATATATATATATATATATATATAGGATACTGTTAAAACACTGATTATTTTGTTTATAGAGCTAGATCAATCCTGTGTCGAAGACGAGTATAATTTCGATACAGAGGAATTTCTACCTCTCACGACGATTGGTAATGATCTAAGATATATTTCTCTTTTATTTTTAAATGTTTACAATATTATAATCACAGATTACACAAATCTATAGCTATTATATTATCCCATTAATATTATAAATGCGAAAGTTTGGATGGATGGATGTTTGTTACTCAGTCACGCCAGAACGGCTGAACAGATCTGGATGAAATTTGACACAGAGATAGATTGTAGTCTGACATAGTAGGTACATAGGTTACTTTTTATCCCGGAAAATTGTACGGATCCCGTGGGATAGGCCTGTTTTTGTTTTTACAGTTATTAGGTACTTACTTTTTTATACTATGCCTTTATTAAATAGGAACCTAGAAATAATAAAAAGCAAAACCGTTTTTGTGTTTTTTATTCTGTTTTAATGTTTTATAAAACAATCAGCTTAATATTGTCATTTATACAGATTTCAGGGCCGGCTGTAATCCATACTGGGGTCACCCTGAACAAGAAAAAAGAGCACTTCGCTGTGATAAGATTTTACGACGGTGTAAGACACTGCAAATGTTTATGTCTATACTATTATAATAAAACTGAAGAGGTGGAATGTCTGTATATAGAAAAAAATACTGAAATCCGAGTCATTGGGGTGTAAGAAGAGAAGTAGAACATAACCAGATTTTTTCAAATTTTTTGTTTGTCTGTCTGTTTGTATGTTTGTATTATTATGTAGATACCCTATATAATTTCATATGAATTTAATAAAATACTGTTATTTTGACATTACAAACAGACCTTTCAATTTTGTTCATCTGTATAGATTAGTATTATAATAGTAAAATAATCTATAGATATTATAAAATTCTAACTGAGTCGAATCTGTACATTAAATATTTTTTGGAAAATCTTATTGAAACAGAAATTATTATCGATACAGAGGCCGAATCTATAGTTTTTAGAATTTTTGTCTGTCTGTGACCGCATCACGAGGAAACCACTGAACAGATTTTGATAAAATTTGGTATGGTGATAGCTGGTTATCCGGGTCAACATATAGGATACATTTTTACGCCGGAAAAATATCTCATTTTTGAGAAAAAATACAAAAACTGCAAGGTAAAGGTATACTAATATGTAAAACCTTAGAATTTGGTTTTTGGTCATCTGAACGCGGGCGGAGCCGCGGGAAATGCTAGTTAAAAATATTGTATTAAATAAGAAAATATTTTTCGACGGTAGTTATAAAATATTCTAAGTCTTACAATGAATTTTCAGGTGTCCCTATATCAATACCTTCACTGCCAAGGGATACATTAAATCCGTAAGTAGTATTTTAAACATTTTTATATATTGTGTATCATTATGTTATATATATTATTAATTATTTTAATTATGTAAATGTAAAAGTGTGTTTGTTTGTTTGTTTGTTTGTTTGTTTGTCCTTCTTTCACGTCGAAACGGAGTGACGGATTGGCGTGATTTTTTGTGTGGAAATAGAGGGCTGGAGAGTGACATAAGCTACTCTTTACCGCGGGAGATCATCTAATTTCCACGAGAAAATACGGAACGAATATATTTATGGTGAGAATTATTTAAAACTTAGTATTAATACTCTTCATTATAATTAAATAAATACATGTTTTAGCATTTTTCGAAGTTCATCCTATAAGGGGGTAAAAAAGTTTATATCAAACTACCTTTTTAGAGATTTTCTTTGTAGTTTTAGCGTGAGCGAAGGCGCGATATCTACTAGTAATTAATAATTATAAGTATATAATAATAATTATTAATATTTTATTGTACAAAAAATCTACTTTATACTGAATTTCGTTCTTTGTTAAGCCGTTACTGTTCAAAAAGACTTGACTTATACTTACTTTTTAAATACAGACTTTCGCATTTACAATATAAGGATTCTTAATGTAAAACGTAATGTATATTGTATACCTAGAACAGGTACTAAAATAAAAACCATTCGCCCAACGTGGGGCTCGAACCCACGACCCTGAGATTAAGAGTCTCATGCTCTACCGACTGAGCTAGCCGGGCTTGCATGCGATAAAGTAAATAACTGAACTGTTCCATGCTTAATTTGTATAAGCTCTATGTAGGATAAAAATATAACTTTCTACTAACAGTAACAGGTGTTGCTACATAAATGATATGAGAATTTCTTAATAGTGAATTATTATTAAAAATTATAAATGTCAAAGTTTTTGAGGATCTTTCTTTCATGCCAAAACAGCTGAACGAATCTGGATGAAATTTGGCACAGAGATAGATTGTAGTGTGGATAAGCATATAAATTACTTTTTATCCCGGAAAAATTTACGGTTCCCGTGGGATAAATTTATTTTTGTCTAGGGATAACCTAACCGAAGCGAAGTTGAGTCGCTTATTATATCTATTCGGAAGGTAGACCGTATCTCGCACACATCAATATTCAAATATTGACACAATTTTTATTAATAATGTCGTTGTTAGAAAGATACTGTAGTCACTGGGTAGATATTTTTGCAATAAAATTCTCTCTGAAAGTGATTTCATGTCATTTTTTCTACCATCGGGCAAATAAAACACTGTTTTCAGCCAAAAGAATATTTATTTATTAATTCTAGGATTCTTATTTGTGTAAAATTGACTTTATATTCGGATAAATTATTTTATTCATTAATTTGAAAATAAGGCAATCAGAATCAGCCAAAGAACACATAATGACGATAAAGCTTCTTTATGTTCTTAATAAAAAAATAACATAATATTTAGTATTTTATGACAAATATTATAATAATATATGAAAAAGAAAAAAAGAAGTTTTATATAAAATATATTCTTATAAATATTGAAGTCCTCTTATACATGTATTGTGTATAGGCGTTTGTTATTCTTTCACTCATAAACTACTAAACGAATTTTAATAAAACTTTACAGTATATAACTTATCTGTCAGAGTGAAAATGAATAACTCTGACACAGCTACGGGAAAACGCTAGTTAAATTTCAATTACATCACAACAAACAGAATAATTTTCTTTTTATTTTCTCAAACCCAAGTCGCCGGAATTACCGGTTCGAGCCGCCACCGGCCGTTAACGACTGTCCCATCTCCTGTAACGGTATCAAGTGTCAGAGAGGGATCGTCAAGGAGGACGAATGCCTCCCCGGGGCCTTCCTGCCGGAGAAAGAAACATGCAATTGTTGTGGGCAGTGTAGTTCTTTTCAACGTTAGTATATGGATAATACTTTTTTGAGACGATCAATCACAATTGTTAATATATTTTCAATATGTCTCTGTTCCATGTAAAAAATGAATGAGATTTTGTTTTGCGGGGACCCCGTGATGCTGGGGGCCCTGGGCCGGTGTCCCGTGTGCCCTTATGGTAAAGACGGTACTGCCTGAGACTAAGTCGAGAGATCATGATTGCTTTAAAGCGCTCGAAATGCTGGGAACCAAAAATCTAAATAAATCTACAAATAAAACCGAAAAGATAGTTTTCGAGAGATATATCCGTATTATTGATATGTACGTTTAATATGATTTTCTTGGTAATCGTTGTTGAGTATTCGATTAATTTTCATCGGAATTTAACATATTGTTTGGTGTGTGAGCAATTATAGAAAATCGACTTTAAGCAACTTTTGTTTTTCGAATCGATATGTAGAGGTATCAATATAATAATAATTTATTGTCTTTAAGTTGATCTAGAATCACCGTTGATCAGTCAGGAGGTGGATGGTGAATGTTTTCAACGGCTTATAGTAAAAGATATCAAGTTTAGCCGTCTTGGTGAGATCTTACTTGTTTTCATGAGATTTATATTATTTTAAACAATTTAAAAACAGTCTAGAGCCTATTTTTATTCAGCATGATTTTAATATATTAGTTTTATTTTTTTAAATTAACGTATTAATTATTAATAAAGTGAAATCGATGTCTTGCGTAGACTAGATAGCGGTTTTTACTTCTATAATGGCTGGGGTGTAAATTACCTTTATTGGTGTAAAAATGTTTTGTTATACTAAAATATTTAATACTAGTTTTTTCAGTATTAACAATTATTTAATATATTTTTTGTAGAATTAAACCAAAAGTGCGCAGAGTTTAAGAAAACAATTCACTACGTCAATGGGACTAAAGAGATCGAGGTAAGCTTTTGTATGGCATGCACAATACATAAATTATATTATATATATTATATTATATTTATAGAATTTTGTCTTTAAAAGGAAAAACTGGTAATGTCTGTCTGTTTGCCTTTTTACTCGGATATGTTTTAAGTCAGTTTTAGTAGTAGTAGTTCGGACGCTAGTAGTTACCAACTTATATGCTTTTAAAGTTGTAAAAAAATTGAGACAATAAAGCAGCTAAAATACTTTCAACAAAAATATCCGTGATTTTGAGAAGATGGGTTTTGGAATATTGTTCATTGTCGGTCGCAAAATTAACGAGCTATGGTCTTAGATTGTCATAAAAAAGGTAGGAATTACAAACTTAAACTCGATATATTAATAAATAAATAAATATCTTAGGACACGCCATCTAGTTCCATGGTAAGCTACAAGGCTTGTGTTATGGATATCAGATAGTTGATACACTACACATATATAACTTTAAATATACCTATACATATTATAAATATAATCACCCATGACTAGAGTACAAACATTCGTGCTTATCACGCAAATGAATGCCCCCAGCGGGACTCGAACCCGCAACCGCTGGCACAGCATGTAGGATCACTACAAACTGAGCCAAACGTGCCGTCAAATGTCGTTCTTTTACTTTAAACGAAGGGAAGTGAAAGGGTCCATCATTACACGCATTGAGTTTCCTACAATGTGATGATAGGGATGAAACGGTGTGAGAATGTGTGATATTCATAAGTTTGGGTTTTTAGGTTGAAGAAGAGTTTTTAGAGCCAGGTTGTGATGATGGCTTGGTCTGCAGACAAGGTATTTGTCAGGATATACACGCTGTCCCAGCGCCCGCTGGTATGAGGAGAAAACGGGATGAAGGAATATTAGAGGCGTATGGTTAGAGATGTGTTAAAATACAGTATTAAATATATATTTGGCTAATTCAATATTGAATTTGAGTATAAATTAAGATTCTTTTGTGTGTATATACATACGGGATATCTCGGGCAATTATTTAAAACAATTTTTTTTTAACTTTATTAGTTATTACTCCAGGGTAGTTTCGTTTCTTTTACGTCTATCTTTTGAGCTTACTAAGTACCTTAGATTTATATTGCATGCAATAGATAGGTACTATACTTACGTAATGCTAAGTGCAGTGCCGCCTGCGGGTACCGACCGATGTACATAAGTGTGGCGATGGTAAACACCCGCAGAATACTTTCTTAGATTTACGCGAATATTTGACATTTTAAATAAAACTATCTCTTTGGCTTCATTTTGATTTTTGGTTACCGACGTTTCGAATGACAGATTGAATAAGAGACTGAGTTTCTCCCGTGACCATGATTGCTGTAAAGCAGTCGAAACGTCGGGAACCAAAAATCAAAATAAATTCGCAAAAAAATGCGAAAAGATAGTTTTATTTCAAACACTCGCAGTTTAAGACTATAAGTAGCTACGGTGTAAACGCATGTTAAAACTTTCGTTGATGATTATTATATATGTATTTATGCCACGCTTTGTTCTAAGATTTTCATTTTTCGTGTTTTTTGACCGACTTAAAAAAGGAAGAAGTGCTCAATTTTATTTTTATTTTTGTATGCGTGTGTGTTACGCGATATATCAGATTATAGTGATAGATTTTCATATTTTTTATTTTTTTTGTAGGTTATAGATATATAAACATATATAGAAATAGATATACAATATGTTATAACTAAAATTACAGCACATGTGATATTCACCTGTTTTTATTATTAAAAAAATGTTTATTCATAGAGCCATGCAAGCGAGAGTTGAAGTATTTTAAAAAGAAATATGGCAAAGACGGCCATCTTCACTACAACGCCCCTCAATGCACTCCACTATGGCTTTATGCTCCAGTACAGGTATCTTCATTATTTTTTTGTTTATTATTATTATACAAAATTCATTTTATTATATCTAGGTAATTTGTATATTTGAGCTAAGAGAATCTGTTGTTTCATGAATAAAAATATACTCACCTAACTAATATTACTTGTCACACAGGGAGGCAATAATAATTATCATTTAAAGTACTGATGGTGAAGCTTTCTTAATATATATGTTTGGTATAATGTCTCAGCCGGGCGTGAAGCCAAGAGACACACAGGGCCCTCCTCAGTGGTCAGTGTGGGTTGCTCTTGGTACTTCTCGGACAGCGGGGTGGACAGTGGAAGCAACCCCTTGGTTGTGTGGTTTCCTTCGGCAGACCTGCCATCGGGGCATCGTGGTTGAATGCGTAAGGGATCCTACGACAGCCCGCAATAAGACGGGGGAGGTTCGGTTGGGTTTTAGTGGGTAGTACTGGACACTGGCTTTTCTAACCAGTGAGTCCCACATAACCACCTGTACACACAGTATACATATATACAGTTGGTATGCGTAAATGCATTTCCCAACATAAACAAAAATTATTGGGTCTAAAGCATGTCTGATATATCTCGTAAAAAATTGCAAGACTTGCTTAAACAACGAAACGAAAATTCAACCCCCAAAAAACAACAATATATTTAACTTAAATAGGGGACGAAAGTTTGTTTGAAAATTCGTCGTTTTTGTAGTTGGAAATACGGAAATTGATGCTTAACCATGGGAAATTACATAGAGCTCATAAATTGCGTCGTATAAAATTTATATCTTTTTCTTTTCAAATATTGTTAGTACAATTTCCTAAACGGTCTCGCGTCAATTCAGTTATTATTTGGCAAACATTCAATGTTATGACAACCTTGGCGAAAGTTATCAATGAGAAACTTATTTGGATGACGTATTACATCAAATAGCCATTAAATGTTACTAACTTTTTAGTGTTTTTGGCTTCGCTCGTGGAAATTCATTTTGGTAAACTTTTTTCATATTTTAAAAGTCACAGTATATTTTATATATTATTAATATGCTTATTTTTTCTGTCTATTATTATAAACTTAATAGCTTAATAAGCACTTCTCTTCATCTAGTGCCATTGATAAGGCAACAAAGCTAAAAACCATTAATCAAATTTCAGCTTCATCTACTCCTAATATTCCACATTTCGTCTTTAGTCAATTTACAGAAAGTGATGTTAAGAAGAATATTCTGGCCATCCGTTCTGACTCAGTCGGTGCTGACTGCATTAGTCGTAAAATGATTATTCCTATCCTTGATATTATATCTCCTGTTATTACTTCCATCTTAAATTACTCTATTGATAACAGTGAATTTCCTTCATCATGGAAAGACGCCCAAATTTTGCCTTTGCCTAAAAAAACTAACCCTGCAGGTTATAATGATTATCGTCCTATCTCAATCCTTCCTTTCCTATCCAAAGTACTCGAGCGCCTCGTACACCAGCAACTCACTCAATTCCTTTCTAGTAATAATCTTCATGATCCTCTGCAATCCGGCTTTCGTCCTGGTCATAGTACGACTACTGCGTTAGCCAAGATCACTGATGATATCAGGATGGGCATGGATACGCAGCAAGTCACAGTGCTTGTATTGCTGGACTTTAGCAATGCCTTTGGTACTGTAGACATTGATATCATGCTTGCCTCCTTAGTTACTCTTAACATATCTCCTAATGTAATTGACTGGTTTCGTAGTTACCTGCATGGACGTCGTCAACGAATACGAATACAAGATTCGTACTCAGACTGGCTTCCAGTCAAGGCTGGCGTTCCACAGGGTGGCGTGTTGTCTCCTCTTTTATTTTCTATTTTTATTAGCAATATCTGTCAACACATCTCTTCTCTCTACCACCTTTATGCAGACGATTTGCAAATTTATAGTCAATCTAGAATTGTTGACTTACCTAATACAATTGACGATATTAACTACAATCTTTCAAAAATTACCACGTGGAGTGAGTCGTTTGGGCTACAATTAAATCCTTCGAAAACTCAAGTTATAATCATTGGCAGTCCTAAACTCATATCTAGTATTGACTTCTACACTCTTCCACCTGTGGTGTTAAACGGCGTGAGCATACCTTATAGCAAAACCGTCAAAAATCTTGGTATTATTATGGATCAGAACTTATCATGGGTTCCACAGGTAAGTGAGGTAAGCAGGAAGATGTTTAATTCAGTAGCATCGCTTCGACGTTTGCATAACTTTCTTCCAATCTCCACTAAAATTGCGTTAGCACAATCGCTCCTATTACCAATTCTTGACTATGCTGATATCAGTTACCTTGATATTAAAGAGGAGCAATTAAATAAACTTGAGAGACTCCAAAATTTTTGTATTCGGTTCATATTTGGTTTACGTAAATATGACCATGTCTCTAATCTTCGTAAAAAGCTCAAGTGGCTCCCTATTCATCTTCGCAGAAATACTCATATACTTCATCTTCTTTACTGTATTCTGTTCGATCCGTCCACTCCAAATTACCTTAAAGAACGTTTTGAATTCCTTGGAGATTCCCATTCTCGCCTTCTGCGTTCTGCCCAAAATTTAATCCTTAAAATTCCTTCCCACTCCTCTACCTTTTATGGCAACTCCTTTAGTGTTACGGCCTGTCGTCTTTGGAACTCCCTTCTCCGTAACGTTAGGGATGCGAAATCTCTAATGATTTTTAAAAAACGTCTAAAAGAACACTTTTATACGTTTTAATTCCTTCGGATTGCTGCATTATTATTTATTCTGATATTTACTCTTAAATTATATGTACTGATATATGTATAGCTATTATCCTTATTTGTATTAAAATATTTCTTGCCTTTCATGTGTATATATATATATATATATATATATATATATATATATATATATATTTATATATATATAATATAGTCATTTTATTTATTTGGTTAAACTGATATTATTATTTTATTTTATTTATTTATTACTTATTATCATATTATTTATATTAGTTACGTATACCTAATTTATATATTTTATATACGTATATAAAATATCATATGTATGTATATATGTATTTATCATTTTTATTTTACTTATCTCTGTTATTTGTTCACACCCTTCCACTTCACACTTTGCTATATCCTACACCTAAAGGTTGCCTGGAAGAAATCGCTGTTTTAGCGATAAGGCCGCCTCTTGTGCATTTTGCTACTACTGTATTCTTCTTTTTTTTTTTATATTTCTTCCTATGTTGTGTGTGCAATAAAGAGTTTTATTATTATTATTATTATTATAAACTACTAGCAGTCCCGCAACTTCGCTCGCGTCCAAACTTCCGATCGCTACCAAATTTCACAGGATCACCCACTGGGCTAATATTACCTGAAAATGTTAGCAAAATCGCTCCAGCTGTTTTGGAGTCCATAAGGAACACGCATACACGATCGATTTTTATACATCGCTTACGTATTCAACGACGACGCCCCGACGGCAGGTCTGCCGAAGCAGAGACTAGAGTCATAGACCAACGAGAATCAGAAAGTAGTTTATTTGTATTTATGAAATGACTTAAATCGTTATGTTATAGACCCATCATATGTTATTCCCATATATGTATATAATATTTTAAGATTTCTATTCTTCAACTATTTTAGAAGGACATTTGTATTAGTCGTCATATGTTTGTATCACAGTGTCGAAGATTTGTTTGCTACTGCGCTCTGGAAGATGGTACTTTTATTCAAGGCATCAAAGTTCCGAGAGTTGAGGTGTCCAATATGAACTGCGGTTAGAAAGTTATAATCTTAGTTTAATATGTCGTAGGTCGCATATATTACACGTATATTGTACTAGCATTGCCCGCGGCTCCGCCCGCGTTCAGGTGACCAAAAACCAAATTCTTAGGTTTTACATATTAGTATACTCTTACATTGCAGTTTTTGTATTTTTTCCCAAAAATGAGATATTTTCCCGCGGTAAAAAGTGATGTTCTCCTGACCGATTCCGGCCACGGCGGCCAATCTCATTGAGACTAGCCAATTGCGCAGGAGATATTATAGTGCACAAGTGTACGCGCAGACACAGGTGCACTCTCTATTCCTATCACTCTCATACTGCGGTGGGACGACTGCTCGACACGACCTGTAAGAGATAAGGCGCAGGACCGACGGCTTTACGTGCTCTCCGAGGCACGGGGGTGAAACACCACCAACTTCCCAACTCCGGGCTGTTACTGAGACTTACTATACAGAAAGACTCAATAACTAAAATTGGCCTGACCCGGGACTCGAACCCAAGACATCCGGGTGTGCAGCCGTACATGCTAGCCACTACACCACTGAGGCAGAGCGGTAAAAAGTATCCTATATGTTGACCCGGATAACAAGCTATCACTATACCAAATTTTATCAAAATCCCTCCAGTGGTTTTTCTGTGCCGCGGTAACAGACAGACAGACAAAAATTCTAAAAACTGTAGATTCGGTCTCTGTATCGACAATAAAGTCTATTTCAATAAGATTTTCCAAAAAATATTTAATGTACAGATTCGGCTCGGTTACAATTTTATTATATGTATGTATAGATATGAATTGTACTGTACCTACACAGCACTAAATTAACTTTTTTTCTCACTTCTGAAGGGTTTCTGGAAGAAATCTCTTAAAGAGATAAGTTATCCTTTGTTCGATATTTTGTTACTTTATTCTGTATAACATATATTTTATGGTACACAAATAAATAAATAAATTTATTTTTTATTTACATAGATTGTGTGCGTGAAAAATGTCGGACTGGTTTGGACATCGAGTGCGATGGGTATGGCAATTATAAGCAGGCGATATTCGCATCGCACGATTACGAGCGGCAGAGAATCGAGAACCTTCAACAGGGACAAAGTACGTTATATTATGACATGAGATAGGTATCCGTATAAATATTATTAAGTAATTGGAATATTGTTTTCAAACAAATGCCTTGTTTATATTACGATAATATTACAAGTTTCCAAAACAGAAGTTCTATTCGCGATATTGATTCTATAGCTTCAGTGTCGAGGGTTTCGTAGCCATAATATATTTATAATATATTTGTTAAGTATAATATACAATATTAATTACTAGCACTGCTCGGCTTCGCGTTCTGATGACCAAAAACCAAATGCTTAGGTTTTACATAATAGTATACGTACTCTTACATTACAGTTTTTGTATTTTTTCTCAGAAATGAGATATTTTCCCGCGGTAAAAAGTATCCTATATGTTGACCCGGATAAGCAGCTATCACCATACCAAATTTCATCAAAATCCTTCCAGTAGTTTTCTTGTGATGTGACAGACAGACAAAAATTCTAAAAACTATACATTCGGCCTCTGTATCGATAATAATGTCTATTTCAATAAGATTTTCCAAAAAAATATTTAATGTACAGATGCGGCTTAGCTGCAATTTTATTATATGTATAGATTAAAAAGTTTATTTTATTCGACTGAGTGGATCCAGAGATGAAATCCAAACACTAACAATTGTAGATACAATAGAAACGGACATGGGCGAAGTACATAATAGAAGCGTCTGTCAAACATTAGTGTCTATATTTTGATCATAGACATAGAGAGTGGACTGTTTCAATAATACTATATTATATTTTTTACATTCCATTTATAAATTCAAATTGAAATAAAAGACAGGTATTGGCCGCGCGTTCGCTTTCTCTCTTTCTAAAGAGTGGTCAATTTCATGACAGTGTTTCGTAGTCTATTCTATAGATCTAGATCATTTTGATTTTTGATCAATAGTTCTATTTTGATAAGATTTTGAAAGTAATGATAGGAATAAAAATGAAAATATGTATAATCTCATAATAACTTTTTGCAGCGTCACCTGCTAGCGATCTAAAACTTAAAAGAACAGGGTTTGAAGCAGCGCTGCCCACACAATCTATGTTATAGAATTACCATGTTTAACTATTGCTTACGTATTATATGTATATGAAATAACAAATCGTGTTTTATTTTTTAACCAACTTTAATAAGATGTATGCTTAAATAAGATTTATATTGTAAGAATGTTAGGAATATAATATATTATAATATTAGGTAAAAGCCAGGTTTGGTTTTTACTAACTTCAGAGCAATGCACCTAAGTATAATTCACGTATCTTCTATATAATCAATATCATGCGTACGAGCTGTTTCTAGACTAATAACGTTCAGTATTTAAAACTTGTTTATTAATATATTTTTTTATCTATACATATAAATAAAATTGAAGTGTCTGTAATGTCAAAATAACAGCTTTTTACTAAATGCATATGGATGTATACACGGTACATATACCGAAACAACATTTTTTACAATTTTTGGTTGTCTGTCTCTCACCCATTCACCCTCGCTTCACTCGGGTTCGTCCCTAGGTTGATTCCTCATACAAATTTTTCATCCCCATTTTCACCCCTTTAAGGGATGATTTCCGGGATAAAAATGTTCTATGTCCCTCCCAGGGTCTCAAACTATCTTCTTACCAAATTTCATCTAAATCGGTTCAGTAGATCCAGAGATTACCCCATACAACAAACTTTACCTCTTTATAAGATTAGTATAGATTAGTATAGATAAAGCATGCAACTATTATAATAAAAATTGATCTTTCCTTATATACATACATATATTATATACTTATGTAACTAGCGGATACACGTAGAGGTTCTGTGATTGAACGTAGCAGACACAATTATCATTATATCTTTCTATTCAGGCTCTAAAGGAAAACGTAGTGTGTGTAATAGATTATAATAACCGTAACTGCCTCGGTGGTGTAGTGGCTAGCATGTACGGCTGCACACTCGGAGGTCCTGGGTTCGAGTCCCGGCTCGGGCCAAGTTTAGTTATTGAGTCTTTCTGTATAGTAAGTCTCAGTGACAGCCCGGAGTTGGGAAGTTGGCTGTGTTTCACCCCCGTGCCTCGGAGAGCACGTAAAGCCGTCGGTCCTGTGCCTTAACTCTCACTGGTCGTGTCTCGTGTCGTCCCACCGGAGTATGAGAGTGACAGGAATAGAGAGTGCACTTGTGCCTGCGCGCACACTTGTGCACTATATTATCTCCTGCGCAGTTGGCTAGTTTCAATAAGATTGGCCGCCGTAGCCGAAATCGGCTAGGAGAACATCATCATAATCATCATAATAACCGTAGAAAAATACTAAAACCGTTTCGTAGAATGGTTATCATAGGGACAAAAAGAAATTTACAGATTACTAGCGGACTCGGTAGGCAGACATTGTCCTGCCACAGACATCGTTTGGTCGGAAAATTAAAAAGCTGTGTAAAATGCGAACTAAAAAGATAAGAACATGTTGACGAAGGAATAGGGCACTATGAATGAGGCATATACAGAGTGGTCCAAAAGGTGACGTCATAATTTTTTTTTATATTCACATCTGGGTGTATCCGAAAATACCCCATAATTATATTCCGCAATTTTTCGTCGTTTAGAAGTTTTTTTATTTGTATTTGCGAATTATCTAACGGAGCAAATTAAGAAAACATAACTTGTTTAATAGTAAATATTTTTTGGATTGGCTTTACACTTTACATCAGTCGAGTAAAAATAAATGATTATCATTTTTTTTATGAACAATAATATATAATGAACCAACAAAGCAAAAGTGAAAGCGATAATGACTTTTATATTCCACTTCATGAAATTATTCTCATTTCATTATTATCTGGTAAATTATATTGCTATAATATGTAAATTGTAAATATTCATAAATTCAAATTAATATCTATGATATTGGAAATGCATAAACGCCATGTTACTATGTGCTTTAATTTACGTACAAAATAACATTACAATTTTCTGGTATCTAAAATATATGTATATGGTCCTTAGATAATAACTTATTTAAATAAAACAACGTGTGTGTGTACTTATGTACGCACGTAATAAGTTATGTCGCTTTTTGGCTGTCGGTGTGCGCGCGCATCGTGAAAATTTTACTCTCATAATTTTTTCCAATCGTGCCAAAAGAAGTATAACTCCAAAAATACGAGATGTGTACCTCGTGGGAATAGAACTCGCGACTTACACGTTGGACTAATGTGCCATGACAGCTATCGACATTATTAATGGGATTATTAAACATTTAAACTCGATATTCATCATTTATTTATTTTGTCCATAGCTAGAACAAAATTATCGAAATTCCTGAAATTTTAATAAGATTTACGCGAATATTTGATATTGTAAATAAAACTGTTTCTTCGGATTTTCTCGGAGAAAGAGAAGAGACTGGGAATAAGATAGCCTCTCCCGTGACCATGCTTGTAGTAAAACATTCCAAGCGTTGAACTAAAAACAAAAAAAAAACCGTGCAAATACCTACTAATTATGTTTAAGATTATACATATTTAGTAGCAATAGACTTAATTTTATTATTGACATTTATATGGTATAAACAATTTGTTGTATACAAAAAAAATTAAAGATGCGTGACGAGCGCTAACCATACGTACAAAATGTACACAGTACACGCCTCTAACAAGGTACCCCCTTATAAATTCGCGCATGCGCGGTCTCCATCGTAACAGCTGATTATTATGTCAATAATATAACCTATACTTGTATATTTTACTTATTATAATAAATTGGTTTTTCATCAAAGCTTTATGAAAGTGAAATGAATAGTTTTCTAATAACCTTCACCTTGCAGCTGAAACGAGTATTTCTGTGCGCCCTTGTGACGTCAGTGTCACGTTATGGTAACCAAGGTGTTGCTAGTTTCAAAAAATTTCCTTAGATTGAGGCAAAGTCATTTGTTATATATTTAAAAAAATATATCATGTAAATAAAAAATACTTAATGTTTAAATTTTTGTTAAAATGTAAAAATTTAACGTGTAAAATACCTACTGTAAATTCACACAATTTTTGTTATTATTATAACTGGATTTATTATTCTGGAAATTTGCACTGTATGGCTAATGTAATGAAAAAATATAGATAAAACAAGTCAAAATATTTATAGACATTTTTAAAGTTTATTGTATTTCAATAGTCATTGAAATACAAATTCAATGTACTATAATTTATGAAAATGGAAAATCTTTGAATATTTATTTAAATATTTTGACATGCTCTGTCTATTTGTGGGTTGTTTTTGGGCGATCTTAATTCTTACCTGTACGGTGTATAAAATATACATTGAGCATGATAACTTAATATTGGGAAACCCTATTCGAGCTGCTGGCAAATCGTTTACAGAGCGGACAGTAGAGTCGATACCGCGCGCGGGAAGACGCATCGTCTATTGTAGATATTAATTTTTTTAAATTCATAAAACTTGAGTGACTGTGATAATGCCTAATATTATAAATGAAGTTAAATTAGATTTTAAGGACGTTCTATTACGACCGAAGAGAAGCACTTTAAAAAGCAGAAATGATGTAAGTCTAGATTTATTTAATGTTTTCATTGGAAACGCTGAAAGATCAAGGTGCAAAATTGTGTTGCTAATTTTAGGCCTTAAGACTTAGTCGTCAAGGTTCCTATTAGAAAATAAAAAATTGAAAGAGTAATAAATTCGTGGTTTTTTATCGAGTACTTAGATAAAATTTAGTCTGCAATAGAATATGTTAAATGTTGTGATCTTTGAAAAAGGAGAAAGATATAAAAAAATAAAAAACGTCAATAATTAAATAATAACATAAAATATGTAATAATTTATTTAATTACAACGAGATAAATCTATTATTAGTATTTATAGTAATTAGTTTTAATTTCATATTAATTATTATTTTTATAAAATTAAAAAAAAATTTGTAAGGCTATTCAATTTCCAAGCAAAATTAAATTAGGAAACATCCTAAGTAATCTAAACTCGTAATCGAAAATGAAAAGGCGCTCTATGAACCAGATAGCTGTAATGCATTAATCTTCTAAGATTTATGACTGATGTTTGAACACAATTCGTAAAATTAAATTGGGTTGCACATTTAGAATCATTGCTAATGAGATATTTTTATTTATTTTAATATCTTTGAATTGTGTTTGGTATTTCATTCAAGAGGAATAATATATAAAAAAATTTTTCAGGAAAAGCGTTCACTCACAGAACTAAATACAAACATTTAAAATTATGTATTTTTTTTCACAGAAATACTTTCTGTAATCTATACATGGTATAAGGATGTACTCGCATATAATAAAATTATAACTGATGGCTGTCTATTATTGGGGTCTTTATTAACGCAATAGAATTCAAAACAATGATTTTTATAATTTGTGTCTTTTTGTCTGTACGTTTGTGTGCGCCAATCTCAGAAACGGCTCAACCGATTTGGGTGCGGTCTTCACTAATGTATTGTGGAAAGCTTTATTTAACATTTAGTTTTGTATTGTATTTTTTATTTAAATTTTAATTGGTTCATAAATAAAAAAAATTATGTCACATTAAAGAAACACCTAAGGACGAACCTGAGCAAAGCGAGGGTGATTCGCTAGTACCACATTAATATAACACATATATATATATATATATATATATATATATATATATATATATATATATAAATATATAAAACAAAATGGCTGGACCGATTTTTATGATCTTTCATTTTTTTGGTTTGTCTCCACCTCGAATAGCAGAATAACCATTAAAACATTGAAAAATTCACTATTTTTTTTTCAAAATTTACATGATTAATGCTGGCTAACAAGTATTTATAGATATCAATTTCAAACGTACCTAGCAATGAACTCGAGTGAAACGAGCGTGAGCCGGTAGTATTTCTAAAAATTAAAAAAATAATTATTTTAACTTATTAATTCATTATAATTCTTTTTTTATCTATACTTTTATTTTGGGCTATAGATATTTCTTACTTTATTCTTACTCATCTTAACTCCTACAAACTCATATTTAACTACCTTTTACTACGACTCCGTTCGCATGCTGATTTATGTATAATTTATTGTCCGGGCCCCGTTTCTATACCTCAGTAAATAAATAAATACTTATATTAATATTATAAATGCGAAAGTACCTCTATCTGTCTGTCAGTTACGTTTTCACCGCTAAACACCAGAACCAATTTTGTTGAATTTTGGTATAGATATAGATGGGACTGTATTAGATGGGACTTTGGAGAAGGAGATAGGCTACTTTTTGTCTGAAAAACATAACGTTAAGGGGGTGAAATAGGGGTTGAAAGTTTATTATGGGAAAAAAAAACTACCAAAAGTATATTCACGATAACTTTTTTTTACCTATTTAATACGTATCAACTACTTAGGGACGCACCCTACCGAAGCGAGGGTATGTCGTTACTCGTTAGTATGCTATAAAATTTAAAAAGAATTTCTAAACTCTCTGGTATTTCCAGATATTTTTATGCTAGTCTTATTTTTAAGCTGGAGTTCGCAATTTAGATAATATCGTACATTTTCTACAAAGTTAATAACTTGAACTTTGCTAGTAACATTTTCTAGTACGTGGGTGGAAAAGGTCAAATGGTCTGATCAAAAAAGCTTATATAAGAAAAAATATACATTGATGTTATAGTTACGAAACGTAGTTTCTATTTATAATATAAAAGTTTTTTTTGCCCTACAGATGGATAGTCAAAGCGATCCTGAATCTAATTACGTCACTTCTTTATAAAAGTCGTACAATAAATACAATATCAGTATCATATTTATCTATAGATATAATAAAATTCTAACTAAGCCGAATATGTATGTACATTAAATATTTTTGGGAAAATCTTATTAAAATAGACATTATTATCGATACAGAGGCCGAATCTATAGTTTTTAGAATTTCTGTTTGTCTGTTTGTCTGTTACCGCATCACGCAAAAACCACTGGAGGGATTTTGATGAAATTTGGTATTGTGATAGCTGGTTATCCGGGTCAACATATAGGATACTTTTTACCGCGGGAAAATATCTAATTTTTGAGAAAAAATACAAAAACTGCAATGTAAGAGTATACTTATATGAAAAACCTACGAGTTTGGTTTTTGGTCATCTGAAAGCGGGCGGAGCCGCGGGCAATGCTAGTAGTAAATATAAATTAATTGTAACTTTGAACTTAGCGACGAGAATCCTTCAGTTCAATTGTATAGCTAATTGTATAGATATAGGTAGATGCTGTTAAAATAGATTTTATAAACGCTATCCCTAATAGAATGAATGGATATGACATATTAATTAAGCGTTATCAGCATCATGAAATCAGAGTTAGCGATTATCAAACACTTTTCAGTTTTCTCTTAGCAATATCGATAATAGACTTTTCTAAAGGGAGGTGTTGGAATTAATCCATCTTGTCAATAGATTTCATATGTCAAAGGTTTTTATTAAAACGAAGGCACCAGTACACTAAAAACCTGAGATTGAATAAGAATCATAGTCCAAAACTATGAAATACTAATAGATACATAATACGTATAGAATAGAAGAAACTATAGGATGTGTTAAAATGGCAATCAAATGTAATTAAAGGTTTGTTATGGAGATTTCTCAATAGAAAAACTCTATTATTAAAAGACTCTCTCGACTTGGGATTCGAACTCAGGATCTCTGGACTTGCAGCCACTAGACCAACATGGGTATTGAAGCAGTTTATTCGCGCTAATAAAGTATTGAAAAGCATGCAGGTGCGGTCAGAGCTTCAATAAAATGTGGGTGGGTCTAATCGAATCGAAAAGATTATTTCTTTAGCAAAGCAAACGTAGCAGCGAAATAAGAATTTCTTTTTTCTTGCCTTTAAAATTAGGAGCGGAAGGAAGGAGATGTGGAAAATTATATTTCATTACATGCTTTTTGTATTTGTTGTATTTAGATACTATTTAGTTGTTCTTAAAATTAGTAACGTACTAGCGATTCACCCTCGCTTCGCTCAGGTTCGTCCCTAGGTACGTTTTCATTTTTTTGAGCGAAATTCTTTTTCTAAAATAAAAGTAGCCTATGTTATTCCCTATAACATCAACTATCTTTCAGTGAAAGTCCCGTTAAAATCAGTCCAGCCGCTGTAATTAGTAGTAAAACGCTGTTATTTTGACATTACATACAGACACTTCAATTTTATTTATCTGTATATCTATAGATAACTTGATAAGTGACCTAAAGTATATTTTTTTTATATCTGTCGAAAGTACTGAAATGTACTTTAAAAATTGTGTAAAAGAGCAATGATTTTGAATTTGAGTAAATTTGCTATGGGTTAGGGGAGAAAATTACTTTAGCTTTCATCAATGGTTAAAGCGGGTTCGCGAACATTTTATATCGTTCGATAATTTGTTTGATACTCTAATAGTTTACTCACGATATTTTCCTCACTGTAAGGCATGTAATAATCATATTGAAAATTATACGCACATGAGCAGGAATGTAGAAGATGCAAAACCATGATTTAAAGCAGCTTTATTTGATTTCCTAAGCAATTGTTTTTGTCACCAGGCTATCACTGTAGGTACTTTAAAGGCATGCACATTGTAAAATATATATCAATTAGCAAGTAACGTTTTGACGACACTTTTGGCTCAGTTTGTAGTGCTACTTGCTGTACCCTACCTGCTGTGCCAGCGGTCGCGGGTTCGAGTCCCGCTGGAGGCATTCATTTGTGTGATGAGCACGAATGTTTGTACTCCAGTCATGGGTGTTTGTCATTATAATATGTATGTATTTAAAGTTTTATATGTCTAGTGTATCAACTATCTGGTATCCACAAGGCAAGCCTCGTAGTTAAGCATGGAACTAGATGGTGCTGTAAAAAAAACGTAGTGTGCGCTTTATCTTAATTTTCGCTTGATTGCGTCCTTAGGTATAAATAATTCTGAAATATATTATTTTCATATAATTAATGGTTTGGTCAGTTTAGATTTTTTTCCGACATCTTCTACAATTACCGTCACGTTTGTACAAAGCACAATGTATCACGCCAATGTACACAAAACCTTAATGAATTATACACCTAAGCCTACATGTGCCTCATAAATTATCCGTACATTGGTGAAAACCGTATGAAAATCCATTTGTTAGTTTTTGAGTTTATCGCGTTCAGACAACAAAGACAGACTTTGTTTTGTACTATGTAATAATGACGTTATAAATTTATTATATGCATTTTATATAGTACTAGCAGAATCCGCGGCTTCAGTCGCGTTAAAACCACAGAAAAACTTTAAAAAATTAGGTTTCATGCAAACTTTCATCCGCTATTTTACCTTCTTATAGGATGACTTTCTAAAAATGCTAAAACACGTATTTATTTAATTGTATTGAAGAGCATTAATACCAAGTTTCAAGTAATTCCTTATTATACACCTTTTTTGGGTTATATTATAACGTCTTTTCCCGTGGGTATGAGATAATCGTCCACGGTAAAAAGTAGCGTATGTTACTCTCCAGCCTTCTAACTATCTGCACACAAAAAATCACGC